TTAAACTTTTCAAAATAAAGATTTTTTATTTTATAAATGAGTGAATCAAAACCCTATACAGACCTTATTTACAACTGAGCGATGAATGTTCTGCACAAAAACTTCTTGTTATATATATTTGATGTTTTTAATCTGTCAGTAATCGTGAAATAGATCCGTAAAGACCAGACCATATGAAAACAGTAAGTGAACTCTTCCAAAAATTTGTTTTTTAAACAGCTTGTTGCATTACTTCTAATCGAACAGACCTAGACGCATAAGGTTCTTCACAATATTCAGGTTATTGTTCATTTTGTTTTTGATTCTGTAATTTTCCTACAGTACGTTAAATGCAAATGCAACATGATTAGTGTTGTCTGTTCAGTCCAATTAATTAATAAATCTTGTTTTGTTTGTGTTTTTTATATAAAAAAACTATGCCTGTAAACTTCAATGAATAAAATCGTATTAAATAGCCTTAAAGGGGCACTAGCTACGAGATATATAAAAAATCTAAAGTTTGATTTTTTTTTGTTCAATCATTAGTGAAAGTGAAATAGTGATATAATAATTCGCCTTTAGCAGCCATTTTGGTTTAATTTTGTCAAATTAACCTAAGAAACATTGATGATGAATTATTCACTTGCAAGAGAATAATTCGACCTCATTGAATCCGTATTCATGTGAACTTCGGTTTAACCCCTAGACATGGATAACGCATGAACTGTGCGTGTTCGGTTATTTAAAGGAAAAGAATGTCAACATTGAAAGTGAAACAAAGGTAAATCATTTGATTGACTGATTCGATCCACAAAAATCATTTTTATACAGGTAAAACGATGATTAACATATATTTTTAATCTATAATATGAAATTAAACAGACATAGAAAAATCCAATTGCACGAGTTCCTTTTCTATTTATATCTATATTTATGTTTATATCGCTTATATGACCATCGGAGGTCTTCGGAGGTCAACTCGATAGTTAATTAGATGGCGTCAAGACTTAAATAGACACGAAACGAAGCTACATATTATCTAGCCCATGCCCTGTAAATTGTTTGTTGTAGACTTTTTATAATTTGAATAAATGTTTTACATGGTTATAAATCAAATATTAGAATTTGAGTCAAATCAGTGAACATGAATTTGACAGCTAGTGCCCCTTTAATGTAACATCTTTAGCATCATGTTATGTAGGTTTGAGTGGCTCGATCAAAACGTGTATAGATGAGATATTTTCGCAAGGTCGATCATCATTCTTAAATTGAAATAAAATGAATTATATGAAAACACTTTTATTTTAGTCGTCCGTCATTCCCTTTTCACGTCTAAATGAAGCATAAATACCTTAAAAAACCTTTACCTTTCTTTACATAATCATAAATCGCCATAAAACAGCAGATAAAAACCATAGTAAAGAAATATTTAAAAATGAAACTTTAAGTGTTCAGTTATGTAGTAAATTGCCAAAAAAATAACAAAAAGAAACATAAAAAATTTTGCACTATTATTGAGTGATTTAAATGGAAATTTTACATTATAGCATTTTACAAGATCTCGTCTTCGTGTACTATGTACATGGAATAATTTATGAAGTTGATTGATTTTTGTTTGCTATACGTCCAGTGGCAAATATTCCATGCGCGTTCATGACGAGAACACATAAATTTTGAATACCATAGGTAGGTCTTACAATAGGAAGTCGACAGTGAGGTTGCACGTGAAACTGGGAATACCACTGGAAAATGAGGGTATATTGAATAAAGGCAGCTGGCCACATCCGAACCCTTCAAATAATTGGTGCAAGAGTTTTTACTTTGCAGAGAGCGTTGATCCATGAAATCTACTCTGAAGTCGGCCATCGACATTTACGTGTAGTTTCCAATATCATTTAACGCATCTAATTTAGGTTAGATACTTTCAGCTCGCTTTAGTAACTGTGAGAATTCTGTGAAACTGTCTTTTTTTTATTGTACTTGATTTTATTGTAAGATATTCTTTACTACCGCTCTCCTGGTTGGTCTCCTGGGAGTGTGTTTGTTTCGAGAGCGGGAGGTCGTTGGTTCGAATCCCGACCGGGTCAAACAAAGACGTTACAATTAATTAGCATTTGCTGTTTCAACGCTAAACACGCGAGTAAGAGCACTGATTGGTCGGCTCGGAGTCGAAAATGTGTCCGGGTAGGGTGACTTTTCTTCCTGCGAACTGTTACCTTGTGAACTTACACGTTTAAAATCCGGCTCAGCGTGTCGGTCTAGTACAAAACAGGATAAATATTCATATTATATTGACATGTTTTGTCCTGAATATGCATTTTATGTGCCGCTGGACGTCATCCATTATCATCATTCATTTTACCGTTACTGTACAAGGAAGTGTTTTTCTTCTACTGGTTTATATTACACCTTCTTTATTTCCACCGATCGAAATTAAAAAAGAGCAGGTGATATTTTTCAACCAAACACTTGTGCCTGTTGGAATATCTTTGACGGTAAATATTGATAAATCAAATTGCCTGTTGGGATATCTTTGAAGGTAAATATTAATAAATTAACTCGTTTTTTTTTGTCATGTGGCGGTTTTGAGCTTATTATTCTGTATAGGCATCTTTCTATTACAAAATACTGTATGTTGACTCTTAATGTTTTGATTTGTCTGTGTCGTTGGTTTGCTGTCGCATTAATGTATACCTTTATCTCCTTTCATTAAAAACCAAAGGATTGACTTGGGTATAGAAATATTTCTGGACTTCTCCCGTCCGACAGTATACCCTTGCTAAAGGGGTGAGTCCTTTTGGCTGTTCGGATGTATGAATATGCAGCTTCGTGTGGTCGAAATAGAAATGTCGTATATCCGATGCCTGGTGTAGTGAGAGTTTCAAGCTATCTATACGTTAAAGAACCATTTGAAGAATTCTTTGAGGGGGGAATTACGGTCTACGCACAAGTTAAATGAGTGAAATCTCTAAACAACAACAAAGGTAAGCTAAATCTTCAAATAAGTCGCATGGCTGATTTTAACACATTTTTGCGCCTTTTGTAAGGACAATTGTAGATGAAAAAAAACTTTAGATAACAAAACCGATCAGTAAAACAATATCTAAAAAATAGATGAAACGGTCAAAATAAGTTGAATCCTTATATAAATTGTTGCCAACATTTTTTATCCGTTTTTGCTTTTATGACAACTATAGCAGATATAAAAAAAAACTTGACACAACAAATTTTGTCACCTAGACGAGACTGCCGTCGTTGTACGCTTTAATATATGAGTTTATGTCTCTCAATGAAGATGTTTATTCTGTTCTACTCCCCTCCTCCTAGTTTGGCTGGATATGATTAAATGTAACCCCTGATGTGGACTACGTTATTTAATATTAAACAAATAAATGCAAAGAACAAATTAGGAAAGAAATGCTAAAATTTACGCTTAAAAAATCAAATATAAATCAAAATTCAAAAAAAAAAATTAGAAAACTGTTTGAGACAATTATCAACTGAAGACTAATGATTATACATCACTAAATGGAGCTGATTAATTGATTGCTCCCTTAATGTCGAGTGGCAAATATGTCATGCATATTCACAAAGAGATGCCAAGTAGATCGACCTGAAGCAAATGATAACAATTTTAGAGTGACATTTTAATAAGATAGAGCGTTGGCTAGATGTAAAACGTATGCCGTACTATAATAAAGTTGAACCATGATTAAAATCGTAAGTTAAGCTATTAGCCCCACCCCCTCTTTTTGCTCCACGGTAGACGAATGCCAAAAACAAAACGACATGAATTTACAATCAATAGCGGCCACTATAAGTAAATGAGATAAGAACTTATTTTGTAAATAAATTCCGATTGCAGCCAACATTTCCCGGTTTCGGACAGGTTTGTATTTCCACTCAAATACCGTCTGATTATTGACCTGAGATATTAAATCAACCAAAAGCACTTTGATTTTCTGAAATTGTAAATTATGGTTTTTCGCTGGCTGTTTTTTCCGATCCTATTTTGGAACCCCCTGATTCTATAAGGGCGTGTCTAATTATTCATGCTCGATTCACTTTCAGTAAATTGAACCTCAACTTAAAGACCTACACCGGGTTAATAAGTTCGAGGTACAATAAGTAAACAAAAGAGACCCATCATGAATTGAGATCGTCCCAGGTATCTAAGATAATTATTTTGCGTTGAATAACAATGAAAAATGCACGAACAGGTTTGGAATATTGGAAAATATCAGTGCCAAGTCAGAAATATGACAGTTGTTTTCCAGTCGTTTCGTTCGTTGATGAAGTTCAGCGTTCTGTTTGGTCAGGTTTTATGGACATCTCTTTTTTGATTTTTTTCTTTTTTTATAATACTTTTGTTTCAAAACAAACATTTTGTCTCCTCTATTCTGAAAGAATTTGTGTTAAGACATTTAGAACCAAACAATGTATTTAAAATGATTTTTCACCCACCGAAACAGAAATGGAAGGCGCCTTGCTAGCACAAATATAAATGCATGGATCTTTTCATCGAAGCTTATTTAATTTAGGAAGTTGCAGTTAAATATAATAATTCTTTTCTAAATTGCGTGCGACGAACGCACTTTTCTGAATCCTAAAAAAAGGATCATTCACCAATATCAAGATCAAGATATCACTACAATTTAAGGTGGAACCAAACATCTTTACAAACATTAATTTGGCTCGTTTAATTTTCATAAAAGTTTGACAAAATATTTACTTTGACCCTTTGACAAAATTTATAAAAATTCAAAAAACTTGAACCACACACTTTATCGGAAAAATTTCATTGGATATATAGCAGTTAGACAAACACTAATTTTGATCATTGAGAAGCTTAATATTTCCTTAACAAAAGAAAGTGATTAAAACGATTAGCTGATTTTTACAGAGTTATCTCCCTGTAGTGTTATGTACTACCTTAATCTATTGATCTTAATTATTTTTGTTTTGTATCCAAGAAGCCCTCGCTTTTGCTAATAACGGTTTCATGCAAGAACGTCATGCAATTTTCGAACTTTCAAAAATTAAAACTTTTTTATGTTTAGCTGGAATTTTGTTAACAATTGTGTTACATAAACAAGATAATGAATAATAAACAACACAATACAATAAAAATACAGATACAGAAATTGCAAAATGCATAATCGTTTCTGTTAATCTTCATCTAAAGTGACAATAATATGAGTCAAACGACATCTACATACATATAATAGTAGTTTTAGTGCATATATATTTTAGCTTAGGCCAATGATGACGGAACCTAAACACATAACATTTGTTTTTTAACATAACCAAAAACAGGTTTGATTTGACAAATAAAAATTGAAACAGACAACGTTCCTCAATCTTTTAAAAAAGATAATTATTTATCTTATCATTTTACAAGTAAAATACATGTAACATGTGTAAACAAGTTGTGAAATTTTTTTGCGCAACACATCTTTAAAGCATCCATTGAAAATGCACTTAATTTCTTTGTTCAAAGTTGGTTTCTATGAATATTCTACGTTTTAAAAAAATAGAAACGATTTCTCATTGTTACTAGTATAGTCATTATTATTAACATTATAATAATAATCGTGTTCGTATACGATGTCGTATTTTTATAATTATTATTATTTTTATTATTATTGCGTCGGTTGATACGTCGAACATGTGCAAAGCAAAAGCTTGAACTCTAGAATGAGGATAAACCTGAAAACTCAAAAAGAGTAACCATAAAAAGTGTCATGTAAGGCTAAAGAAGTTTATTGATTATAAAATCATACAAATCAATTAAGAAGACATACCAAACTAACAAACAAAACTGTTAATATTGCATAAACTCCAAAAAGAGAGCAACCTGGTGCGTTGACAGAGTAAGCGTCTCCTACTATGCATTCATCACCCGCCATGCAACTCCATACTCGATCAAACGACAAACGTTAGGACATATGGTACCTTACTGAAGAGAAATGGGAAATTGGCGATTGTAAATTCAAAATCATCATGTTTGTTATTGGTTCTAGTTTGACAAAAAAGTAAAATAACAAAAATACCGAACTCCAAAGGAAATTCAAAACCGAAAGTCTTTTATAAAATGGCAAATTCAAAAGCTCAAACACATCAAACGAATGGAAAAGAACTGTCAGATTCCTGACTTGGTACAGGCATTTCCTTATGTAGAAAATGGTGAATTAAACTAGGTTTTCAGCTAGCTAACATCTCCTTTGTATGACAATCGCATAGAATTACATTATATTGACAACAATGTGTAAGCAAAACAAACAGACATAATAGGTAGAAATGCCAAAAACTGGGATACAGCAGTCAACATTGTAATGAGAAAACAGAAACATTGAAGTCATCCATTTGTGTCAATATCGAGGATAATTATAAAAATAAGAAGATGTGGTATGATTGCCAATGAGACAACTCTCCACGAGAGACCAAATGACACAGAAATTAACAACTATAGGTCACCGTACGGCCTTCAACAATGAGAAAAGCCAATACCGGATATAGTCAGAGAAGATTGGAAGTATCCTTCATCTTAAGTTGCCTAGGATATATGAGATTCAAGCACGCACAATGATATCTGAATTAAAAGAAGCTTTTTTTCTGAGAGGAAAAGCATTAGTTTTCACTACCATGAATACCCAATCAATGTTAAGACAAATAAAAAATTACAAATTCTAAAAAAACAAGGTAATAATCCGAACCGAAGACCACCTTAACGTTTTTCATATGATAATTTTTTTAAGAAATTGTTTTCGATTTGACAAATTATTGCTTGCAACTATTTATAAATCAAATACATTCAAATCAATTTACACTTGTAAATTGCACGCATGTCTATATGATAATCACATCACGATAGTTTCTAAACATTATTGAAAGTGGAACTATGTATATAATATCAACTTGAAAAATATACATACCAGTTAACTTAATAATAAACAAAAGTTTCTTCTTACTACAAATTATTATGTCGCATTGTTTTGAATCCTTCATCAATATCTTTCTCAAAGAATTAATTAGTAGTCGTATCTTTAAGACTCCAAAAAACTTGTACTTCTAGGTGGTGATGAAACTATTTTTGCTTCTCCATTAGAAGGCGGAAGCTTTTCAGACATGTAAATGCTACTGGAGCGCTTTGGTAAAGATTTTGGTACAAGCAATCTTTAAATAAAAATAGAAAAAGCAAACATGTTTAAAGCTTTAATTGTTTTTACTGTTGTGTCACAAAATAACAAAATAACAATGTTCACTTTTTATTTCCGTGAGTTCAATATTTAAAAAAAACACATAAACTTGTCTTTTTTGTGAGGACGGATTTTAAACTTTGGAATACAAACATAATTGAAAGTGGTTTAACCAGAAACCAATCCAGAAACAAATGCCTGAAACAAAATCTTGTAGATTCAGTTCGTCATGCATTAGTATACTGTCCAGTGTCCTCCTCGTGGTTAATTACCCCCCCCCCCTTTCCCCCCTAAAAAAAAACAAACTTAAAAGAAACTAACGTATGCCAGTACATACGACACGTGTTACTCGAGTAACCTGTACCAATAAAACAGGGATTGTTGTTGGGAAACAAATCAAATGATCTGTGAGCAGAATTCCAAATCAGCAAAAACCGTATATTCAAACGGGTTATAGTAGGAGTTACCATATTGATTTAAGTTTAAGTCCATATAAGAATGCTAAAAAAACGATATGTTGTTATAAACCGATTTTAATAGGAAAATAAATAAGATGTCTTTTAGACAAAATAAAAATACTTTCGAATTATTTTCATATAATGATATTTAAACATTACTAATCTATGGTATATAATTGTAACATTTTGTTAAAGGTTATAGTATCAATAAATTTCAAATAAATTTCGACTTTGGAATAACATTTCCGTAGTTTGTTTATATCTTTTGTTGAAAAAAACCTGTTTAAACTAACAAATAGTGTCTAAAATTATAAAGAAATACATGAACTAAAATAATTTTGCTGCATTAAACTTACCTTAAAAGGAGTATAGTTAACAATATTGTTGAAAGCACTGCAAGCATAGCCACAATTACCCATATGTACGGTTTATCTCCTTTGTCATTTTCATCACCTATTGAAGCACAGAGAGGTACTTGAAAGTAAACATACTCGAAAAAGACTTAGAATATTTTCAAAGATTCCCCCTCAATTATCCTGATAAAATGTAGAAGAAAATTTGTGTCACTCGCACAACAATAACTATATCCGATTTTGGTAAGATTCAGTTATCTTTAAAGCCGACTACAATTATAATTCAAAGCATCGTTAATTTTGTAATATTAACGATCCCTTGTACTGCAGTTGTACTTCGTTTTTCTTGTTATGGCATTTGTTGTTCAAATGATCATAAAATGTATATATACATAAATTGCTTAAATAATTGTTTTGAATGGTGAATTGAACAAGGCAGATGCTTTATAGTTTTGGATGTAAAGTGGTCGATCCAACCCAGTTTCAAGTTATTTCAACCTCGCATGGCATTAACGTACATTCCATGATACAATTTGGATTGATAAATGTAACATACCTTCTTTTGGTCGAGGTTTTCCTGGAGGATTTCCTGTGGTTGTAGTTGTAGTATCAGGAACGGGTAGAGTACCTAGAAAGTTTTAATAACATATTGAAAATTAAGGACACAAAATTACAAGCAAATGTCCTGTCTTCCTTTAATTTAAATTAATGAATTATTAATAGAAATAACTATGCATGTTGAACAGACCCAACTAAATTCAATGAAAACAACGGTAGTACTGGGAAATGATCTATCATAATATAACGTTACAAAATTAAATTAATTTTCCACTGATTTAGAAATAACACCAATTTGAAAGAAAATAAAGTATAATGCATGTATATGTGAAAACAAAAAGTGTGCCTAAGCATATTGAAGGTGCATTGTTAGTTTGTTTTCGACTGGTAATTTCGAATACTCCTTTGGTATATTTCGCCTCTCTTCTTCTACTACATCCATAAATATATACACACGGACGATAATATCATTTGAGATTGTGCGGATTAAAGTGGTAACCATGGTAGGGATTTAGAGGGACAGTACACCAGCATATGGCGACTGTTATAGAATAGTAGTCTTGTATAATTTCTTTTCAAAAGCATTTAAAAACAACAAGAGAAAAGAAACAAAACGTGTTACTTGTTCTCACAGATCTGCGACTGTTGATGTTTAAGGAATTTATTGGTTTATTTTGATAATAATGACAAGTACGTTACTATATGTTTCTCGGGATGTGCTTTCTGTCATTTAACATCAAACGGAAATTCAAACTAGAGCAAACAAAAATTAATATCTAAATTGTCTACAAAATGTTATCTTACCAAAGCAATAGGCAGATTTGTCAGCATTCAGCTGTGTCAAGTAATAGGTTCTGTAGCTACCACAATTGCGAACTTTTATGTCATACGTCTGGTCACATATACTTGATACTCCTGATTTACATACTTTTCTGTCAACTGTCTTATCAGAAACATCTGGTAAGTTTCCTAAAGTATTAATGCTTTAAAGTTGGGACTTGGATAGATAAGTATGCAGTACTATTGTAAAAATGCCCTTAACTTTATTATTAAATCAAATGGTTTAAATTCTAAGTTAATGTAACGGTACTTAATATTTTACATGTTAGCCGTGAAAAATAGCATTGATTAATTTTAAATAATTATCAATACGACATGTTACAACGTCAAAATGAAGTAACCTCAATCAGACAGCTATCAAACACCAAAATCAAACAAAAGACCATCTACATGTTGTATATTCAATTTATAAATAAAACAGTACTAACCGTCCATCCACAGTGGATATAAAGTACCACACTGCATCATATAAACGCTCTCATTGACTATGTCATTTCCGGTTGCACTATCGATTCTATACCATCCCGCTGTTAATCGACTGTCCTCTATGGCCACATCATCGGATTGCAGTGTATAGTTTGATGATCGTTTCATTTCTTCTATGAGTACCTCGTAGTTGATGCTATGACATGGGTCGACTAAAGAATTTATATAATATGTTTTTGTCCACTTTCTGGATATTTATTTATTCACATATATATCAATATTGGCTTGCTTTATATAATTTTAGGAATTTGTTTTCAATTATGGAAACAAAACTCCTAATAAACTAAACAATCAAAAACAAAAACAGAATTTCTCAAAAAGGTCCCTTTAAATATTGGCTGCTTTAATATGGTACTGTCTCATAGCTAGTTTTATATTGGTCCTCTTTTTTGTAAGTATCGGACAATATTTATTTGAAAAAAACATATGGTCGAATATATCTCGTCGTTCTTAATATGTTATGTAAATATCAAATACAAACGATTACATTTTTAAATTTTATAGCTTGATAACATTATATTTGTTGACCTATATGCTATGAAATAGGAACACAGAATTGAGACCTTTTAAAAATAATGATTAGACATCTTTGATATGATAAATTTCTTTATAGCTTAAATAGCGTCGTGTGTAAAAGAATATTAAAAAGTTCTGTTGAAAAGGTAATTAGGAAATGTTTAAACTTGTTGGTTTTCAGACAAACGTTGACATTGATGCAGGTCTTAGTTTTACATATTTTTTAAAGAAAGACAATTGTATTTAGTACATAGTTAGAAATGCACTATGAGGAGGAGTAAAATGACTTGTAAAAGGATTTTCAATTCTAATTTTTGATAACAAAATGTTTGCATAAGCAAACCAATTTTGATCTGAAACGGTCATTTCGATCTGCACAGCCCCTAAACGACGGGAGAATAAATTAGTCAGTCTTTTTCAGTCTTTCGGTATATATTCAGACTTATCCACTGTGGTAAAAGAGGGACGAAAGATACCAGAGGTACAGTTCCTCTTTTACCACAAGTTTTTTTGAAACCTTCTAAATTATTAACATCAATATTATCAGCAATCAAAGCCGGTCTTCAAAGTTTTTACGAAACTACCTATTCTAGAGGTGGCGTGAATTAGATGTGGATACTTAAAAATTCAAAATCTTAAGAGTATATACAATCTAAGACTCGTAGATCTTGCAATAGTATTGAAACATTTAACTTTTTCACACTTTACACATTCCCCATTCGAAACTAAAACACATAAAGAGTTGGTCCTGCTTTGTTTAATAAATAAAGAACAACAGATTTTCTGAAACTGACATTATCAAGATGATGGATTTCTTGGTTGACAACATATTTGTTACGTTTCGAAGACTTCAAAAAAAAAACAACAATCGACATTCTCATGGAAACCAACTGTTCTCTTCTTTTTGTCGACTTGTTCCTTTACTCATTTGAGGCAGACTTCATACAGGAAAAAGGTTAGTGTTATCCTTCAACTTCACTCTCCCATTTATAAATGATGTTCTCTCGCTAAATAACTCAAAGTTTGGTGACTATGTTGAACGCAATTATCTGATCGAACTTGAAATAAACGATATACCAGATACAGATGCCTCATATCTTGACTTACATTCTCGAAATTGACAATGAAGGTCGGTTGAAAACAAAACTTTACTTTAAGAGATGATTTCAGTCTCCCAATTGTGAACTTTCTATTTCTATTTCTATGTAGCAACATTCCAGTAGCGCCTGCATATAGCGTTTATATGTCCCAGTTGATACGATATTCAAGGGCTTGTATTTTCTATCATGATTTCCTTGATAGAGGGTTGCTGCTCACAAGGAAGCTATTAAAACAAGAGTTCCAAGTGGTAAATTTGAAATCATTCTTCGAAATTTTTTTGGACGCCATCACGAGTTGGTTGACCGTTATGGAATATCTGTTTTACAGATGACGACGGATAGGTTCGAATTATCGTTACCACAATCTTGTTCTTTTTTCCGCGAATGTGACATACCAAATAAGACTGATCACCGGGTTTATACTCACATGAGCAATAAGACGGGTGCCACGTGTGGATTAGGATCTGCTTACCCTTCCGGAGCACCTGAGATCAACCCCGGGTTTTGGTGGGGTTCGTTTTGCTCAGTCTTTAGTTTTCTGTGATGTGTTTTGTGTACAGTTGTTTGTCTTTTGGTCTTTTTCCATTTTGCCATGGCGTTGTTAGTTTATTTGCCACTTATGAGTTTGATTGTCCCTTATTTCTTCTTCTTTTTCATATTCATTCCAATCGGTATTTCTGTTTCTTTGTAAGTGTATTGCCTACTTATTAGCCAGACGTGAACATACAGTTATGACTAGGGAATACAGCATTGTTGCTTTTAATTTGTTATTCTTTTTAAATAGAAGTAAATATGATATATGTATTCCTAAATCGACTGAATACGCACATTCACATCCTGGTGTAAACCCTCCGTTATCCGAGGTTTCTCCCACTGGACATTTAACTTCAGTACCTAAAACGTATATATATTATGTAACTATTTAGACTTCTGTCGAATCAAAAATTTTATTCAAAATAACCATTGAAAGATCAAATATGTTAACACATAAAGTAATAACTGGATACGGACAGTAATAATATTGTGTCGTCTCGTTCAATGGTAAAGGCATTTAGAAATACAAGTCATTTTCATATGATCAATAATTGGGTTCAACATTCTTGTATGTCTTTGATTTCCTATGCCGCATCTTTGCACTGTATATATAAGTTCCAGTTTTTTGTAACATGTGACTGTTTATGATTAATCATTTTTGTAACTTTCTATCCAGTGCTTCTATCAACAAGAAGTTTCTACTATACATTCATGAACAAAACACATATAAAAAGAATATATAAGGAAGTAATCTAACAAATGTAATATCTCACCGAAACAATAGGATTGGTAGCATCCACTTGTAGCTTGTAAGTTATATATGTAAAAACTGTCACAATTTTTAACCCGGATGTCATATGAACTGGTACAGCAGCCTCCGTTGAAGTTTGCTACACAGGCCGTAACATCTGCAATTTTGCCAGACAAAGGGTACGATCCTGTTACAAAAAAAAAAAAAAAGACTGAAATGTAAAGCAAAACTTAACATTTATATAACTTATATCTTATATCAACAATCATCTTACATTTACTTTGTTTCCCTTTTGACTCTTATCACATATTCAACAACTGATATAGCAATTTTGCTTTTAAAAAATTTTAATAAGCCTTTACAGAAATATTTCCATGGATGGTGCATATATTAATGTTTTCTCTCATTACTTACATGGTAGTAGCATATTTTGGTACGAACTGTTACTTAATAACTGGCACATAACGATGTTGCACAACTTGTCTATTAAATTTCACAGCAGGATTTCAACAGCTCTAATAAACTGACTGTAGACTGTTTCCATATGGTTAGGCCGAAACTGGTAACAGGGCGGTTCATAAACTATTCATACTTTTAGGGTTTTGTGTTGTGTATAACAGGATATTAATATTTGCATTTGTGATCGTGTTTTCGTGTTAATAGACGTTCTTGTATTTGGTATTATAAATGAAATTACAGTAAGGGTTTTAAAAAGTTTTCCCGAAATATTCCCCAAATCAAACTGGCGTTTAATACATTACGAAATAGTTGACAACTATTCATTTTTAATGTAAAGTCGGTTGGCAAAATAGAGAATCATTAACGAAACGTGTTTTTAATGCAATAGCCAGGATTTGCATGATCGCTTACGAAATTTCATGAATATAATTATGTGCAGCAAAATGGAGTTGTAGAAGTCTTTTGACGAAAACAATAAATAGCATAATAGATTCCTAAATCAGGTAAATACGCTATTATGTTTTCTTGTTTTTTTTTTATAATATTTCCTACCATTCATCCATATTGGATAAGTAGTTCCGCATCTGAATCCGTTTTGTGTACATTCTGTTGGCATTGTATTTCCTACGAGACTAATTGGACGGTACCATCCTGGAGTCAGCCGATTGTCACACAAATTGCCAATGATTGTATTATTAACTGATCGTTGCCAATCATCTAAAGTTTGATAGTTTTCTTCCAAGCAAGGATCAACTACAAGATAATTTATAGTGATATAGTGGATTCTGACGGTAACATTGAAAAACATTAGTGACAGCAGTAGTTACCATATTTTCAATTCTTATAATTTAAGGACATACACACTTAAGTGAAACAACAAATCGCAGGCAATTGAGTGACTTCTAAAAGGAGCGGGACCATATGTCTCGAAAGGATAAGCGTCTCCTGCTACAAATGTATACATGTTTTACAAAAAGAAATGTTTTAATATTACTGATATGCCAACTATTCACAGGAACCAAACTATAAACTGTCAGACAAGTACATGCATAAGCATCATGTACAATGCGAATTCACTCTGTCATGATATCACAATCGGGAAAAGGAAAAATTTGCTAAATTAGCAGATCTGACGACTTTCGTGATATGTTAAGAGCTACATTTTTTGTCTCAGGCAACAAAAACCTGTCAGAAATAGAGACATTAAGGCTAGTTAAAATAGTTATATAGAAAGTATTGTAAGCAGAATCATGCACATTATACTTTTAATCATTCATTCTTTCGTTTAGGCTTTGTCTAGTTTCACCAACATATATAGGTCTATAGGAAGAACATTCAATACCGTACACAATATAAGTAAATTTTACTTTAAATGGATCATGCGATCGCTAGCTTTTAATGTCGAATCATTCAACATTCGTATCTTGAGGACGAGACATCGCAAATTACCTACTACGAATGAAAACGACATAAAACTTGTCGTAAGAAATAATCATCGTAAACGCAATAATTTACACATAACTGCAAAACTCATCAAGGATGAACAATATCTTTTTATTTTGTATCAATCTATCCAGGAAACAACAATAATTAACAGTCATAGACAACAACCGAATTTGAACAGTCTGTTTTGAAATCTTGATTAACATGTAAGGGAAAAAGTATGAAGATGCAAAAATCGTCCTTGTTAACTAATATATTGGCTAAGGAGAAACGAATCCCAAGAGAAAGACTTCTTAAGATGCATCAATAAAAATGCCTAAACGATTTGCAAAACGCAAAATTGATTTATGGGACAATATGCTGAACATGTAAAGGGAATTTTACTCCGCAAACTGATTATGCTCTCTTTGACATTATTAAAGTACATAAACAGTACATAAAAAGATATTTCATATAGAAATAAACCGAAATGATGGAACTGAATATTTCCCTTTTAAAATTCTTTTAAGTTGTCAAAAAGAATACATTCTATTAAAAAGTCAAAGTAGTAAAATAATTGTTTTTATCAAGCTTGTTGCAATTTTGAATATATATACATGTATATATTACAAGGGTCCTTAAAAAGAATTATACAAAGTGACCACTATAGTTTATAATCAAATAATATAATGATGCAACTAAGATTTCAAATATGTTTCATCACTTACATTTACATCCAGGTGTAAATCCATTATTAGATGTTTCACCAGCAGAACATGGCATTTCCGAACCTAAGATAATAAATTAAACGTTCTTATGATTAACCGATATTACCATTAATAAACTTTGCATTTGTGTTACCAGCATACGGATTTTACTGAGATTTTGTTATATATATGTCAGGATCAACATTTTGATTAAAAATGAAATGACATTTACGATACAACTAAGAAATTGATTGTTCACAATACTAAGTTAGATATAACAGGACGTTTAAGTAGTTTAATTATGGGAAACATATGTTTCTTTAATAAATAATTGGTAACACATGGAGCAACTGAACTCTGTTAAAAAACCTAGTAATGGAAGTATCTGTTTCAAAATAATTTTTCCTTATCCTTTTACAAATCAATTTTTTACTTGAAAACTACTAAACGTTTATAACATACCAAAGCAATAAGCCTGATAGCATGATGACACCGGAAGCAAATTGTACACTAAATAGTTTGTACAGTTCTTGACCTCTATGTCATAAGAGTATTTACAACAATCTCCATCATAATGTGCCGCGCATGCTTGAACAGTCGCAACAACACCGGTGTCTGGATACGTTCCTAGCACAAAATCATAAAGTGATCAACATAACGTTTTCATACCACATTAATACATCTAAGAAGAAAGTGCTTAATTAAGGAAAGAAATCGCCCAAATTATTCAGTTACGATGCTTTAATTTCACACGTGATTCCACTAAATATGTATTGTGGTTTTATGTTAGTTGTGTTTGTGCGTCATGTCAATCTGATGAGTTAAGCCATTTCAAACTATTTTGTACAGTTTGTTACTACACAATATATGTCGTGCTATTACAAGATTAGGGGAGGTTTAAGCATACAAAAATTACTTATCACCACGATATTCTTCTAAGATAGACTTGTAATTCAGTGGTCGTCGTTTATTTTTGTTTGTCATCATTTTTGTTTCGTTCATTATTCTGTCATAAATGGTCGTTGGCTGTTTTCATCGTTTGCATTACATTGTCATGGTAAGGCATTTTATGACTGACTATACGATATTGGTTTTCTTCATTGTTGAGGGTCATATGGTTCCCCTTAATTGCTTACATACACGTCTGTTTGGAGTCGATAGTTGTCTAATAGGCAATCATCCCAGATATCTTTATCGTGTATTAATCAAATCAACAGTTGACTATATTATTACTTTTACAATATTTATATAGGTTATCTTCAATATATGATTTACATGATCCATTGTTTTGGTTTTTTTTTTAATTCGCTTACTTGAAAGAAAGGAATTTCAATAAAGCCGCATGATTGTATGTGCAAGCTTGAATTAGTTTGATATTAATCAAATTTAAATGACCTCTCTATAATCATCTAAAACAAAGAAAGTCCATGTATTTACATACACGCATATGTCTTATTATTTGAAACATATAAAACATCATCTTTTTTACAAAAAAATCATAACATTTGCAAATCAAAAGCTACAAATGTGCTCAATTATGCATGAGAAATTCTTATTCTCAGAGACATGACACAAAATTATCTAGGATAAGAAATTGGTTAGAATTTGGGTGATTTCCTGTTCCTTCTTTATTTATAATGCAAACTCAAAGTTGTTACGGTTATTTCAGAAAACATTTTTATTGTACCTGAGAAACAAGTTATATTTTTATTTCATTCATAATGTCTTTTGTGAAATAAAATACTTAAAACACCAAACCATAATAACATCTTCAACCAAGGCAAATACAGCTGTAGCCATATTGTGTACATTTTCTATTTGCTTTTAATTTTCAATGTTCACCTATGTTATTGATTTGGCCTAACGAAGCCTTTTATTTGAACTCTACTGATAAGTCTTGCATAGACAAAACCCGCGTATAGCGTTTGTATGATACCCCTAAGAGCATGTATCGTTAATGATGTTTTATAGAAAATCTTAATGTTGGAATTAGATTACACTGTAATGTTTATAACATGCGAAATTCATTTTCACTTGTCAGACTGACATGAAAAGAGTCGAATGTTTCTTTATTTTGGTCAATGTTTCTTTTACTTGAAGTCATCAAAGTACGTTCATCAATAATAAACACATGTTGATATAATGTTTAACCTTTTATGAGCTATTACCTTATAAGTTATTGCTTAAAAGTTATATCAAGAAAATAATAAATACCGTTCATCCATATTGAAAGTGTTGTTCCACACCTCATTCCACCAAAAACACATTCTGTTGGCATCCGTTCCCCAGCATAGCTAGTGACACGGTACCAACCAGCTTCTAAGGTATTGTCACATAGTGTAGGAGAAGAGGCAGCATTAGCTACGGATCGAACGTACTCCTCGAGCGAATCCAGAACTGTGTAAGTATCACATGGATCACCTTGAAAAACGTTGTAAGTCAACAAATATACGGCCGCTGACAACGTGTTTTTTTAATTATTATTATCATCATCATCATCATTAATATTATAAATTTGGTTGTTGTACAATGTTGTAGCAGTGTATGTCGTTTTGCAATCATATCATAACAAAATGTAGATGTGGTATGACTACTAATGTTACGACTTTTCGCCAGTGACCACATGATGATAATGAAAACAATTTTAAGTAACTGTACGGCTTTCAACAATGAGCAAACCCCTTTCAGTAAAGTTTGGGGACATTTAGTACTAGTTTTATTTTTTATGTTTTTTAAAGTTTAAACATCAGTGGCCTAATATTATTGCTGGGTATTCATATAATAATAATAATGTTAAAAGTATTAATTTTACTGCACAAGATGCTAATTTGGCAAAATAATGAACAAACCCAAAACATAATACAGATGTTGAGGAAAATAGCATTACAAAAATGACAAACTAAAGCGAGCAATGTTATAGTAAATTCTCCTAGGTTTTTATTGTTTTAGTATCATAAATTCATGATCTATTTCGCAAGGAGTTGTGTTATATTTTTTGATTCTTAGTTAATTGTATTCACTAAATGACTAAGTTTATTATAGTAAATTCTTATTTCGGAATTGCATTGATTTATTGAATTACTGTTTATTATTTTTCGACTTTCTTCTTTTTTTCAACTTCAAAAGGTATAACGCTACATTTAAGGGCATACGATACAGTTTTGATCCCACGGTGATTTTTTTACGAAAATTTCCATACAACCTATTTTTCACCTAGTCAATTCAAATATGTAATAAAAAATATACCTTCATGTGCTACTTTAAGAGATAAATGCGGTCGAAATTTTAGACATTTTCTCAAAATTTTGGTTTTTTGGACATTTCTATCCTTTGGATAGACATACCTATCTGTTTTGTTTCAAAAGATAAACACAAGCGGATTTTTGTAAAAGTATATGGAATATCTTCTTCACATATGAATGTTTTAAATTTGTATAACAATTCTTTGGAAATAATAAATTTTTATCAAAGTTTCATGATTTTAGAAAAGAAACGGCATTTTTTGCTGTATATTTATCTGATTTAAAAAAAATCATCGGTGATTTTTTTTATAAAAGTTGGTACAAATAATCTTCATACGTAATTAAATCTAATTATTTTTAAAGTCATTTTAAAAAAGAGAGGTCCACGAATTTGTTTTCAAGTTAAATCAGTCTGAATGATAAAAATCAACCGAAAAATGCATCTTTTCCCGATATGTCACAGTTTGACGTCGCGAAAATAATATTTTACGTTAGCAACGTCATTACCTTCCCTGTAACTGTATCGTATGCCCTTAAGTTAAATTTATTCCGCAAGTTCATTAAGGTGCAATTCGCCGTTTAAACTGTATATATCTCTCATGTCTCTGTATAGTTTATTTCATAACGGGGAAATGCATGTTTTGATACATTTTTTGTCATGGATTGTGTTGTGCTATCCAAATTTAATATTCAATTTAGACCCATATAGAAATAAAACCCCGTTCAAAATAAGGTTTCTAAAGTAGTTAATTTAAAAATAAAAACGTATTAAGCTAGATATATATATATATATGGGGGTGATATGATATAGTGTTTCTGTCTTTAGAATAATATGTATCTTCATATACAATTGTTGACATATATCTTTTCGTCATTTATGGAATCTGTTATCATATTACACAAAGAAAGTATCATTAGATACTCACATTTAGTCGTTAAAATATGGATGAAAAGTAATAAAAACAATGCTAAAATCTTCCCCATTGTATCCATAAAGTTCTTTTGTTGTTACGTCAGGTAACGGCCATTGCCTTTCACCCGGCCATTTTTTTTACAATACTTCTATACTTTTTCAATAATTTGTGACACGTGATTGGTTTAAACCTCAAAACAAAACAGTATTGATTATTAAATTGAAATCTGAGCCAAAAAAATAAAAATAAACACATTTGTAATTATTGTTTTTATTTTCGTCGTTTTTCTTTTAAACATGTTAAAGCATAATATTGACTCTTTTCTCTGAACCTTTGCTTTTGGATTATATCATTAGTATCACTTTTTTAATCTAAATCCAACGAATCTACCAATAAATATATCTTTTGTTATTTTATTATCAGAAATGAAAACGTATTTGTAGCAATATTTTTAATCTATAAAGCAAATATTTTGTTCTTTTCAGTTTTTGTTATGACTATATAGGCGTGTTGTATGCTTTTTCACATACCTGTAACTTTCTACGCAATGTGTTTCAGAATAATCATTATAAAAGTATTTAATGATTAATAGTTAGTTAATCTTCCTTTAAGATAATTAACGTGTTTCTTTATATAATACTTAAATTGCACAATCCAGAACATCTATAAAACACTGTGTATCTTAAAACTAATTATTGTGTGTTCGAATTCATATAAAAAGATAAATATAGTATTAAACGGTACCATTTTTTGAAACTTCAAAATCTCATACATTAATAATATCCGTATTGTCATGCAAGTGTCAAATCTTTAAAAAATGTTTAAGCATGTGCATAATTCTCTCCTGTCTGTATGACCAAAAAGGAATATTCATTGACCACAAGAAAAAAACAACGAAAACAAAAAAAACAACACCGCAACTATAATACAAAACACTATATATATAACACAAAAAGTCCCAGTGCTGTTTGTATAAAGTTCAGCACTTGGGATGTAAACTCAACGGTATATATGTAGGACTGTGTACGGCGATTGTACTCCGAACCACAATGATTACGCTGAACAGCGATGATACGACACTTAAGTTCTATGGTTGGACGCTGATGTGCGTTTTTGATCACACTGAAATGCGATGGTGGCATTGTGATGCTATCTTGTTTATAACTACGCTGAAGTACGTTGATGGTAACGCTGGAGTGCGATAGATTACATACACTCTATGTTCAATGCTCTAATATTTGTTAAAATTGGGTTTTAAAGTTGCTTATGACCTTTTAATACTACGGTAAACAAGAAATAATTCGTGGAGAGGGAAAAGCTAACCTTCTGTAGCGGATTATTTTTAGAAATCTACAAACGATTCTTCTATACGTACGACAGAGCGTGGTATTCTTTAAATACATACGTGTCCGCAGACATACTATCCGTATTATAATATTACAGCAAGAGGAACCAAGTAAAGATAAATGTTAAAGCAGAATTATGTTCACATGCAGAAAATCAGAGTTACTGATACTAAGGATATACATAGACAATAGAGAATGCAAATGTATATACTAACTATTAAAATAATCTATTTGTCATAGGCCTAATTATTGAACAGATCAGATTTTAAACTAGTCATCACCCGTAATGTAAACCATCGCACATCAGCAAACGGACCATCGCACATCAGCGTGATCATCGCATTTTAGTGTCCCTATAGCACCTTTGAGTCCTACATACACACAGCGCTTGACTTTGGTCCTCAAGCGCTGAAATTTGTATAAACAGTGCTGGACTTTGCAACTACTGCGCTGTTTTGTCTTATATGAACAGCATCGGACTTTACATATCAAACGCTGAACTTTATATAACAAGCGCTATACTTTGTCTATATATATATATATATAATTCGTCTAAAAAACAGCCCAACAATGTTAGATCTGTAAATTTGCGGAAGCAAATTTGTTTTCTTCCCTGGCTGGTATTCGAACTCATGCTACTGAGATATCGTGGCACCAAATCGCCTTGCACTATGCCCGACGCGCTAGACCACTCGACCACCTAGGCTCTAAAATAATAAAGCTTTCGGTGGCCGTGTATTACCTTTCCTCGTCAGTTTTTATCTAGCGTCGTAACACAGTATATGATATATAAGGCATGAAGATGGAATTGTTACAGATCAGCTGAATTATCTATTGTAAAGGATCCTACAAATTAATGTAAGATGCAGTCACAGAAATAATTATATTATAAGTACGTCTGAATCTGTTGTAGAGTCGTCACTGGTTCAGACGTACTTATACATATATATAATTCGCCTAAATATATATAGCGCTTTATTTTATATCTATAATGTTTGGTTTTATATCATCAGATCTCGTCTTTACATCTCGTACGCTAGACTACATCTGCAGCGCTCAAATTTTATTATATCCACATCGCTAGACTTTACATTCCTAGCGCATGAGTATACATCTTCTGCGCTTAACTATACATATACATCACTGGACTTTACATCCACAGTGCTTTACTTTATTTCTACGGCGCTAGACTTCAAAACCTGATTAATGCTTGACATTTTGCACTCAAACACAGACGTCGTATGACTTATTTTAAATGTATGATTAGCTATTATGTTCTTAGCTGCATCAGACTGGAGATAAAAGAGGGACAAAAGATACCAGAGGGACAGTCAAACTCATAACAGTCTTGAATTTAAAGATTCAATATCAGACAATGATATGGCAAATTGAGACCCGTTAATCTTAAATACGTTTCTGTTATCTCCTAAATATGAACAACATTTTTAAGTAACCTTTATATATCCTATACATGTTATAACGATTTCAAAATGTTTCAAGAGACGATTGAATTCCTTCTCAATTATCTTTCTGCTATAAACGTTAAGTGAAATATTTAGACGACATTAAATGTGGTGAATTTGTTTGTGCATCTTACGTTTAAGAGCGTTATCTCATTTCAACTTTTATTTATGGCCATGTGATAATTGAAAGAATTCAATACTGGCAATGTTACGATATATACAGTTATGTGCTTCTTTTTTGTTTAGCTTGCAATCAAATTTTTGTATATTTATGTAGATCAGTTAAAGCCTATATAACAATATATCGCTTAGGTCAAGGTATCTTCCGTGTTTAACATGTTTGTATATCAAATTACATGTTGTATGCCAAAGATGTATAAACCAGAGAATAATTTTAACGACAAGCGGAACAATCTTAATAAGATATCATTATTCTTGAAGAAAAAGGCTATTTAAATTTCAAATGTTTCTTTAATGTTAATTGAAACATTCGTTATATTGCTTTCTATTGAAACCCTATAATAATAACAGGTCGTTTATCTGTTCATTGACTGACAAGTTTATGACACATGTGACAGTAGACGTTCATTTAACAATATGAAAACCTAAAGTATGCTATTATGATAACACCATTTTGAATGAATACAATACAATTCGTTTAGATATACAAAAAAGAGAGATGTGGTATGATTACCGATGACATACCTTTTTATTAATACCAATTATGTATGTAAGGTAGATGTTTTGTCTTATGCATTCTTTTTTTCTAATTTTAGCAAAAAAATAGATAAATGACATAACATTGATCTATTCAAGTATGATTTGTCCATTTTGATAGTATAACAAATGTGAAATGACGAAATAGATGGACATTTATTCTGTATATTAATATGACGAGGTGAATTATAATAAACTACACACAATACCACGGAAGATGGATTAATATTACCTAGTATAACTATGTATGTGTAATATTAATTTTCTATCAAAACATTCGATCTTCACATAGCAATTTTGTTTTAAAATTTAAAAATAATCAAAACAGGTGCTGCAACATCAAAAACATCATTCCTTTGATTACGAAACAAAATTTTTCTGCAATTTTCTACGTTCGTTCCGTTAAAAGAATCAACTTAGCGTTCAGCAGCCAAATTTGTTTTATAGTAAGGTTATGTAAGTATGTATAAGTACCCGTCAACGTCCACTCTGTGTTTTTGTTACATGTATTTCTATTTGTATCAATCTGATGAGTTAAGCATTTTTCAACTGATTTGTATAGTTTGTTCTTATGTTGTACTGTTACAACACTGTCCCAGGGTAGGGGTAGAATTGAGCACTCACAAACATGTTTAACCCCGCCACATTTTCTTTGTGCCTGTCCAAAGTCAGGAGCCTGGGGCTCTTTTCACAAAAAATCTTACGACTAAAATTGATCGTAAGTTATACTGAAATGTTCATGACTTACGAGTGTTTTTACTCGTAAGAATTTTTGTGAAATGAGTCGCTGTAGTTCAGTAGCTGGTTGGTTCATGTCTTTCATTTGTTTTTTCGTAAATTGTTTTGTTATAAATTAGGCCGTTAGTTTTCTCAATTGAATTGTTTCATATTTTTAATGTCGGGGCCTTTTATTGCCGACCATACGGTATCAGTTTTTCTCATTGTAAAAGGCCGTAAGTTTGCCTATAAGTGCTTACATCCATTTCATTTGAACTTTGGTGGATAGTTGTCTCATTGGCAATCATACCATATCTCCCTATTTTTATATTATACAAATTTTCTGAATTTTAATGGACTGTATTTGTACTGGTTTACATAAAGCAATATTGTTTTATCTAAAATAAAAGCTTATTTCAGAGCATTCCAAGAACAGGCATGTGTTATGTAACACACTGTTGTTAGATATAGTGTTAACTAGTTGTCGTTCTGTTTATGAAAAGAATGTATACCGCTGATAACAGATCTTGGTGAATAACGCAATAAAAGCCATTCGAACGCATCAACTTAACAATCTGTTATTTTCCTTACCGGAACAACTAAGTTTTTTTTTTATTTTAAAAATACAAATATTTCCTTCCGGAGCATAATTAAAAAAAAAACATTAGGGCAATAATTCAACGATTGGTGCTTTGATATTTTGTGATCAAGCGCAGACTTAGTTTGACTGATTTAAAAATGAATGAATAATTGTTTTTCCTTGATTGCATCAGACTGGAGAATACAGTTTGAGTTTTATGTCGTCAAATCGAAAATTGGTACCTGTAAATCTTAAGTGCATTTCTGTTATACCAAATTGTGAACGGCTGATGTTCAAATAACTTTTTGTAAATTTTTGTAAGAAACGATTTTGTTCCTTTTCTATTATCTTCCTTTCGTATGAGCCCATTGTTGTTAGTTATTCTGTCCATCAAACGGTTAAGTGCGCAATCTTATTTCAACTTTTCTAAACGTTATAATTGTAACAAATTTATATTGCAAATGTTATGGTTTATGAATTAATCGTATTATCTTTCAGCCAAAGTTTTTTTTTCAAAATATAATTTCATTTTAATCGTTTCAAGCGTAAATAGAAATATTACTTGGTTCAAGGTATCTTCCGGGTTTAATGGTGTTTATATATGAATTTCATGTTGTCTGCCAATGATATGATTACAATCGGTTGATTTTTACGTTTAGGGGAACAACCCTAATACGATATCATTATTCTAGAAGAATAAACCTATCCAAACTTCAAATGTTTCTTTTGTGGTGCTTGACACATTCGCTATGCTATATTGTTTTCCATTGAATCCCTATGATAATGACAAGTGGTTTATCTTTTCATTGACTGTCGCACTTATAACAACTCTCGTTCATTTAACAATATGAAAACCTAAAGAATGCGTTTATAATTAGACATATTTGAATGATTAAATTTAATTTGTTGCGATTTGTCTTTCATTTATATCCAATAAGATATATAAGTTGAATTTATTTTCTTTAACAGTTTTGGGATATAAATAGTACGGTTATTACAAATGTTTTTTGTCTGTTTTTTAAACCACAATATAGGTAAATGACATAACATCGATCAATACAAGTTTTATGCGTCCCTTATTATGCTGTTACATATACTTCCTTGATAGAGGGTTGCTGCTTACATAAACTATTCCAAGTGGTGAAGTTGAAATCATCCCTTCATAAATTTTAAGGACGCCATCATGAGTTGGTTGACCATTCTAGAATATCTGTTTCACAGATGACAACGTATATGTCCCAATTGTCGAAACTTCAATCTCGCCCCTTTTCCCCGAATGTTATCTACCGAATTAGACTAATGACCGGGTTTGTACTTACATGCGCAACACGACAGGTACCACATGTGGAGCAGGATCTGCTTACCCTTCCGGAGCACCTGCAATTACCTCCGTTTTTTTGTGGGGTACTTGTTGCACAGTCTTTAGTTTTTTATGTTATGTTTTGTGAACTGTTGTTTGTCTTTCGTTTGTTTTTTTTTGTTTTTTCCTTGCCGTGGTGTTGTCAGTTTATTTTCGATTTATGAGTTTTAATGTCCCTTTGGTATCTTTCGCCTCACTGTTTAAATGTGAAATAATGAAAAGTATATTGGTTACACGATTAGTTAACGCATCAATATTGGTTTGATTTTTTTATTATACAACATTATATTGTTATTAGAAATAAATGTTGAGTAGCAATTGTGATGTGTATGCTTTTTGTTCCATAAACAAAGATAAATCTTAAATGGAGGCTGAATATACAAAGGGACATTAAAAACTCATACGTGTAAGGACTGGCAACGTCTTGACAATCCCCACCACTGAAAATCGACGAAAAGACAAACAAGTCCAAAAAAAAAACAGTACACAAAATCTAAGGACACACGCGTGAAAGAAATTAAACGAACACTAGTTTTCCGGTTGGCGTTGAATGTTTTTTTTTTAAAAATGCTTTTGATGTCATATAAAATAAAATATAAATAAAGGTATATAAAGTAATCTTTATGTTTTATCTGGGAAATACTTGTCTTTATTTTTACACCATAGCTAAATTAGAGAATATAAAGTGGATTTCTTTTGTAATCGAGTTGAAGAATTGCAATTAGGGGAAAAATGCTATGTTTATGTAAAAAAAGTTCGGGTTAAGTACTGAACTTCGAAATATAGTGTAAATTATATATGTCCACATATATATTTCTCCTTGTCAATATCAGGGAATAATTTCCCTAAGGACTAATTTATAAAAGTTGGTGAAAAACAATTAAAATTAGTCTACTTCAATAAATATTAAGAAACTTGACTTGTATTTATATTACAATTTGAATCACAAAGTACTAAAAAGAAAGATAAGGACGATGAACTAATTTCATTTTATAAAGAGAGTCTCTTCCTGGTATAATTATATGTGTCGGATATTCAGTTTGCTTTCAAAACATTTGATCTTGAACGCACGAAATGTAGTAAATGTTATTTTTATCTAAGGAACATTTCATTTGAAAATCAATTTTGGCGTATAGAGATTAAAATTGTCTAATAAAACCTTTAAAAACATTTATAAACTAATCATAGATACAGCCAGGATCATGAAAAAAACTGGTCTCAATGTCAGGTTGACTTTGCACGTCTGGGATGTATGACTGAGTCAAAATAACACCAAACATCAAGCGATTATACACGAAGGATCAATCAAATACTTAAATAGAAGAACACATCATAACGTACTATCTTTGTCATTCTCCCTCATAACTATGTTTTTGGGGCTAAGAGTTGACCTATGTACAAGTGATAGATTGACATTGTACTTGTGGAATGTATGACTGAGCCAAAATGACACCAGACATCAAGCGATAAACAGTATACATGAAGGATCAATCAAACCTTTGAAAAATAAGAACTCTTCATAAAGGACTATTCTGTTTGTCATTCTATGCTTTTGGGGCTAAAATTTAACCTATGTTTAAATGAGATATAAAAAAGTCGCAACTATGATGTGTGTGACTGTCCAACAATTAACAGTTAAAAACGTTTGTAAAATATGATCCCAATAAAAATATTGGTTTACGCAATATACCATATACCTACATAGAATTCTTAATTTCACATTCAAAGCACTATATGCGATATACGCATTAACTCGTGTAATGTTTTTTGAATGATAGGACATCATCAACATTGAATAAAAAGCGCAATTGAATCTTGATGCAATGTGTTTTTCTGTCATGTCTTTATAAGTACAAAACATGAGTCGGCTCAATGTGATACATGTTAGCAATTGTATAGGTTAGAATATTAAGCCATCAAACTCAGCACATACGTTGTCAATCACGTCGATAAATTCGACTGTAACGTAATATGTTCGTTTTGACTTGTGCAGCTTTTGGTAAAATACTACAAGAAACTATTAATGTTTTCGTTTACCATAGTATAGTTTTAAAAGAAACAAACATTCAATTAATACATGTAGATGTGGGCGTTTTTTTTTTCAAAGATAAGATTGATTGATTGTTGTTTGCATGTTCAGGACAAAAACAATTAAACAATACATACTATAAGTAGAGTTTGTCATAGGGTTCTACTGGGATGAAGGGTTGGACATGTGGATTGCATTTGAACTGCTTATTCATGGCTCTCTAAAATAGTAATATTCAATCATATGAAAATACTTCTGTTAGAAGTAATATATCCTTGGTAAACAGTCTATTTTCTTTTGGCGTGGCTCGGTACATATACATCCCGCCATTGTGTTATTGTGATATGGTCATTTCTTGTATTCTTGTCTTATATTTTTGCCTAATATGTGCTTTGTTTATATGCTATTTTGTTTTTCTTTGTTGACATATTTGTTTGTTTTTATAGTGATTAAGGTTATAAAACAATGTGTACTGATGTACCCCTATTATTGATATGTTTACCTATTATATCTGTTTATATCTGTTCAAACATTGTTGTCAATAATGTAATTTTATGTGACTGTCATACAAGTGCGAGGTTTAGCTAGCTATAAAACCAGGTTTAATACACCATTTTCTACATAAGGAAATGTCTGTACGAAGTCAGGAATATGACAGTTGATTTCCATTCGTTTGGTGTGTTTGAGCTTTTGATTTTGCCATTTGATAAGGGACTTTCCGTTTTGAATTTTCCGTGGAGTTCGGTATTTTTGTTTTTTTTACTTTTTATTATATAATATACTGTAAACCAACTTAAATTCGTAAGCAATTTATCGTCGCGATTTTGCCAGTAGAAAAATAACACGAGTATTAATTGGCACGGAAATGTAAAACCTGGGCATGCTCTTGTATGATACAAGATGTCCTAAATTCTACAGGATTTCTGTTCTGACGTTCACGTTCTTTTCTTATCATCTACCGCCGTGTTATATGATGTCGCTTATATTTATTATACCGCAGTTCCATATTTTAAGTAGAATTAGGACATGAATTGTTTAGAAATACAACATGCTTTCATCTAAATGTGTTAAATAAAGTCATATATAAAATACAACAAAAGAAAGAATTGTATGTTTACATTCATTTGCTGAACAAACGATATTCACAAAGACAATACTTGTTTTAGTGTGGTTATATATATATAAGTTAAAACATAAGTCAGCTGATCAAAATTAGCAAGGAAGTTGAAAGTGTTCATGCATATTTAGTTTTTTTTAAATTAAGTATTTCGTTCGTAATCAATTAGACGATGGAAACAATATTATGGATTTTATTCTTTGGTATACTGACGATTATTACTCAAGGTAAGAACTGAATGTGGTTTGTGAATATATAACAACATATTAATATTTATTAATAAAGTATACCTAATAGAATTCTTTATAAACAATGATTAATCGACCTTAATAAAAGTAATAACACACTTTTCAATAATCACTAGACTTAAATATAAAAAAATGTTCAGTAAAACACTAAATCCTAAAAAAGTTATAAAAATATCATTGAGCCTTCATATCTGTACCATGCCACAAGCTCTATGAATTCACAACTCTTTCTGAATTTTTGTACAATCTGTATGAAACTAAAGTGTTTTTTTTAAATATCGCACCGTTTTTTCGTAAGAAAAGGGTATCTCTGTATTTTCATACGAACTGGGATAAAATTAATGTGAATTGAAATTGAGTTCTCTTTGGAAGATCTACGTACTTTTTCACTGCTGTATGGACAATTTCGGAAATGATGTCTATATATGTTTCATTTGCCTACTTTCGTCCTTCTTTCATTTAATTGTCATCGTTTATGACTATTACCCTGATTTTCATTTGTCACGACGAAAATGATTAGTGCTACTTTTAGAGGGGATTAGAGACCAGTCCAATGTTTTGTATTTTTCACTTTACCCACTCTTAAATTGTTTGTTGACATGTTCGTTGTTTTCAATTTTTGTTCTGTCATGAAGTTGTCTGTCTTTTTTTTCGACTTACATGCATATATTTCCCCCTTTTGAATCTCCTTAAAATTTTACAAAAAAACTCAAATTTGTAGTTTTCAATTAATCTGGATCATTTACTTCATTTCTTTGATTTTACAGGTGATCCGTGTATTGATTATAAAGTTTTGGATTCAGCGGACGACTCCAGACGGTCTGCTGCAAATGGCTACGGACAATTATGTGATAATACCCTGGAGTCTGGATGGTATAGAATTATCAGCAAAGCTGGGGAAAGAATGCCAACAGAATGTATAGTTGGCGGTTTCCGTTGTGGGACAATGTCCTCTATATGGATGAATGGTAAAAATAAAACTTTAAACTCGAGATTGTACGGTTAATGTAGTAGGACGAGGGGAACATTAGAAATCTAGACGTTTCACTCGAAAGCATTAAGAAATGCACATTGTTTTTAAACAGCTTGCTTAATGAAAAAAATATATTCAATCAAATTGTTTTCTGAGACATTTTAATCTTCCCCATTTCAGTAATATATATTATCTTGTGAAAATAATTATTTCAAAACTTTATCAATAATTTCATTTTCTCACTATTTTCAGAAAATTAATAAAACAAAAGCTTAAACAATAACTAGATAGTAAAAAGTCTCTTTTTCGGAAATGCATGGAACAGTAATTTTTTGGACCAAACACATAAGTCGAAACAAAGGATCGTTTAACATCTTGTTTGTTAGAACAAACAATATATTTGACATGAATATTTAGTTTATCGAACCCTGCGCTCTATGTTTCCTCGACCTAAAGGAGCTAAACGTCTATACTTGTTTGTCAACATTTACCAAAAATCATTATTTTTGGCCTACATCGGGTGTAAATGCCAACTCTTTATGGAAATTATTTCATTTTCATTTTCTTAAATATCTTTCTATCAGCTTGAACCTCTTTCAAAACAATAACCTAATATTCGGGGTAGAAAACGGGAAACCTCATAAGATTTACATCTTTATAGTGAAAAAGGTACAATATCATACGTAGTCTGCTTATATATATTTATTAGTGCACGCAAATCGAAGTGCTTTTAAAGTTTTCATTAATGTTATAGGAACCTACCCAATTACAAATGAGATAAAATCAGTTACAGCATGTACAGCAAACTACAATGGAAATTGCTGTGCCAATTCTCATCAGATAAAAGTGAAAAACTGCACCAATTACCTTGTCTACAGTTTGGTTCCTGTAGCCCCATGCTCTCAGGCTTATTGCTTTGGTAAGTAAAACATTCGTTCCACAAAGACGACATTTTAATATATACCTCTACAAAATTCTAAAAATCATATATTCAAAGACAAACAAAAGTTTTCAATTAAGGCACTTTTGTTCGTCGTTCTGTCGTTTTTCATTCTTTTGGTTATTATGTTTGATCTTCATTTCGATTTTCTTTCCATACGATATCATAGAACTAGGCTAAGATCTAATACTCCAGTGATAAAAGCTAGCTATAACGGTGTGCCTTATGTCAACATAAAGTCATGTAAGTGTTTGGATATAATCATAAAATATTGTTTTTTTTATTACTGTTTCTTGTTTAACAGTCCTTTCATAAATAACAATGCTGACCATTCAGAACACAGAGGTTAACGAATTATGGGTTTGATGAAAAAGGCTTAGGAATTTAAAATTTCATTTTAATACAAGTATTGAATTAATTTTCAACTGATATAAGATTATTTTAATTTCAAAGGTACATTTGTATAACAAATTGTGTCGTTACAGAAAAACACATATAAATAGTAATTTAGTGTGCAACTAGAAACAGTAGTCATTTCAGTATTGGAATATCAAATAAATTGGAAATGGTTGTAATTTGCCAATGTGTAGTTCTTTCAATCTATATATTTACATCAACTATTGCATATAACTTTTTTATTAATTATTAATCTTTGGATTCTTTTTACACATGTATTGTTTTCTATTTCTTAATTTCCATTGACCACATTTGCTACCGTCTCCTGTTTTCCTTGCTTCAAATATGAGTACCCTAAATATGAATCAATTAAACAAGCACAATGAACAGCAAGATGCAGTAATTTTCAATCAAAGGGTGCACATAAGATAATAAACATATATCTTCTCTTTATTGTAAATTAAATAAGGAATCATCCTTCATTATTATGATTATATTGGAATAAACGATATCATTACGAGGCTAAGAAACAAGTAGACATCAAAGGATTGTCAAGTTGTTCTTTCCTGTGTTGTGTAGAATGTACACCTTGCAGATAAACCACGATGGAAAGTGACGCGAACAAACGATGTCGGATTTCCTTTTCTTTCTTTCCCTTTATTATATGAATATATGGCGCAAATAGCATAGTTGTAGTACTGAAACAATACACCACTAGTAAACTTTCAAGGTTGTCCATGCCTCCCTCTCCTAAACATTATTTTTTTTAAATACTACATGTATATGAAGCAATCGTACCAAATCTCCCAATCTTTAAATGGAAAATTAACTTTAAGAACACGTGGCTAATTACAACAGCAACGAATATAACACGCAAAAACGGGATAATAGCATGTTCTCTGCAATATTCAAGTAATATCTAGTGCTGTTTTACAGACACACAGACTTGGGTTTTGAGCGTGACAGATGTTTGCCCTTTTCACAATAGGACACCGTTGAATCATACACTCATGTAATTATGTAATAGATTGATAGGTTTTAAACTGTTATTGTACAATACATTGAAAAAGGATTCTCTTAACATAAGAATGCACATGTATAAGTTGTATATATATTTCAGGATCAGAGCTTCCTTGTCCGACTGGAGAAACTTCTGATAATGGTTTCAGTCCTGGGTGTGAACGTACGTATTAAGGATCAACCTTTGTTATTGTATTTTCTTATTTGAAAAATATATTCAATTTATTATCCATAGTTTTGTCTCACTTCTTTACAATAATTAAACATAGATAATCATTTGTTAAAATACTACAATATTTTTGTAATCGAAAAATCTATGATATAAATCGAACGTCGAAACTAAAAATGTATCATCTTAAAACTAAACAAAGACGAAATAATTTAGATAAACGAATGATATAGATTCTTTTGAACCGGTCTTGTATTTTTTGTCTTAGTGTAAATAGGACGATCAAGACAAAATTGTCTGTTACAAACTATGTAACATGTTTTACATCATCGACCAAAATACGGAATGAGTATAGCAGTTAAAACTCTCTTAGTGAGTTGTCCTTTTGAGCATCGAAAAACACGGAGTATAGTAGAATTTATACCTGAGTTCATTTCCTTTATAGCCCTCTTTCGCCAAAAGATAATTTTGCCACCACTTTTTCGCCAACTTATTTTCCTTGTTGCAAACTACCTTAATTGCTTTACGCAGCGTTATCGTCTCATGTAAATCTGTAATCTAATATAACATGTAACGTGAAATTACATTGAACATTATTCCCACATCTCTATTCTATAATCAATATTTTAATGAATGAACATCAAATTATAGTTATAATTTAGTTTGTATCCGAAACATCATCAGGTCGTGATCCATCCTCGATCTATTTATCGGATACGTACTATCTAGTTGAGTGTTCTGAGTGTGAGAGGTTTAGCGCTATAAAACCAGGTTCAATCCACCATTTTCTGCATAAGAAAATGCCTGTACCAAGTCAAGAATATGACAGTTGTTGTCCATTCGTTTGATGTGTTTGTGCTTTTGATATTGACATTTGATTAGGGACTTTCCGTTTTGAATTTTCCTCGGAGTTCAGTGTTTTTGTGATATAACTTTTTTCTGAATAAAATAAGCAATGTTTTTTATCTTGTTTGTTAATTCTTTAGCCAAAGTTTTTCGCAAATAATTTTTTTTCTCAACACAGTTTTATTATTTTTCGCCAAATTCGAAAATTGCGACGGAAACTCTGATTATAATAAAATTATATATAAACTACATTGTAAATTGTTAAAACTAAAATGTATTAATGTAAACATGCCAGTTATTAATCAGTGTAGCCTGAGCACCAAATTAGAGCTGTTTACAGAAACGCCAAGTGCATTAATATAGAATAAGCTATACAGTAATTATAACAAAATTAGAAACAAACAGTGATATAACATAACCAAAATTAATGTTTAATTATACAATTTCTACTCCCATGTACGTTGCAAGTACCAAAACCAACAACATTAACGACAATAACATCAAGATCGACGACAAAAGCAAAATCAAATACAACAATCTTCACAACAATACCGTCAAGATCAGCGACAATAGCAACAATCTTCACAACAATACCGTCAAGATCAGCGACAATAGCAACAATCTTCACAACAATACCGTCAAGATCAGCGACAATAGCAAAACAAACGACAACAACATCAAGATCAACAACAATTTCCACAGTAATACCTTATGAAATATCTACAACCTTGGAAACAATAAAGACATCCAGAGCTGCAATCGATTCATCCATGACTACAACACATTCAGTGGAGATATCGACTACTTCACTAGTGACTAAACATACAACAACACATCTACCACAAAAAGGTACGGAAACAAAAGTTCTGTATTCTATCAATGCTCAAATTGTGTATGAATAATGACTTGTTAAGAATGAAAATTTTGTAAAGAATGTGAATGATATTCACATTCGTGAATTATTACGAGTAGCAAAAGTGTTAACATGGTGTTTCAATTCAAATAAAGCACGTAATTATACGTTTTATCATAGTTATTAAAGACAACATAATTTTAAATTTAATATCAACTGCCATTATTTTTTTGTTTTCGTACAAATGGCTTCTACAATAAAACATTATAAAAGATGGCTAGCATATGGAGGATAATTGAAATGGCGATATCAAAATATATATTTTTTATAGCACATGTTGTAAATCTCAACACTATGTTGACATGCAAGCATTTTTTTTAACATATTTAATTTGTGCAATTCATTTTGTCAATTTTAGATGAAAAGGCAACAAGTATGACTGTTGTTGGTCTGACTGTACTTGTTGTTTTCTTGCTGATTGTTATAGCTGTATTTGTTGTGTAAGTATGTTCACCTAAAATTATATAAATAATGCAGTTAACACAACTCGGCAACGATGGACGAACTGTTTCAAATTGAGGTTAGAAGTAATTATGTTCAGAAGTATAAAATTCAGGTATACCATGTTAAAGCAGCAACACAGGGATGATGATTTTAAGTTTTACTGCTGAATGTCATACGCTATACATGCTCAAATTGGATGAAAATAGTTTCCTAATTTGGTTTACTGTGTAAAAAAAACAGACTGAAAAGATGAGGTACAACCAGTAATATTCAAATAATTGAAGATGGATTGAGTACTTTTCACAGATTGACTAACATTGTTTGTTCGTGTATAACTGATTTTGCAGACTGAAATAAAACCTGCATATAATTTAATTGAAAATCTGTGTTTCGTTGAAAACCTATTTGTTTGGTCCACATATTTTCACGAAATCCATGAAAATTAGAACCCCTCAAATAACAATGTATCAACAGTATAGTATTATTAAGGAATAGTAATTGTTCTCCTTACCTTATGCTGAGGTTAACTTTACATCATTTTGTAAGCTTATTATTTATTTTACTTTTAAACGCATTCTAAATTCATGGATATAGCCTGCTTCAACTATTTATTACAGAATTTTTAGACGAAAACCTAACTGTCTAAAGGACACAAAGAGTACATCCCCTCCAACCTACGAAGAAACGGTGAAGACTGAAAACATAACTAATCCGTACGCACAAATCGAGGATACCAGTCATTATTCTTGTATAAATGACAACAATTACAATGAAGGCTACGATGAGATTCCATATGAAAAAAATCAGACTGTGCAGGATAATAAACTGTACCTTCAAAACTTTGCTACAATTCCAGCTTTAAATCAGATCGTAGAGGAAAATAAGCTATATCTCCAAAAACCTCTTAGTGACTCAGTGCCACTAGATAACCCTGAATAACCAAAGAATTTACAATAAATAAATTTATTTAAGCATGTTGACCGGTGTATAATTTCTTATACACATACTGTAAAGTTATTAATATCATCGAATGAGCAAATGTCAAATTTTAATTATAGTGTAACATATGATAATTGAACATGATTGTAGATAATGTAAACACATTGTACAAATTTTGTATCATATTTATACTTTTGTGAACAATTAAAATGTAATATTTATAACTTACATGTTACAGATATACGACTTACACATGCAGTTGTCATGAATTGGGTACTTATATTATAATAATTTATCATATTCGTTATATTATATTGAAAACAGAATACATTGCATTGTCAAATGTCATGTTAAGGAATATGTCTCAATGCAGTTGAAGAAACCCGCTACTATTCAGAGATTGATGAGTTCACACATGGAACTTATGCTTTATTATAACTGTCACAGTAAATTGACACCAAGTCTACAAACTACGCAGCATGTTAAATCAATTTATAAATGATTTAGTGGTTTCACGACCGTTCCTTTTTTTTGCATGACATGCAAATGATAACCTTTTTATATTGTTACTAAACACATTTGATTTACAAGTTATGTACAATTTGATATAATCCATGGCTGTTCTCCCACCTCACTCGTCTTCTTCTGGTTCTGCATCTTTTGTTTTAATTTCAGGCAAATGCATATATTTTCGAACATTGAATAAGTAAGGCTAAATTTAGAATGTAAATATTGACTGAATCAATCATGTAACCAATTATTCATAATCAATAACAGAATCGTCAGTATATTTCCTAGCAGTGTAATCACAATAGCATAAAATGCTACTGATCAGTTTACCAAATCAGGAATATGTCAGTCGTTTTTTTTTTCACTTGTTCCCTTGATTGATAACGTTTGATTTTGTCAGTTTTAATGGACTTCCCCTTTTAGAATTTGCTTTGAATTTGTAATTTTTGTTATACTTTTTTCCTACTGCAACTAAAGGTTCTTGTGATGTTGTATATATTTTGGCATTTTTGTTGCTAATTTTTTGTGTTATTAATGGTGTTTTAAGGAATTGGTTAGCCCGTTTCAACTGAGTTTTATAGTTTTGTATATGTTCTTTTGGTGTCCAGTTACACTACTGTATATGGTTTGGTAGGGTTGAGCGCTCGCAAATATGTTTAACCAGTCACCTTATGTGTGTACCAGTCACAATTCAGGAGTCTAAGATTCAGTGGTTGTCATTTATTACTGTCTGTCCTATTTGTTTTTCGTTTATTTTGTTGTACCTAAATGAGCCGGTAATTTACTCGTTTGAACTGTTTAGATTTTTTTCATTTCTGGACCGTTTATAGCTTGCTGTGCAATATTTGTGGTGGTCATTGTTGACGTTGACATATTGATGATAAGTTTTACGCCATTTGGTTTCTTGTGGATACTTGTCGCATTTGCAGTTAAACCACATATTCTTATGTTTATATAGGTTGTCTTTTCCTCGTCTTCCATTTTTTCTACAATGGTATTGACGGTTTCTCTTCGAATTATGACTTTTGAATGTCTTCTTGGTATCATCCGCCTATTTTGGTCATAAAATACTACATTTTTATAATTCTTGTTATACTGTTTAACAGAAATTGTAGTGTTACGTTGTTTTCCTATGTCCCATAGTACATAACAGTCCAAAAGAGTTTTCACTCATCCTTTTTTTCTGCAAAATATAATTGATTCAATTCCTTTATGTATATGCAGTTAATGATTGGGAAAAGGTGTTGTAGTGTTGAAGATTTTTGCTTTATTCAAAGGCCACTGTTATATTATTATCGGTTGAAAAGATACAATATTAAAAATATATATAAAAATCGCTTAAAAATTTTCTATATTTTATATCATTATTGTTAATATACATTTCTTCCGGAACTATGATTTAACAAATAATGTAGAGTTATGAGATATTTTCTAAACAAATACCCATATTTCACTGTATAGTCAAATAAAATGTCTTCAATAAACTCTATTGCTGTTGTTATAAATCAGATAGTTCTATAAGGAAATGTACTTTGTTGACAAATAAAGATACAAATACATTTGATAATCTCAAACAGTTTTTTTCTCTAAGTGTATTGGGTGTATACCGATTGAAATTTTATTATTGGAGAATATGGTTTATATTAGTTGGCATTGGCTTTGAAGTAGCTTTCAGTATTTGTTTGTACTCTTTAGTATATGTTTTTTTATAGGATTTCTTGTGGGGTAAGTGCAGGTCTGATGGAAAAAGCATTTTCTATCCGCTTTTTATAGTTTGGTCTAAAATTGTGGTACATTACGATTGTCCAAAGCTAGGGGAGGGTTGCGTGATCATAATAATACAATTAAGGAAAAACAAATGAGACAGACAGCAACCAACGACAACAACTGAAAAACAGATTCCTGACTTAGTACAATAGCATAAAGAATGTGGCAGAGTCAGACGTCTTTGTGAGCGTTCAACACTTCTTAACCCGTAACAGATGTAGAACAGCAAAACAGAACATGTAAATGGGAATGGATTGACTAATCAGATTGTCACGAAGCACAAAAAACCCCCAACTAAGATAAGGACAAAAGACACAAAATACTGATTTTAGAGGACTTGGAGGTAATGAAATTTAGTTCAAAGCCAATTACAATCAATAAATAAACCATGTTATCTCAAAAAGTATCAATCAGTACAACACTAGAGGATTTCGATTTAACAAAAAAGTCTAAGAAATGCTTGACTTTGGGCAATTTCCAACTGTAGGTACATAACATCGACGGGATGCATATATAAATAATCCTAAGTTGTTTCATATATATAACATTAACTATTGTTTAGTTTAGATTTGTCAAAACAAAATTAATGTAAATACTGATAACATAATTTTCAAAGATCTTACTACGGTGCTTAAATGATATCCTTTATTTAAGTATACATTTATTCAAATGATCAATGTTTTTACATGAGTCGTATCCAAAATAAGGATGTCATAGAAATTCTACGGATACAACTAAACTTTGAAAACCATATCTTTGTATCTATGAAATAAATTAGTAAAGGTTTCAAGTAAGCTATTGTAACAAGAGCAAAACCGACATTCTAAATTATCAATTTCAGTCAATATTTACTAAAGAAAACCATAATAACTTCCCTAATAAAGGGAGAAGTCCATATTCTACCATGAAGGATATTAAGATTAGCATTAATGGAGTCCACAAATTGTTAAAAAATCTTAAACGACATAAGCAACCGGTCAATCTTTTATACTGACCGCAGCAGCAGACCGGCTTGCTCCAATTCTAACAGACCTGTATCAAACATCACTGAACACTGGCGACGTCTCACAAGATTGGAGAGATGACCATGTCAAAAGTCTTCAAAAAAGACGAAAGGCACTTTGCATATAATTACAGATCAGTATCTATTACATCAATTGCATGCATGGTCTTTTAACGCATTGTACACATCAACATTATGGACCATTTCGATAGAAATAAAATTATTACTAATGCACAACACGGATTCCGCAAAAGACGATCTTGCGAATCCCAACTCGCAACAATCAACGACATTGCATCAACATTAAAAAGAAACTTTCAAGTAGATATCATCCTTCTGAATTTGCAAAAGCGTCTGACATGGTGCCACATCACCGCCTGCTACACGGACTAAATTGGAATATTACAGCGTCAATCCTAACACCATCATATTAATTCGCTCCTTCCAAAATAACAGAAAGCAGAGCATTATACTAGAGGGAACTGTCTCCATTTAAGTACCATTACTCTCTTGCGTACGTCAAGGCACAGTTATAGGACTATTACCAAGGTTACTGTTCCTGGTTTGCATCAAAGACATGTCAGAAATAGCAAATACATCAGAGACCAAATTATTTTCCGACGGCTGTCTATTCTTCGAACCATCATAAACCAAGCAGAAGTGACATTCATTGAAAGATTGGTAAAACAAATGGCATACGAGTTTCAACGCCAAAAATGACTTGTTATAAGAATTTTAAAGAACAATCGACCGGTAATACAAACATTTTACAAAATATACGGTCATGCATTAGAGACAGATAAAGCCTGCAAATACCTAGGAGTAACAATCAGTAACTAACCTGGGATAAACGCATCGATTTATTTACAGAAACCGTAAAATTGGGAAAGCATTAAAGAATACAGGAAACAAACAGATTATGCATGCTGTTCAAACATGATCTAATCGACACAGATCGTCAAAAATATCTGAACCCAAACGATAACCGGACCTGAGGTAAAACACGCTTCTACCAAGAAAGAACAAGTACCGATGCATATGGCCAATCTTTCTTCCCAAGGACCATCAGTGATTGGAAAAGTCTACCAACATCATATTTCGTCGGCCAACATTGTTAAAGGATTCAGAACTGCCTTGAAGGTTTAATCTGTAATGAACTAGGCAACACCAAGATGTACATAGTTTAATAGTAAACATATTGCGAAGTTTTAAATGTTAATAGCCAAGAGAGAACTTTCTGTGTTGCTCGACACTGCACAAAATTTTTAAATTCAAGTTTTGAATCGGTTCCTTACCTGTAAAAAGAAGAAGAAGAAGAAGAAGAAGAAGAAGAAGAAGAAGAAGAAGAAGATTGTTTCTACTAATTTCTATGAACAAATCACCGTTGGTTTTATTTTTAAATTGGATTAATATAAGGCATAAAACGGCAACTTTTTTTCTAAAAGCATGAATATTTAAAAGAAATGGATCATTTCTACAAAAAAATTAAATGCAAACTTATGGACAGGAGAAAAGATATTCCAAATTGTTTTTACATAAATCCGCTTGTGTTTATCTTTTGAAAATAGTTTGAACTCAAATTTTCGACATACAATCACCATGTGATCACAACCGTATCGTATGCTCTTGAGTGCTTATAAACATTGTCATTTTACCAGAGGTAGAGATAGACATAACCTCTAGTATCCATCGTAGAACAGATACCTTAGACCCATTCGAGTCTGCCAGCATAGGGACGGGGGTAACCATTGCATCATAGCCCTAAGTATTCCTGGCTTGACTTCTTACGGGTTCTAAAAGTGGACTGCATGTACTGTGAATCAAAGTAAAGACTGAAAAAAAAACTTGTTTTTTTGTGTAAAGCAACATCTGGGGATATAGGCCGTACTTCTGTCCAGAAAATAACTACAAGATAGACTTCAAACAATATATACCATGTAAGGAATGTGTAGATAATCTGACCCAATTGTCAAAAGTTCCAGGATGTCCAAGATAAAGAATCTCCAGAGTTCAAGTTGTATTAATCAACTGTGAAATACTATACAAGGTATATTAAAGTAAATCCATTTCAAATGAACATAATATACAAATGTGTATTAAGTAAATGATTTATATTTTTTTTTATCGTAGGGATTCAGTCTTTATTGCATATACCCACATCTTTTTTTATTTATATAAGATAAACATCGATAATATTTGGACTATCTTTTTTTATTTCTCTAGAATTTTAGGAAGTTTTATGCAATGTTACTTCGAAAAAGAATGATTTGACTCTACAAATGGTGATAGGTAATTTTGTCTTGCAACTGGTCACACGCGTTATCCTCATATAATTGTTTCAAAGACTCTTCAACATGCAGTGAGCGCTGTACGCAATAAAATGATTTTGTTTTTGCTAATTGTCCAGTGGCATTGTATTCATGCTTATTCATGACGAGAACAAATTATTAATAAATAAATTAAAGAAGTTTCTCCTGCAAAGTAAAACCCAAGGGATAAAGGGTGGGAAACATGACAACCTGTAAGTGTTTTACTACCAAAACATAGTACGGCACATCCGGTTTCATGTTGAAAAAAGTACGAAAAAATATTAATCCCTTGAATTTGACAGTTGTAGAAAACTAATCCTGAAAGTCATAAACATATATCTTGGGTATTTCTAACACACTTCTGGTCTTTATCTGGTGTTCCTTTACAATATTTTGGAGACTTTCAGAAAAGAAGGATGAGAAGTTGCTTGGGTTACTACTGGTGATGGTAATGTTCTGATATGCAATGAAATGGTGTGTGAAATGTTCATTGTAATACTGGACAGGATAAAACATTATGCATGCCATGTAATTCAATTGTTTGAAACAAATTTAAATTCTACAAAACCTTTTGAAAAATGCCTTTATCAAAGACTAATAAGGGAAACAATTGTGGCATAACACCACTAGCACAGAGGGTATGTAAAATATACAGAAGCCAAAGTTTGCCTTTCAACAAACCACGTACGGACTCAACAGAAAGTTGTGGTATTTATTATTCTAGGTGCAGAGAGCGTGGCATTCACCCTACACGAAACAACGAATTTAACACATGTTTCAGACCTAACGTAGCTGCGTAATTTTACATCCCGAACAGCCAACTGCTACTTCTCTAGCATAAATTTCACTGTCAAATAGAAGAAATCACTATAACCATGCTCACATCGACACTTTGGTACAACCGGGTATCTGTATCCATTAGTCTGTACAGAATTTATAGGTTTTTTTTTAAACTTTTGCAATATTGCCAACATTGTCATTACACTATTATTGTCATTGAGAATTATATTATTTGGAAGTTTATATGAATTGATGAATTACGAAATTACTAGGAAACTAAGGTTATAACTCCCTCAAGAAAAACGTATTATTAGAATGTGGTCCTATAGCTCTCAACGTGTCTACATGTTTATAATTCGTGGCTTTCAAATGTTTGATGTCCCTGATGAAGGTAAATCGTGAAAAGCGCTTCGGACAAACGACTTTTAAAAAAGGTTTGTTTGCATTTGAAGGACCGATTAAACTTCTTTTAACAACCAGTATATATATTTAAACTAAAAATGTTTTAAAACAAAGGTGTTTATACGCTGTAATGGCAAGTATTGTTTTCATTAACGAATACAATTACATTATTGCGTTTTTTGTTGTTTGTGTTCCAATGAAAAAAGATGATCATCTATTGGTTATTCCGGGTTGATACCTATTTTAAGCTTTGATGTTTTCAATCATATTTGAATAATAAAAAAAAGCAGTGATATTTTATGGAATTTTTAATTGTGTACTAAATGTAAGTATATTTTATTGAATTAATCAAATTCTTGTCATTATCATTTCATGTTTATTATTCAATTTCTTGACCTTAAAACAAATTTGTTAATATTCATATCAATAAAATGTTATTCTACTAGTACTCTAAGCATGAAATTTCAGAATTTACGTTGATATCTACATTGTGTATAGAAAGGCTTTGGTTTTACAAATTACTAATTTAAGTAGTCACAATTACTAAAAAATCCGGGAAATGTTCAAATGTGTGACATTATTTTAAAATTATTGTTGTTACTATTCCTCTTTCATATTATTAACTATAAAATGTGTTGGTAAAATTACATACTTTATATGACATTTTTACTATTAAAAGTATTTCTTCAACATTAACCACATTCATACGACCTGGTTTAATAACACTCATCACTGTCCTTTTTTATTTAGAAGTATTTAGGTGTTACTCATATATACCAAGTATACTTTGAATTGAAATAAAATTAAATTATATAGGAATCGTGGTATAAGGGGCAAAACGAATTAGTTGGATTTTCAGGAAAACGTGTGGCTAATAATGGAACAATATAGGGTATGATTGTGCTTGATATTCTCGCTTTAGCTTCAAGACAAACACTTTCTTGTATTAATTTTGTATGCCTGTACCAAGTCAGAAATATGACAGTTGTTTTCCATTCGTTTGATGAGCTTTAGCTTTTGATTTTGCCATTTGATCAGGGTCTTTCCGTTTTGAATTTTCCTTGGAGTTCAGTATTTTTGATATTTGACTTTTTTGTATGCACATTTGAAGTTCAAATTTTCCAGGCAATTGAAATTCTATAATGCTTGGTCTCACAAATATTTGTTACGGGTATTGGGAACTTGGATGCAAAGACGGATCAAAATGTGTGTGAACGTTGTTGAGTTTGAAAAATAACCCTTCCGAATCCTATTGTTTTTCGTATAATCAATAGTTACTGCCAATTACAAAATCAAGGCTTTATTCTTATACGCCGATTCTTATGTAATTAGAATTGTTCCGCGGTTGTCCAGTTTAACATTCAAACATACGAGATAACAAAACGATTTGTAAAAAACAACCAAATAAATGACTGATTTGATGAAAGCTATTTTTTTTCTTTTTCCAAAAACAGAGATACTTTAAACTTGATGCCTTCAAAAAACAGATGATTCTGTTGAACTAAATTGCCTGATGCATTACAAATAAATTAGTTAACTGGATTTTATTTTTTAATATCAAAGCAGTTATAAAAAGCAAAATAATAAAAATACCGAACTCAAAGGAAAATTCAAAACGAAAATTCCCTTATAATGTAAAATGGCAAAATCAAAAGGTCAAACACATCAAACGAATGGAAAACAACTGTCATATTCCTGACTTGGTACTGGCGTTTCCTTATGCAGAAAATGGTGGATTAAACCTGGTTTTATTGCTAGCTAAACCTTTTACTTGTATGAAAGTTGCATAAAATTCAATCATATTGCCAATAATGTGTGAGCAAAACAAATAGATATGATAGGTAAAATGTCAAAAGTTAGGGGTACAGCAGTCAACATTGTTTTATAATCTTAATATCTATAAAACCAAACAACTATGTCAACAACGAAAAACAAAATGGCATATAGACAAAGCACATAAGCAAAAGTGAAAGACAAGAAGAAAAAAAATGACAATAGTACAATAACACAATGGCGGGATATAAAAATACCGAGCCAAGCCATAAGGATATTTCCAAAAAATGGATTAAACAGTTATTGTTAATAATATACAAAGACAAACAAAAGAACACTATAGCACGTAATTAAGATGATAAACAAGGTCAGAACCTAGAATCTATAAACGTCTGCTTGTAAGTAATAATATTTGGTGTGTTTGCATTATTTAAATTAAAAAAAGTTTTATGTTATAACAAATATCAAGGTTTTCATTTTTTTTAACATTTATGTAACACTCTCTTGTATAATTTCCCTTCCACATTGATGAAATATTATGTATTGGAGTTTCCTTCATCAAAAATATGGATCAATACCGGTAATGTCATTGTCTATTTGATAATATGGGGGTCAATTTGTATTGGTCTAATACGAAATCTGACAAAGAAATGTTTGTGAGACCAAATATACTTGATTCGACAATTTTTTTAAAGAGGCGCTCATGTGCCCTTAGGACTTGGATTTTGAATTTTGTTTATAAATATATCTGTAAAATCATCTTTATTGTACAATAAGACAATTTTACTTAAAAAGAGGTTACTAGATAGAATTTGTGATTTTTTGGATTATTTTAGAGTCGGACAATAATCTCATATAAAGCAAACTTATTCCCGGATATATATTTGCTTGGGCAATACGTCGAGTGCCTCTTTTGAACAGGAACTGTTTTCCCTTCCGTAGCACCCGAGTTCACTCTGGATTTAAATGGGGTTTGTGTTGCTCATGCGGTAGTTTTATATGTAATATTTTGTTATTGTTGTGAATCCTTTCGTCATGTGTTTTTTATCATGATATGTCTGTTTTATTAGACTTATGATTTTCTATTGCTCCATTAGTATATTCTCTCTCATTTTCCTACATGTGCTTATATCTGATCTTTATTATAGGGGATAACAAAAGAGCAATAAGTGCTTAATACCGAGATGAAGACGTTTCTGAATGCCGCTATGTTTTTCCTTGTTTTACATAATATTTATGGATTCCCGCCATACCCTTTGACTGGATGGCCCCATGTTAACACAAGGTCACACAAAGACATGCTAAATATAGGAATTAGAAGGGCTGTAGGCCAGTTCCTTTTACAATATAACTATCTTGAAGATGATGTACATCTCTTTGAGGTAGTGAATGCCTTTTTTGGCGACGGTAAGTATTTGTCTATAATGCGAAACATGGCAGAATATGTATGATTCAATGGTCTTTCATTAACGGGTAATGCAAGCGGTAAATCTCAATTACTTGTTATCAGTGACACGTAAATACTATAAAACAATAAGATACATCAAAAATATATTCAAAAGATAATACTCAATACTTGTTTTCATTTTATATACTTAGTACATGTATCAACTGTTATCTTACCTACATTACAGGCAATGATGGTTTAGATACTAGCAAACAATACAACTGGTTCATTTTGAAAATACTTTCCATATGATGTCTGTCGAATATTTCCTTTAATAGTCGAATCATTGCAGATATTTCCTCCGATATTTATTTCTTTTTCTACCAAACATGCTCAATATAAGGACGAGCACTATTTGATTCCTGGAAGCCATGATAAATGTAAAGGATTGTGTTGTCTTCTAGAAAGTGGCTATCTACGTCATATGCTGTTCATTAAATTAATGATTTCTTTTCCCTTCATGATGTGAATATTGCAGTTATTTTATAGTTACAAGCATTATGACATATTGAGCTTGTGTGTGTATGTTTTAGCAAATGGCTCATTCTATAAGGGCAAACGTAATATACAAATACATAAATAAATGCCCAAAAAACATATATGAAAAGGACAACAAAAAAATTGCATTTACTCAGTTTATCATCCATTTTCGTTGCTATTAATATGCATGACAAAGAGTTCAATTGAAAAAGAAACTGTAACAGTCAGTCATATTTTTATTTTCTAGACAGTGATGGCAAAGAGAAATATTACGATAGTGTTCAGGAAATATATTCTTATCTAGAAAAACAAGAACTGCTGAAAGAGGCATACATACATTGCAATGGGGAACAGATATTAGAAGGTGTGTACAACTTTATTTGCACTTTTCATCTTTCGTAAATGGTTCCCCAAAATGACGAAAAGGAAACTACAGTAAAACAATCTGTATACAAAGGTCACACATGGGACCAGAAAACATAACCTTTTACGAGAGTTGCTTTTGAATTGAGGTTCAAAATGCAAATGCATTACTACAGCGGGACAAGGAAGTGGTGACCTGACATGTCCGGTTTTTGAACATTGCTTAATAGAAGTGACCTTTATAGTAGTTTTGACTGAACGTGAAGTAAAATAAGTTCATTTTAAAACAGTAATGATATCTAATTATGGATCAAAAATTTATAAAATTGCCCGATATAGATAAAAAAGAAATGTAAAAGATGGTTTATTCTAACAGTTGTTTTCTTATTGTTTCGTCATATACGTTCTTAAAAAAATTTTTTTTTGCACATCAAATATTTAAAGATTGTTATAACATCATAGCTGGTTCTATAATAGTAGCTATTCATTAGATATAGAACTATAAACCTGATGTAGTTGTCTAGCAAGTGACATGAAAATATCTTTAGTTTTATGATCAAAGGGACTGAAATATTATAGATGAATTCATCTAAAGTCTTTTTGTCTGAGAGGAGTTGGAAACTTAGTTTTTTTTAGAATACGGTCTTAATGTATTAACCAGGAATGAAAGCAAAGTATGGCATATATCATTTAAGAAGTGGTGACTACTTGTCAGATTTAACCATTGTTGACAACGAACCAGTGCGAATAAATGAAAAACACTTTCTAAATTGCGTACGTCCTATCTGCGTTTTTGTTATGTATGTTCACCAGGAACATTGAAACCTAAACATTTAAAAGCCAGGAAAAAAGGTAAGGAGTCAACTTTGTCGAATGGAATTGGAATCTTTGTACCTTTTAGCATATACAACATGTACAATGTGGTTTTGATACATTAATTCATCCGCTTGCTATCAGGATTTTTTTGTCATGAAGTTATAATAGCCTCAACCCGACTGATCAATTGTTGAAAATAGTTGTCTTGTGCAAATATATACCATTCATGAATCAGTCACAGAGCTTGATAAGTTGAATAAAAATTTGTTTCTAGAAATTGTACATTTTCTATTAAAATTGATTAAGCAAAAGCCAAAACTGAAAACAAACTTGAAAGTAGCTTTATTGGAAATACATTCTTTTTAGCACACACATTTCTAGTGTCACTCAGGCAAAGGATGAAAGAGATTATTAATGAACCAGATTATAGCATATCTCTGCTGCGAAAATATGTAGGGAAATGTTTATATACCATACAAGCGTTTTACAGCACTACGAACTGGGTTGAAATGGATAGGAATAAAACTTACAGGGATTTTGGTAAGTTAACGTAACACTCGAAACCTAAACATTACTAAACGAATGTTAATATGGGGTATAAGCGATATTATGTATGTTGAAGGTTGTCTGCATTACTATATAGATCACGTTTTCATATGCCCGTTACTGTTTCATATTCTGTTCATTTTCTATCTGACTTTTTTTCCAGATGTTTGATGTTAATATTATTTGTTTTATCTATTTAGTTTGCTACCGCAAGGCATGTACATCAGCCTTTAAATTTACTGAATATGTATTATACACTTTTTTTTCTTTTTTGTTTGGCTAATGTAACCCCATTCAGTAATTGTTGACTCTAGTATTTGTCATTTTAAATGTATATGACCTAAACATTTATTGGTTCGAACAATAAGGTACCATTTGCGCTTGTTCTGTACAAATACTCGCTCATTTTAATTAATAAGAAGAAGACATAAAGAAAAAGTAACGATCGCTATTTAACTTGTTTATCAAAACATATTTAAATAAATAACTGTCTTTGAAAAGGTGTTCCTGGTAAAACACTGCTCACAGTGGCTGCTGATGATGTTGATACGTGTTCGGACTGCGATAACTCAGGGCAAGTTTGTTTGATAAATAACACACCCTTGTGATGCATACAAAGATAATTACATATACAACCAACCTGTTATAATTGATGGAATCTATAAAATATTATAGATTTTTTCGACATAACTTATACACCAAATTAATTTGATGACATCTATTTTCTCTGGTCAAATTTAACCTTTGACTGTTTCTGCCAGGTCATATGACTACAGAACTTATTACTTGTTAAGCAAAACTTTGATTATTTATTCAACCTTTAGTTTGCTTAGTTTCATTTTCAATAATTTGATACCCAACTTAATGTATATTGCTATCCAATAACTAACAATTTTGGTCCCGCATCATGTCAAAACTCGTGTCACTGCATAAGATCATGATTTTTCATTGACTGCTTATCTTAAACATGTTATAAGTTATCTGAATTACTATATTCGAGCTGAACTAAATGAAAGCTTAGTCTTGGAATACATGGTATATGCATCAGTTTCATGTTCTTTTTTTCTCTCAGTGTGTTCTATTGTTCTAATGTTATATAAATGCCCTAGATGATTGACACTATCTGCTACTCACAAACATGTTGAAACCAACAATATTTATAGTGTACATGTCTAAAGGCAGAAACCTGTAGTCCACTGGTTATCGCTGTTTGTGGCATGTCATAATTGATTTTCAATTTATAGTACTAGGCTTTATCATGCCGTATGTTTCTGTGCTGAATCGATTAAAATTTTGTTATACTGAAGTCGTTTATGATTATATATAATCCAAATACCGTTTCGATTCCTAACATCACTGAAGAGACATTAATTGTCGAAATCCGGATATGGTGTACAAATGTTTGCACCTCATGTTTGCGGTATACCATCTATTCCGCAAGTTTTTTTGTTTTCTATTTGGTATTAGATTAAAATTAAGATCCATTTTGTTACATTTGTGATCCGTTTATTTGGCAATCGCCATGGCAGTCAGCAGGGTTTAAGAACATCCGTTGTTCGACCTGCTAGTCAAATGCGTTTTGTTAAAATATACTTTTTCACTTTTTGGTCTTTTGGAAAATGTTGTTTGTGCTGTATTTAGACCCCTCTACCAAGAAATTTGTTTTGCATGCACACGTATAAAAAATACGGTTTTTATCCAACGCAATCATAGGTTTGAACGTTGTTTTCAATTTAGACTTGTTTATATTTTTTTCGTTTGGGCTTGTATTATATTTGCCTTCGGGTTTATATGATCCGTTCATCCTATTTCGACTCTTCAAAATTCAAGAGTCAATCCCAAATTGAGGTAAATTATATGGCCTTCCAAATACCGTTTCGATTCCTAACATCACTGAAGAGACATTAATTGTCGAAATCCGGATATGGTGTACAAATGTTTGCACCTCATGTTTGCGGTATACCATCTATTCCGCAAGTTTTTTGTTTTCTATTTGGTATTAGATTAAAATTAAGATCCATTTTGTTACATTTGTGATCCGTTTATTTGGCAATCGCCATGGCAGTCAGCAGGGTTTAAGAACATCCGTTGTTCTACCTGCTAGTCAAATGCGTTTTGTTAAAATATACTTTTTCACTTTTTGGTTTTTTGGAAAATGTTGTTTGTGCTGTATTTAGACCCCTCTACCAAGAAATTTGTTTTGCATGCACACGTATAAAAAATACGGTTTTTATCCAACGCAATCATAGGTTTGAACGTTGTTTTCAATTTAGACTTGTTTATATTTTTTCGTTTGGGCTTGTATTATATTTGCCTTCGGGTTTATATGATCCGTTCATCCTATTTCGACTCTTCAAAATTCAAGAGTCAATCCCAAATTGAGGTAAATTATATGGCCTTCCAAATACCGTTTCGATTCCTAACATCACTGAAGAGACATTAATTGTCGAAATCCGGATATGGTGTACAAATGTTTGCACCTCATGTTTGCGGTATACCATCTATTCCGCAAGTTTTTTGTTTTCTATTTGGTATTAGATTAAAATTAAGATCCATTTTGTTACATTTGTGATCCGTTTATTTGGCAATCGCCATGGCAGTCAGCAGGGTTTAAGAACATCCGTTGTTCGACCTGCTAGTCAAATGCGTTTTGTTAAAATATACTTTTTCACTTTTTGGTTTTTTGGAAAATGTTGTTTGTGCTGTATTTAGACCCCTCTACCAAGAAATTTGTTTTGCATGCACACGTATAAAAAATACGGTTTTTATCCAACGCAATCATAGGTTTGAACGTTGTTTTCAATTTAGACTTGTATATATATATATATATATATATTTATATACGTTGTTGGCTGTGGTCATTGTTGAAAGTTGTACGATGCAGTTGGTTACTTCACTGGTCTTTGAAGGATAATTGTCTGAATGTTTATGACTCAACATATATTTATTTTGTCCTAAATTTTATTTTGTGCTTTCTGTAAAAGTCATCATTCCTATAACAGGTCGGATAAAGTTACTCCGGACCAAGTTAATTTGTCAAAGAGTCCTGCACATAAGTCTAATGTAAACAAAACAAAAATCGAAATACAACAATAATTACTCATAAATTATCTTTTTGGTCTGGTCAGCTCTAAGCTTGGTAGGAATTAATCAAACTTATTTGTAAAGAGAAGGCTTAATTCGTCATATCAAAATGAAGGGAAACAAAAGATATAAAATAAAAATTCAGTCACGTCCTCATTAACGTACATGTTAAGTGCTAGTTGGTTTTAAAAAAAATACCTTAACTTCTAATCGCAACTGATCTGAAATAGACTTCTTCTTCTGTGTTGAATCATAGTGCCAATATTATTTTGATTATAACTTTGTTCGTGACAGAATACACCAATCCTCATCTGTTTTGTTTAACATGACGTATCAACGTATGGACTTTTAAACAAGTCTTGTCGAACGTATTACATCATAGGACAATATAAAAAAACCTGTATATAGGTCTAAGTTAGTCTGTGAAAACTTATTAGATCTACATCAGGTTCAGACAGTTCAACCCTTCATCTGATCATGATCACGGGTCAAGTCAGCGTTACTGGACATATATTTAGACTGGTTAACAAAAGTCCTTATAAAAACAGACCCACATCTTTTCTATTGATGCCAAACGTCAACTTTTTAGTCTGCATACATTTTCAAAGAGTACAAGAGAAACATCGAAACCTCTTAAAGTAAAACTCTGACCGCGTCTATGTCCATGTCCGATCATTGACTTGTAACTTTTCAACTGGCTTGGTATACTGCATGTACTACCTTCACATCTCATTCAAACTACATTAACATTATTTCCAAAAGGAATCGACATCAACCATTAATCCAATATTTTCATTCGAGTGTATGTGATGTAGTTTCTTCCTCAATTACTGTTATAAGTGCATGACCATATATTCAAAACTGTGAATATATTTCGTGTCCCGTCTTTCAGAGACGAACATTATTTGCTCGATACAATTCTTAAAATAACAAAGAAATAAATGAAATATCATTGCCCATATTCTGTCGGAGTTTTATCACTTCAATCAACTATGAACTTTTCTTAGACACATTAGTGAAACGGTGTCATATTGTTTATTTACTAACTTAGCTTTCATTGATTATTTATTTATCTATCTATTCAAGGGACAACAAAAACTCTTGTAAAAACAATTTACTAGTAACTGATGTGTTAACAAGCGGATATCATGGTGGTCAAGATGCTGTAAGTCCTCAACGTAAGTGTGCCAAAATTACAATTCATCCTCCTACATGTGTTACTAAATAATGTGAAAATAGTTTCCCGTTTTCGAATCTCGTAAATCGATTAATAACATTAACGGTACCATTTTTTTTTCTGCACCAGAAGAGACAAATCAAGGTTCCAAACAGAAAATGAGGAAATCGCATGAACCCCAAAAAGGAGCGAGACCAGGTGCGTCGACAGGATAAGCGTCTCCAGATATGCATGCATCACCCACCATGTAAATTCACACTTCTCAGTAAAAATGTCGCAATCGGAATTAAGATACAATCGGTAAAATTAGGGATCAGACGACTATACCGGTATCTAAAGATATAAGGCTGCAAACACATGTTGTTAATTAGTTGAGACACTCACACATCGTATCGGTCAACCAAATCGTGTTGGTGATCGTAAAACTTATACAATGTAGTGTCGAGATCAGCTGTTCTTCTTCATAACTCTGTTGCAGCAGTTTTCGTGTAAGAAGCACACTCCTTTTAATTAAATCCGTATATAGAATAGATGCACGTGCGAAACTTACTTAATATGTAAACGAAATACAATGGAGCGTTACTGTTACTGTTATGGAGAGACACATGATTAATTAGTTGAAAATGACGAGCAATAATAAAGGCACTGTTCACTAGCTATTGGTTGTCTCTTGTGCGGTTACTTGATTTCGTGTTATTCATTAAAAAACCAAATAGGAAATTTTATACCGTCAACTTTGCCAAGGTGGTTTGATGTTTTTTAGATTTTTTTCTAACTTAACTATAACATGCAAAGTGCGTGCAAGAACTTATATACGCATAAAATATTACATTGTACTGATTAAGTACACTTACATTATTACAAGATCACAGCATATTTAAACAACATGCTTAAACACAATAACAAATATGTTAGTCGAGGCAGAGTTATAAATAAACATGTTCGCTGGTGTGGTACATTTTTTGCTCTCAATTTTTTTTATTGCTGCACTCTATTTCGTTCTGGAGGCTTATCTTCTTTTCCCTATTTTTCTCTATTTTAAGGAAGTTCGGAAGACACTACAGGGAAGTGTGGTTTTGGCGGAAGTTCCGATGTAAACAATGGAAACACAACTGCATCTGGAGGGATAAATAAAGATAGACTTGATTCAACATATTCTCCCCATTACCACTCACACTTCAAAGCATATTTAGCAGCTGAAGAAGCAACCTTTCAATTTCTCATAGACTCTGGTAAATCACTTATTATGAGTGATACAACAAGATATTTCAATATTATAGCAAATATGCAAATATGTACAAATTTCCTAATTTATGTAATCAGTATCGTACGTTCATGTTACTGTCATTGTGTTTGTATATAATTGTATGTTTGTAAACTATTATTTCCCGAGGGTACCATCCACCTTGGAGTACTTCTATCTGTATTGGCTTTTTGTTTATAATGGTTTCTTTTTATTCAAGTTACCAACTCATTTAATGTGCACTTGTTATAAAACTATGGTTGCAACATATATAAGAAATGTTTACTTCAGACAATTGTGCTGTAATGTTAAGATCTATGGATTTTATGCTCAATAACGTTTTATATTATTTTGATATCAAAACTCTTTGTACTTTCCATGGGTTAATCAAACACACATATCGTTCACAGCGACGAGAATGTTATCCGTTTACATTGCAACATTAAAAGCTAGCATATGACATGTGGGTAATCAACCACCATAAATTGACGTAAAACAGATAATACAATGGCCAACACAAAAACTTATGAAAAGACGTCGACATATTGTTCACTAAAACAAAAGTTTAAAATTGAGCAAACCAAACGCAAAATGATTGAAAAAATTTAATTTCAATCAAACTGGCACTTTTGAAGATTATGCATGGTTTTTCATTTTTTGCTTTAAAGATTTCTTTCTTTCTTATGATGATTGACAATGATTCAAAAATAGCTAAATATTTCATTTCAAGGGCAATAATATTTTTTGATCTATATGATATGATTTTGTATAAGCTTTAAAGTCCTTTTGTAACACAAACCAGAAGTCAAAAATGGGAGCAACCCTTGTTATTTTTATAATGATTTCATGCCAATATGGGTTGTATTAACTTCTATGTGATTCAAACTTTTCAAAGGTTTAAAACCAGAAAAAAATACAATATTGAACGGTGTACCTTATCTTAAAATTATATACATCGCAATAAGGTAACTTTTCAGGTAAGACCCTGTAAGTTAAAATTTTAACAAATAGAAATATTTTGTAGAAATTGGTATCATAAAGGACTTAACTGGCGATGTATTTGCAAAGATCTTTAATTTATATAAGAAAAACAAAGGCTCTTTTGGATTTGCCATAGATGTAACAGGTTCAATGGGTGATGAAATAGAGGCTGTAATAAAAGGATGCATTGAGATAGTTACAACTGTGAGGGGAACTGATAATGAACCAGCTGATTACGTGTTAGCTACATTTTCAGATCCAGGTAAAACAAAACTTAATAGCATTACGAAGAACTGTTTCCTTCTTTTTTCATCTGCGATATTTCATGCTTTACCTGAATTTTATAGCTTTCTTTACGGTTTGTTTTTTCGCAATTTTTCAAAAGTCCGTACAGTAGCCTAAACTTGTAAAATTGGCAATCATATCATGTCTTCGTAATCTTAAAAACTAGAATATGTGTTTCATGTTCAATAAAGGACGTCAATAGTTATCAAAGGTACCAGGCTTATAATTTAATACGCCAGACGCGCGTTTTGTCTACAAAAGACTCATCAGTGACGCTTAGATCAAAATTGTTATAAAGCCAAACAAGTACAAAGTTGAAGAGCATTGCATGTAACCTATGTTTGTACGAATATTCAATACAGTTTTCAAATGTGACAACACTGCAGACTTATAATTTAGATTTTGCTACTGTGGTACTGCACATTTACACTTATCGTAGCCTTAAAAAGACTAACTTATTTGTTAATATATCAGTTCTTGAAAATCCCATAAATGAAAGGAATTCAAATAACATTACGACAATTGCAAATCCCAAAACTATCCTTTTTTTTTTAGAAATAGCTTTTTTCCAAACATTTCACGATCTACAGAATACTTTAATTTTTGTTAAAAGTGACAATACAATGAGTAACTGTATGACCTTTATTTAATTTTGTTATGTATGTAGGACTCTGAACCGCGGTGTTACTCCGATCCGCGATGGTCAGGATGAAGTGCGTCGGTTAACACGGTGATGTGCAATGGTGACATTGTGACGCTTACTCGCTTACTCTTAAGTGGGATGGTTTACATGTAACTGTGACGTTGACGTTGATTGTTACGATGAAGTGCTATGGTGTATACTAGCTAAAATGCAATGGTCTGAAGTAAGAGCCGCATTTGATGTGGTGGTGTAGTGGTTATCGTGCTAGCCTCGCATTTGGAAGTTTGATTTAGATTTCTGGTCAAGTGAAACAAAAAACTTTAAAACTTAAGTTTTCTAATTCTCCGCCTAGCATAAAATAGACTGTATGGATCAGATTAAGTATAGTGGATTTGAATTGGAGGTCATGTCTTTATTTGTAGCGTTCAAGTGCGATAACAACAAAAAAGAGTTAAGCGTGTCGTATATAGTACTAAGCAGGGTCCATCTCATTTTATTAAATGTAACTTGTTCTCGTCATGTCATAGCTGAGAAATTACTCACAAAAATCATTCATTCATTTATCTGATGTCGTAACAGTATTCAAGAAAAAAAAAAAAAAAAAACGCCAAGTATATTTATGCTTGACTTATGTCGAGACGTGTCCCGTGTTCCACCAGAAACTTTAAAATTAGCTGCTTCTACGCAGTGCAGGAAAAATTTGGAAGTACACGTAGGGACGAGTCGGGTTTATTTCGGCCTAATTTGTGGTATAAGATTAACACTGTAATCAAAATAAAATAAGGCTAAACTGTCGGTTTTATTACAAAGCTGGATTTATCTCAGGAGTAAAACAAAATTATTTCAACTTGATATAACAAAAACACTGCTAATAATTCATTTTATTATTTAGTTGTTCACATAAAATAATGTGATGCATACTTGAAGAGAAGTCAAAATTAATATTTAGATCAATATAATTTATTTGTCGTACAAAATGTTTGCGGCATACTTCCGAACACTTGTTAGCCCATCTGCAGCCCAAGTTCATATCATCATTTTATCCGTTTTGCTCCCCACAATATGCTGCCTGACTTGGTTTTACATATTTTTGTAACCTCTACTTGCACTACTCAAACCTGTTCGAGACTTGAATCGTTCGTTACTTTCTTTTCCCTTTCCTTGCCTTTGTAGCATGAAACCATCATTTTTAAAATCTTATCCTTCTGCCTGCGAATTCTTGTTGTATTTAAAGTAACGTTGTATTTGATAACGTCACAATATTCAAGCGTCATGCCAAAACATCGCACTTCAGCAAAAAGACCATGATGATCGTACTTCGGCGCGGACCATCGCACTTCAGCGTACCCATCGCACTTCAGCGTCACCGTCGCACTTCAGTGTTTCCATCGCACCTCCAAGTCCTACATATATATCTAACTTGCCGGAATTGTCATTGGCAGCCAATTCAGGATAGGCTCTTGATATAATGTTTTGATTACTTTTTGCAAGCAAACGAGAAAGGAATGTTAGGACAATTTAAAAATGTTTGTGAAACCCTTTTGTTTTAAGATTGTTAAGAATGTCATGAAATAAAATTATACTACGTTAAAACTTTTGAGTATATGTTAAGATAAAGTTATAAAACGTTCGGACTGTTTAAATCATGTAAATTGTGTTAACACGAATTTAGACATAAGATTCTTAAACTACAATGTTGATTATAACCTGAAATTTAAGAAAAAGAAAGAGTTAAGTAAAAAATGGAGAACATTGATACCTTTCAGAATGTGAAGGCATAATTCATGCAAGTACAGAATAAAGCAATTCTTATTTCTAATTTAGTATCTGTGTGGTGTTGCTTTGCAAGATGCCGGGTACATTGTATCATATTCTGTTATGCAAAAAAAAATGTGAAGTAAATTCTAAGCATACACTTTTATTTCGCCTGTAAACAACCTTTTAAAGCAATTGCAGGAGTGGTAGCTTACAGAAATTGTTAACTTTTGTGAATGGCATTGAGAGTATACAAGTTTCCTCACAGCTCTACTTGATGCATAAGTGACTAAGAAGAACTATACCAATTTTATTTGGATTCACTTCAGTTCAAACATTTGTTTTTATTTGGCATTTATTTCAAAAAGTAGATTTAGAATTTCAATAAGGAATACAAACTGATATGAAAAGATCAAATTGTGAGTTATATTATCGTTTTAGTTCAGTGGAAATGCAAGTGAAAATGGCGAACTATTCTTAAATAGTTTTTATCAACAGTATTTTTTTTGTGGAGATCAGCCATTGAATACAAAGTCTTGGACTGATACACGAGTTGGTTTTCCTGTCGCTTAAATAAAGAAACTTAACAAGAAATTAAATACGTGAAAATAACAGAAAAAAATCTGTGCATAATTGTTCTTGAGAAATAATGTTAAGAATGCACTATAATGTGAAATTCAAATTACTGAAGGTGCGGTTTATTGGTTCTGTGTCTTTTTATGATTCAAAGATGAATGCTTTTGTCATTATACAGTTATGTGATTTAATTTTCTATAGAAATAAACAAGTTTTTCAAATTTATATAACAGAATCATTAACTACATTGGTTTTGAAAACGGAAAACGGACTTGAGATGATTTCAGCTCTAAGAAATTTGACATTATATGGTGGTGGTGATTATCCAGAATATTCAATGAGTGGATTGCGTAAATGTAAGAAATTTTTTATCAATTTTTGGGGATACTCGACAAACTTTTTTGTTGTTGCTAAACTTAAGCCCATTAAACGAAATGATTCAAGCTTTCCAGAATATGCCAAATTATTCAACCACACATAGAAATAACCTTCCGAAAAAACAGACCAATTTATATTTAAACGGTTTATGGGGAGCCAAACCGATTCGCAGTGAAAGATTGATTGATTGATTTTTGGTGTTTTAACGCCACTTTTAAGCACCGCTTTTGGGCTATTTCGTGGCGGCCAGTTTTTATTGGTGGAGGAAGCCGGAGTGCCCGGAGAAAACCACCGACCTTCGATAGGAAAACTGACAATCCTAGTCAATTAAGATTGGAGTCGAGTGCACCCGCACGAGCGGGGTTCGAACTCACAACCTCAGTGTTGACTGGCTAGTGATTACAGTAGTAACTACTTAGACCACTCGGCCACCGAGGCCCCTCGCAGTGAAAGATGATTTCAATACAGAATTTTCCAGTGTTGTATCAGACATAGTGAATGTTTGTCAATTATCTTGCCATAAACATGATAAACATTCATTTATAAACTGAATTGAATTCAACGTGAACCAAATGACTATATCGATTTAAATATTTGAATTAGTCTGATTGATTGAGTGTGCATTTCTGCTGTTCTAATAATTCCACAACGTTAAAATGAGCAATATATGGGATACATTGATGTGTTTCGTTTACGTTCACATGGTCGAGTGGCAATAATATCATGCATATTCAGGTCGACAAGTTCGGGGAAATATACTTGCGATGGAACAAAATATATTCACTATAATTAAAACCAGCCCCTTATCTGCCACGGCTGTATCTACCTATGCTAAGGAACATATATTCTTAAGTGCGTGAAAATTAATGTTTTTTCAACTGATACGCATAGGTTCAATGTAAAATGCTTTTCTGATTCTAGTCTGATTAAGCATAGGTTCAGAAAACGCGGTTATCAACACCCTTCTGTACCATCAAAGGTAATTCTTTACAACTATAAGTCAGCATTTCGGTTTCTTCACATAAACAGTACATTATGAGAGCGATTATGTAAGAACGTTTAAAATCTTATGTTCTACATTTGTGTGTCCATGAACCTCACAACCTTAAAATAACGTGAACAGATAATTGTGCAGATCCAACAGATTAATAACTACATACTATCATTCGCATAATATTTTCTAACAAAACATGCATGTTTGAATAGGAACTAGGTATGTTTTTGAATCTTTTTTTTCAGGTATAGAAGAATGCCAAAATCATTCAACTATATTTGTTTTCACTGACGCTACCTCGAAGGACTATCTAGAATATGATGATGTCACAGCAATAGCTATAAGCAAGAATATAACAGTGGACTTTATGTTGACTGGCGGATGTTGCAGAAAGAAGCGAAATACGTGTAAATATAAGGCCATACTGATTTTTTAAAGCTTTTTCAATACGCAAATATATTAAAAAAAGATATGTGATATGATTGTTAATGAAGTAATTATCCAAAATTGACCAAACGACGTGACGTAAGTGTTCCGGACCATACGCGTTTGGTCATGACCATATTCATATACTTATATGGGTAGACCATACGCGCACGGTTAGACCATACGCACACGGTTAGACCATATTATTATATATACTCATTTGATTCTGAACGAGTTGAACCATATAAGTAACTGAACAATATGGATACATGTATTGTTCGAATATGCACAAGGAACGTTTCGTTGGGTTCATGCCATATAACGGGGAGGCATTTCTCGTCATACCAAACAATTATAAATAAATTTTACCTAGTAAGATACAGAGAACATGAGTATGATGAACATGTATTATTTTACAATTTGAAAGCTAAATGTACGATGATTGTTAATAACTAAAGGATTCATAGCGATTGAGAATTGGATATCACTTGATACCATCTCGAGTATTTTGATTTCAATATAATAATAAACGATCCTTCGGCGATTTAATTATTACTATTTTAATTAAATAACGAGAGTGAAAAAGTTAAATGTTTTGTATAAAATGGAAGAAATCACATATCTCTGTTGTCATGGATATGATGGAGGAAATGTACATTGTTTGGACCTTTTAAAGTCATCAATTACCTAGCGAATAGCCAATGGTCATGTCGAAATTTTTACATAATGTTGGGTAGTACAATCAAATAAACGCATTTTTTGTATCACTTTATCGTATTACACTACGTGCAGTGTGAAACGAGAAATATATGTTCATGCTAGAAATAGATAAGAAGCAACAACAATACGAGAAAAAAGTTTTCACAACAAATTATATTCTGACATACACGCTAAGGGTGAAATTTACGACCACTAGGTATCATTTCGGTTCTGCATTGATCAGTTTTGATTGTACAAAGTCCTTTGCAGTTTTGCTTGCAAGTGTTGACTAGCATTCTTATCAGGTGTGTGCATTGATACCGAGTCTATTTCATGATCTGTTTGTGAAATATCAATTTAAGAGATATTGTTTGTTTGTTAGTCAAGGTTCACTACGTGTCATTGTCCATCTGTGATTCATTGCTCCTCTGTTATGCGATGGTTGTGTGTGAGTCAATGTCGGTCTGATAATCGTTGTTCGTCTGCGCCTCAATGTATGTCCTGGCGATGTTCTCAGATCTAAGATAATGTTCATACATCATCCATAATAAGAGAGAGGCGAAAGATAACAAAGAGACATTCAAACTCATAAGTCGAAAATCATCTGACAACGACATGGCAAAAGAAGAAAAGTACCAAAATATAAACAGCTGTATACAAAACACAACATAGAAAACAAAAGACTGAGCCCAACATAAAACTTGTAATAGCTTCTTCATTAATAAACTCGTCAAGCACCTGTGTTTCCACAGAGATTTCATCATTTGCTTTTTGACTAAAGATCGTCTCAGACGGAATCACCTTTATACTTGAATGTAGATGTGTGTTTAAAGAGTATTGCACTTCCCACACCGCAACTATGATTTTATGACAGCTGTGTGGCAAATTGTCTCTGTAAGGAGTTATGCTCTTGCGTGAGAAGACCGTGAGTATGGGAATGGATAGGCCTACCAGCTTTAATACTGACGTTCCACTTGACTGTTTCTCTTATGATGTCATTGTAGATTAATGTCATTGTGACCTAATCTAGTTATTTTTTTAAAAGTGGTCAATGTAAATGTTCAATCTGCAAAAAAGGACCGTCAGGATCTACACGCTTGTTGATTTAATCCAGTCGATTACTATGCATACAATGTTTGAATGAATTGGGTTTCTATGGTGCTGTTTCTTTGAAGTTTCTCACATGTCATTTAACACATCCTTTTAAAAAATTCCTTACAATAGCTAGGGATGCCGTTTAAAATAACCTTTAGCTCTTGCATAATATATGATACCCTGTGCACATGCTGTATGAGAATGAATTCATTCATGTACTAGTTTTAAAGTCCTTCTGTCACTACAAGACCTCAGTGTGAAAGCAGGCCTAAATTTTACATGCGTATATAAAATAAAGAAGAAAAGTATACGAAATAAAAGAAGCATGCAAGAGGTGTAGAAAGAAACTAAAAATGTAAACATTATTGAAATCATAAGACTAAGATACAACTGTTATATACAGAACGCAAATAAATTCAGAAAAAAACCCATAACTTAAATGATAGAAGATGCGACGACAGCAAGTAATAAACAAAACAAACACATTTAGTATATCATTTATAGAACATTGCACTGTTATCGCGAACTTTTTAAGTAAAGGTAACACACAGCTCGAACTCTAACTCACAAAACGGCAAATGTTACCAATCGATATCCTTTAACTTCGACATATTGTCTGTGTGTATCCGAGTTCTTGCATTCACTTAAATGAATTAAAAGTATCTTTATCCTTCCGTCTGCTTAATAGTCCGTTAGAATAATTCTTGAAATTAAAAGTGTTATCAATGGAAAGATTCAAAGATTTTACATGCCTTGCACTATGGTCTTCAGGCCGCATGATTTGCTGAAAAAGTAAGCAATAAGTTAGTTATACTAATCGGATTTTCAAATTTTGTTTTATTTTTGACATATCAAAGTGCACAAAATGTCCATTTTCTACTCCATGTTTTGGTATGCAATGATATCTTCAATTGTAAATGACGTCATTATTTGTTTCTTGTAATGAAAAATAGATTGGACGCAAAACTCCGCCGTATATATAACCAGATAACTGTGTCAAAATAATGTGGTGTAAAAGCAAGGAAACGCACTCAGTTTGATCAAGTTTGACTGTTTCCCGTAATAAACTGAAATCTTTTGTAAGAACATTCAGTACAGCTGTTCTGTGGTAAATTTTGATGGAGTTAATATTATGCGATCTTTTGCGCGAAATCTGTCCCTAGGTTTACTTTTGAGATATGGGATTCTATTATCTTTACTGAAACAAGTTTATTCAGATCAACATAATTGCTATTCTTTTTTAATCGCAAAATTAGTTAAACGACACTTCTAGCAAAAGTAATAAACTTCACAGTTCATTTATTAATCTCGGGATTTTCAACAGTAAGTGCATCATCAGGGCAGCTGGTACTGTTAAAATTGTCTTGCAATTTGGTAATATTAAGATCGGTGAGTATTTCCTTTATAGACGATTTCAAAAAGTAAAGGAAAATATCACAGTTAATAACCATATCTATTCTGATAATTTGACGAACTAAATCTGTCCATAAAGAGAACGAATATTGTTAAGCAAAATCATTAAAGTTTTAATCCATGTGCATTCTGATCAACAATGCATTTTTAATCTGATGGGGCTAAAGAAATGCCGTTCTTTATTTCAACATATGAATTCAATTCCAGATGGATGAAATACGAATTAGATTAGTCATATATTTATGTGGAAGGGAAAAAAAATTACAAATTTGCACAAATCATATTAATTTTGCAAAATTATTTTATATTTTTGAAAGATATGTATAATGTTAACTCTCTTCCATACAAATACTGGTGTCATTTTTACTACAGATCGTCAAAAACGCCAGACATTAAACTCTGTTTATGATTTAATTGCTGAGGCTACCGGTGGAAACATATATAGAATAAGCGCATCACAAATTACAACGTTTCTGCAAGAAGTAACAGAGGTAAAGATATGTTTGTACAGTATGTATTCGTATCCACCTAAATCAAGAAAAATAACACTTCCAAGTCATACAGGTGATAAATTAGATATAAGTTAAATCATTTTCAAGATGGCATTAACTAAAACAAAACAAATCTTTATTCAAACTTGTGTTTCTTGTTGAAAATTGTTTTTGACGTCTAGCTGTTAACAACAAAAGCGAAAAGAAAAAAACAAATTTAGAACACGTTTTGCTATTTATATAAATATGTTGTCTTTAGAAGAATATTATGATGATTGACAAAAATCTGCTTAGGCGACAACGTTTTCATATGCGTTTAAGGTCGATAATGATACATTCATATTAAATTGTTTTAATGCTATCCGATGACGAATAGCCTATAAAAAAATTAATCACGTTAGAAAATCTTCTTAAAAGGAGACAACACCAAGTGAATATTATGCATATTACGGACTTATGCCCATTCTTTAACTGATATAAAAAAAAAAAAAATGAAAATTGTTGATAGGTTACACAAGTATATTATTTCATATCATACATAGCTTTTGATGTATATATCTATCTGTAATGTCAAAGAGACAGAACTTGTTAACCCTAATTTCAATGCTTTTCAAAGTACATGTATATTACTCATTTTCAGGTCTTTATGGTTTAAGAAGGAAAAAAAATGATCTCATTTATATAGAAACAGATATAACCATAATAATCGTTTTTAAATGTTAACACAATCACTGTTTACTTTATTTCAATTGATTTCAGTTAAAGTATACATATTTAACCTCATTTTAAAACGTCACTGAATAACTTTTATAACGGCGATCGACACAAAGATATATTTAGGCAATCTTTTAAACACTTGAAAGTTTTAACGCCATCTTGGAACTACAATAGAATATACAATTATGAAAAACTGGTCTTTGGTAAACGTTGCTACAAAATGTGGCAACATTAGTGTTAGTACAATTATCCATTTAATTATTATTATTTAGAGTTTGAATAATCACGATTATGTTTGATTACAAAATGCACTAACAGCTGATACATTATAGGAACGGTTTCCCTCTGCAACAGCTATTATAGATGTTCTGTTTATGAACACCAGTCACAGCAACAACTTACAATTTGTAGCCGATTCATATGTAAAGAATATAAAGATTGTGATAACCGGTACATCTAATACAGCAGATGTGGATTTAACAAACACTTCAGGTATGTGTGAAAAACGATCGAAACCTTAAAATTGATTATTAACAAAAAAATGATTTCTGTTACAATATCTTGTAAAATCTATGCGAACTTTTCAATTGTATTGCATACCTACAATAAATCTGTTTACTGTAAGAATAACTTTATAGGACACTGTAAACAAACTCATTATAGATAAATGAGACTAGTAAAAAAATATAACATAAATGTTTTGCCCTTGAGCCTCATCGAAGAGACATTAATTGTCTAACTGCGCAAACGTGGTATCGTGAAAGTCATTAGTTCATTAAAAACTGACTATTATTTTAAAATATTTTGTCACTTTGAATACAAGGATTATATTTGCGTTCTATTCCTCTTATCTATTTTTGTTGTTAAACACAACCTCAACAAAACGAAACATTGCCTGTCAGAACAATAGGCCTATTTTATACTATATGAAAGTTGTGGTTGATCTTGAGTCTAAAGATTGTTCTCAATAGGACATACATACCAAATCTCCTTATTTTTTATTCAGACTACTTTAAATGCTCCATCAATATGAAATATAAATTAGGTCAACACATTAATTGCAATCACATATTTACTTAAGACAACAGAAGATCAGTTGCCTCACATTTCACTGGCCTCAACATATATTCAGCTTTAGTGTGTAAAACGAAGTTAATCCATCCACAGACCTTCTACATTGTAACATTTTAACATATATTCCACATTGCTTATAAGTAATTGCAAATTTTAATTAATAATCTTAATAAAATGTCAAAAAAAGGAAAATCTAATTTAAAATGCTCGTTTAGAGTACATTTGTTTTGTTCAACTGATCGAGATTAAATGGAGTAGAGTTGTTCTCACATTTGAAAACCCAAAACATTAGCATGTGCATTTTCATGTGCATTTCCCTGCTCTTTGAAATTATTCCAAGTTTTTGTCTTTAGTTTTATTTCAGTTTTGTTATTTAGGAAATTGTTAATGATAAAAAATCTGTCAGGCTATAGTCGCCAGTCGCGTTAGACTTACAACTAGACATATTGTAAATTTGGGATTTTGAATCGTTGTTTCATTTACATATTACTGACATGTACTGTTATTGATATATGTTCTATTATACTATCGGCTAAAAACTATAATATACCATACTACTTTGAATCTTATACTTCAAGGTTCGTTAATAGAAAATGGTGAAGCCACTGTTTTGTCAGAGATCCCAGATAAAGTTGTTATCACTGTCGTAGTAAGTTATCTATATTTACATATATGTTTTAAATATTTGTGTGTTTTCTTAAAAAAAATCTGACAATTTAGGCTAGGTTTGTTATCAAATGTTTACAACTGTTACATATAATCAGTATTCGTAGTAAAACAGATGCTTGCCTTTTATCTTTTGAAATGCTATAACTTACTTAGAGAAACGACTAGAACAACGTAAAGTAATTCACTCCATGGCTGTTCAATTCAGGAGTCGCGCACCAACAAAAGTTGCTTAAAATTTGTAGATTCTGGCTTTTGTTAACTATATATCTTCCATGAAAAATATTAATATTTTTCGACAGGACACCTCACCAGGTCTATATAATATTACAAGAAGATCACAGATTGCATGGGAGGTTAACATTACAGCACAAACGGATGTTGATTTTGATTACTTTATTCTGGAGAAGTATGAAAATGACTATTTGTACAGAATATCTAGAAATCCTATTGCAGGTAAGGAAAATATAAAATGTTGTATTGTATTAAAGTGTTATTATTAAAACATTATTGACCTCCTCTCCAAAATACGTTTTGTTTCCCTAACAGCCCCTGATGAATATTTGAAAGGAGGCAATTATTCCAATTATCTGGTTTTATCATACCAAATATAACGTATAATGTAAATATGACAGAATATGAATATCTTTCTTTGATCTTGTTACATGTAGTTATTGTCCATCGTAAAATCTCATAATTGAATACGCCTATTTTAGTTTGTGTTTTTTTTATTTGGTTGACTGTTGATGTGTTTTTCGACTACATACATTTATTTTGTTTTACTAATTTGCTCTAATGAATAGTCAATAAAATACAATTCCGGACATCGATCAAAAAGCCAGACGACCAAAAGACAAATAACAGTATACAAAACACAACATAGAAAACAAAAGACTGAGCAACATGGACCCCACCAAAAACCGGGGTGATCTAAGGTGCTGCGGGAGGGTAAGCAGATCCTGCTTTACATATAACAAAACCGTCGTGTTGCTCGTGTAAGTACAAACCCGCTGATATAAGCCTAATTCCGCAGGTCCCTTTAGAGGTATAGAGGGTGAGGATCTGTCGAAATCTTAGGATGAAGTTATTTTCGACCATGTATGATAGTTGTAGGAAATATTTCCATAAAATTGTTCATAATAAAAGAAGAAGATATAATATAAAAAAGGACAATAATGACTTTGGGAAGATTTGATTATTTTGTAATTTTGTTGTACATTTGATAAACAGGGGACAACTACACAATTGAAATAACAGTCTATAACTTACTTAACTACAGTAACGCACTATCAGATGTAACTCTGACTGATAATTATGGCTCTATAGAATATCTCAACATAACATCTGTTTCATCATCTTATGCTACAGTGGCTTTGGCATCAATGCAGTTTATTGCGGAGGTATGTTAGTTTCAAATCTTTTAACGATAAGACTACTGAGTGCAAATTAATGTCTATCTATAGTTTTGCTGCACTTAAGATTTTTAAACTACCTTCAATCAGGATCATAGATGATAAACATATAGATTAATATTATCTGAAATAGTTTAAGACGTCTATTATTCACGAGGGGTATACTGCAATAAGCTTTAAAGAAAAAAAAAAGAAATAAATACAAGAATGGCATTGATTGTACTGTATTTTGTTCTAGCGAACGGTCCAAAAGTTTAACAATATTGATATGGTCTTTTGTGCTGGAAAATTGATTGTTAACGTGCAATATTTGTTCATTTGGATGTGTATTCAATGTTTCCGTAACTACAATCGCTAGTTATTGGGATTTCATATATAATGTACATATGTAATGCCGCTTCGTGTGGTAGAATGTAACTCTTTCTGTAAAAAATGTTTATGAGTTTGGTTTTTTTTGCTGATTGGCAGTTGGTAGTAGAAGCAAATTTGTATTGTCTCGTGATGAGGAGAGGGGTGATGGTGGAGGTGGGGAGGCGGGAAGGACATAAAATTTTCAAAATTTGTCCATGAAAAGCGACAAGTATTTCTGTAGATTATTAATTCGTGGGATGATAGGTTTAACATCGTGCTGAAAATGTCATTTATTTACAAAGCTTGATTCAGAAAATACATCATATAAACATTTAATTGTCTTGAAATTGATATAAAAATTGCCGTCAACTGTAAAATGTCCATTTATTCAGGCATCTATGTTTCTTGATTATCTGAAATGTTATTAACTTCAACTAATTTCAAATCCTTTAATTGGTATATGGCCAACATTTATGAAAAAGGAGTTCTGAATAAATATCTGTTAGATTCAAAATTCTGTGTTTCAGAAGATCCTTGATGGTTTGACGAAGATTTATCGTAGACTTATACAATATTGTTAAAAACCATATATATATAACGTTAAAATTACACGCTACTGATCTACATTAAGTGAATGACTGCAAAACATTTTGTTTTGTGAATGACAGTACTTCTATACCTCTTCAAATATAAATTTCTTGTCAATGAATATTTACAGGAATATCAAGTCAGCATTTCTGGTATCGATGAACATGGAAATACTTTCCGCAGGACATCATCATCGATAATAAGACCAGTTAAGCTCAAGCTAATCGTAAATGTGCCTTCAGGTGTGTTGACTTTAAAACGAAAATAATTTGAAAAATCAATAAAACTGTATAACATTTACATAATCTGTTAGAGTCCTGTTTTGGTTTATATATAGTTCCTTACGTTCCTACGTTTTAACACATCCCGGTTTGGGTTTGAGAATTCCTGTAAGGTAAATCCATTAAAGTGCTTCGAACGTACAAAATTTATAAAATGGTATTTTCATTTACTTGTTATGAACAATGCTTGTCACAAAATTATTATTCAAACTCATAAAGCCATGGCAAACAAACTTATATCATTTCGTAAAAACAAAAACTCAACGAAAAATGGATACCTTATTTATTGATATGTCTCGGTCTTCGTCAGAACTTTTAGTTTCCGTTGATATGTATGTAGTTTTCATATTCCGATTTGCGTTGCATTTTCTCTCTATCGCCATTTTTGTGATATTTATGTTTTATAAACTTTCCAACAATTTGTTTAATGTAAACATGCTTGCAATAGAAAAAAGCCTCACAGACTAGCAAGTCTGTACGTATTTAAGCATAATGTATTATAATCAATGGAGCGAGACTATCTAATTCAATCGATATCAATTAGGGTTTGAATAATATAAGCCTAACTTGAAATTACAAAACGACTTAAATCATTTGCAGAATTGATTGCCAGCACTTCATCAACGATCGAGTATACTGCTACGAACTACTCGCCAAACAACCGGACATTCATCGTAAGAATCGGAAACGATCGCAATTTTGTAGTAGATATGACAACTGCAACCCATTTGATATCGGCTTATGGAATGGCTAATGGTAGTTTTAACATTTTAGCGACGTCTTCACATAAGACAGTGTAAGTTTTATACAAGGATTCAACTGTTTGAAATATGAATGAAGATGTCCAAGGCTGCAATCAGAAATAGCACGTCAAATAAGAACACCCACAATAATAGTATAAAAATAAAATAAGAAGAAAAACATATTTCGAAGAATGTCCAAAACAATTGATTTGAATTTCAGATAACAAAAAACTTTGCGAATAAGCAATAAACTAGGCTGTAACCAATAGGATATTACAGGTCACATTGCATTTAAAATAAAGTTGGGAAATAAATTCTCAAAAATTACAACATGTAAAACATATACTCTAAAAAGAAGAAACGCGACACAAACCCATGAATAGCACCATGAAAAATGTGTGCACAGATTTGCTTTTGAATTTTGATTAGAAAATTTGAGAACATGTTCTGCTTAATAAGAGAAATTTATTGTCAAATGCGATTCTGATGATATGATGCAATTATGAAAAACGGAACATCTGCAACACAAATATTCAATTTTGGTAAAGGAAGTCGTAATTCCGTCCTGAAACATTTTCGGTGGGACAAAAATGCTTTGTTTAAGAGTTCAAACTGTATTCCTTTTTTTTCTAAGAACAAAAACAAATTTCACTGTGCTAAACAATCTAATTAGAGATACTAGGCTTACAACTTTGTACGCCAGACGCGGGTTTCGCCTACAAAAGATTCATCAGTGACGCTCGAATCTAGACGTTACACCTATATGAGATTTTATAAAAATATGCTTTTACATTCATTCAAATACAAGAGCGAGCACAATAAAAATAAAACGTCACTTTAATTCAAGTGTTTAACTATCTGAAATAACAGATAGTATTAAAGACTTTTCAGGAAAAAAACACTTAAGGAATTAATTACATATATATATAAGTTGTGCTAACATTTGTTGGAATGTAACCGAGTAGCCAGTGATTAATTTTTCAAATGTGGCAAAAATAGTAAACAAAACAGTTTTTTTTTTACTAATAATTTACAAAACTATCCGATTGTACCTTTGCCTTTGTATCTGTGTGTGTCATGAAAAGACATGTTTCTTTAATTTCGGACGACTTTTAATTATAGGACAATTGCTGTTTCTGTTCAAGAGGTAGGATCAAATGAAAACCTCCAGGAAGAAACAAGGACTATTTTCGTATGTTTAAATTTCAATGATATGTTGAATGTTTGTACACTTATTTAATAAATGAATATCTGTTTAAACATCGCTTAACCACTTATGTCTATAATTATCAGGCTGCATTGACATAAGACTTAAACATGATGTTAGGTTAATACACTAATCTTCATTAATACATAAATGTGTCATTAATTTTTATTTATAAAAGAGGTCATTAATACGTAGGCATTAATACTGTAAGGTTAAAAAGACGGAATTTTTACAATACAAAACAATTGAAATATATAAATGCATCTGTTTTATGACAACACAGTCAGTCACTTTCGTAATGGGCAAGGTATAATGACTAGAAGTGTTGGAATTGAATTATATATATTTGTACATTAAGGTAAAAGTAGTTTCTGATGCTCAAATCTCATAAAGCGACGAAGAAAATATAAATCAAGGCAACAACCAAAAACTGATGGAGTCGCCTGAAAATAAGCGAGACCGGGTGTATCGTTAGAGAAATTGTACATGGACGCATTGCCCGCCATGAAAATTTACATACAATCAAAATGCTATCAGATCAGACAACTATTCGTGTACTCAAAGATCCGACCACGAAAACATGTCGCTAGTGAGTTGTGACACAGACACGTCCAATTGATCAACCAATACGGGACGATGTCCGTAAAATTTATATATTGTTGATTTCACTCGTTCTTCCTCATAACTCTGTTAGATTAGTTTTTGGGTCTGTTAATGAAGTCTGTATAGTGTGAAAATATTCGAGTGTAAACTATTGAATGACATTTGTAAATGACATACCGAGGGTCTATGTTACTGATGAAAAATGGTAAGTTGTTAATTCAAAGTAAACATCATTAAAACGTATTACTTATCATTACGTACAACGGAACATGAATGGAACAAAAATAAAAGAGAAAACAATAATTGATTAACCTATTATATCAAATATTTCAATGATCACCCTGCTTATTGGCTTCTTATGAATCTTGAAATCATAAGCGCCAAAGTACGACACATTTCAATGTATTTAGAAACAAATTAATGTAATTTATTGAACATCCCTTAACTATATGTTCCATTTCAACAAGTATAACGTGCTTAACATTTTAAGTCAGATAGAAAACCTGGAAAACAAAGAAAGCACATGAAACAAAACAAAGTGTTTTACTTTTTAACATGTGGGTGCATTGAAATGAATTTGAAGGTAGAAATATGTTTTGCAGATTAGTTCTGATACCCCGACCACATGCTCTGTGACGTCAAATACAGGAAATTGTTCACTTACGTTTGAAGATGGTATGTGTTCTTTATACAACTGGTTTGGACAGTCAGTTATAAATTTTGATGCATCACTGACCTCATTGAAAGGAAGCATTGGATTGAAAATTCAGCACACAAACATGTCAGAGTCACCAATGTTTGTAAATGTTAGGTATGTGTGTTAGTATACCTCCATCGATGTAATTTTCCTTTTACTACATGATATTATGTGTTATGAAATTGACAAGGTTCGTCTCATTCTCTCGCTACAATTTTAAAAAAAAATGTTAAAAGGTTATTAAATCTGTATGTGTTTGTCATCAATGGTTGCAAAAACGTATATATATTTTACAGTACTAAAAACATGTTTAAAAATACATAACAGTCAACATTTCCTTCATTTAACTACTTGATACATTGAAAACCAATATCATGTTCTTCGATGAAAATGTTTTTTTTTAAATAGATGCAAGAAGCCGAAGAACATACTTTAATAAGTTATGAAAAAGATGAAAGTCATATTACATTGATACAGATACAATAAAAATGAAAAAAAGTCTAAGTTTATATTTCTTTTTTTTTTTAAGTGGTGACTGTTGTACAAGATCGGCCTATTTGACAGTAATTGATGAAAACAACTATATCACAAAATGTTATTTTGACCTTGGGGATCCAGTTTACAGGACAGTTACAGATTCAGAATCCGGTTTATCAGATGCTGTAAGCATACACTTTTGCAAAAAACTAACAATACTTACTGCTTACATGATAAGTCGTCTTGTCCCGAGTTAATAAGATTTACCTTATTATTGATAAGATATAAATAAAATTTTGCTCTAGCAAATATCTGTCTGTACTAAAGGTATTATTAGAAGACATCTTCTTAGATAACATGACTATCTGCTCTGTCGTTTAGGAGATAATGCAATCTATTTTAAGCTTTGTCTACGTGAAACGTATATTTTCAATCTTATATTAAGTTTAGCAGAGCTTCGCAATCGAATATTTGAGATGTTAAAATCAAGTTTAAGATATGTCAAGCTTAAAATACTACACAGTTATCTCATGCAAATGCAAAAAAAAAAAAAAAACATGCCATTTTATTAATTATTGTGCAAAAAACGCATATGTGTAATATAAAATATTGCCGAAACAGTATTGCAACAACACAATAAAACCAGAAAAGGATTGTTTTTCAAATGCGGCAAAAATGTAAAACAAAACATATTCATCTATACATATGCAAACAGCTTATAATTTTAAAAAGGGAGGAAAAAACTACACAATCAGCACCCAACATGCCCAATAGATGGAGAGCAATAGATAATATCATTTTTATTACAAACAGTACGAAATGACAAACAACTTATTAATAAAACACTACACATAAAACTAAAGATTGAGCAACACGAATCGAATCAGTTTAATGGATTTCACTCATTTGTTTTGGTAAGCATAGAAGGGAAGAAGATATTTGGAATCAATCAAAGCTTACAATTCGAAATAAAAAAACAGCACTAGGCTATGAGAAAAAAGGACGAAATGACAAGCAACATTAAAAAAAAAACACTACATAGAAAACATAAGAATGAGTAGCACATTCTAATAAATATCTCCGAGAATCAAAATCAGTTCCGACTTCATTACTGCCACCCAGTGTGTTACTCTTGGAAAATAAAAAAAAGTGACCAGTCGCATTCGATGGTGTTGAACAGTTAAAACCATTCATTTGTGACATAAATATACATGATTTGTCCGTTAAACTTTCAAAGGAACGACTTTAACTCTTTAATATAGGAGGAAAACAGGGCAGGGACAGTTCTAATCTTGTTGACACATTAACATTTAGTCTACACTGTGTTTCAATTAACTTGCGTATTCAAATCGCGGAGGAAAACTGAGACGTGATGTGTATGCTGTCGGCGGCGGTGGCATCAACAATCATTAAATTTTGTGATTACATTGTAATTATGGTACGTAAATGATGTAAAGAATGCAATTGTATTAAGATTGGAAAATTTCATTTCTGGCTAACTAAATTTCCACATGTGCATAATACTGTTGACATTACTCACAGGCGTCGCTTATGTCTGTTTCAATAGTTTAATTGTATTGATTGAATTGCATAATTACTTTTAATAAAATGAATCTGTCTTTTCAGGGAAAAATAGCAATTGGAGTGGTAGTAGGTATTGTTGTACTCGCCTTGTTGGTCGGTGCTAACATAGCCATTATAATTTACAGAGGTGGAATACAACCAAAGATAGATAAGATGAAGATTAACGATTGGGATATTGACAATAACGATTTAACAGTTTCAGAACTAGAAACAGATTTTCAATAATATAAAGAATTGCTTAATTTGTATGACAGTTATTTTTATTGTTTTGTAGCAAATACTTCCCATTTTGGCTTCACATCTTGATACTTTCCTCGATACTGACACAAAAAGACAACCAAAAACTAGTATCAATGACAAACATGATGATTTCAACTTTCCAATTGTCAATTTCTAATATCACAGTCGCAATGAATACGTTTCGCTCATGTATACTAATATATAATCACACTGTACGGACTTCATTATAACTTCTCCGACAGAGTTTTAAGGAAGATCGACAGTACATTAGATTTGCGATTACTTTCACGTATTGCAAGTCATCTGATCTGTACCGATTGTGTCCTACATGTTGTCCTATTTCCGATTTTGACCGACTGCGGATTGCATGACGGGTAGTGCATGTTTGGCAGCAAAATCTTACCTTGTTAACGTTTTATGGTAATTGTCAATTCGCCGGTTTCAAAATCTAATGCATTCTGGGTAATATTTTCAAAAACGTACACCGAAACGTTTTGATTGGTTTAAAACGTACTAAACAATTGAAATTCAACCAATGTCGTAACGTTATTTTCATTTCGGTAAACAAACAATGAGATCACCCATAGTTCTTTAGATTCTGAAAAGGCGAGTTGGTATGCGTTAAGAGAAGTGCTTTCATTACTCTTTCGGTATGCAAAACCATTATAGTTGAAGATTTCAGAAATTTAATGATATACAAAAATATAAAAAAATTTACAAGATTATGAAAATGTGTCTGCGAAATTTCGTTTTATGAGTTCATGCTGTATGAATTGACAGAGGTTTGCAAGGTCTTAACTCTACATTATAAATATAACTAAATTTTAAATAGTTTGTTTCCTAATTAGTTTAGGTTACAGAAGGTTAAGCTATTGAATATGCCGTGGAATGTATGAAAGGAAGGAGGAGCTTGAAATGAATAAAAAAATGTGTGTTTTAAGAAAATTTAAGCATGCATCGCCTTATTGTTTGTTCGTAATAATGAAAAAAAAATATATGAAAAATGTTTACCTCCGATATACCTATACAAATTTTGTTTCATTTTAATATTCTTACCCTTTGTAATTGTTATGAACAATTTGTTAACATTACTCACAGTAACCGTGCAGGGGATAAACTAATTTCTAGCTAATTTTATTATCCTATTATCAGCTGTGCTCCTAAAATGTCTGCTATGTATTGATCTGATGAGTCAAGCCCTTTTCAACATATTTTAATAGTTTTTTGTTCTGTTTGTACTGCTACACCACTGTCCAAGGTTAGGGGGAGGTTTTGGCGCCAGCAAACTAGTTTCATGCCGCCACATTCTGTATGTGCCTGTCCCAAGTCAGGAACCTATAGTTCGGTGGTTGTCGTTTCATGGTTCATGTCTGTCATATTTGTTTTTCGTAAATTGCTTTGTTATGAATTCGGCCGTTAGTTTTCTCAACTGAATTGTTTCATATTTTTCATGTCGGGCCTTTTATAACCAACTATACAAAACTAGTTGGGTTTTTCTCATTGTTGAAGGTCGTTGCCTATAATTGCTTACATCCACTTCATTTGAACTTTGGTGGATAGTTGTCTCATTGGCAATCATACCACATCTCCTTTTTTTTATATACAGGTGACATACTAATTAGCTCCAGTTGGTTGCAAACACTTACTGTAAAATCAGTGCGTGTCATTTAGTTTACATACCATAAACAACTTAATTTAGCGAAAACGTGACAGATGATCTCTTTCATACGTATTAATGTTTATTTACCCTTTAAATGACTGGTATTACTATGAACTATATGCGATAATCGAAAGACAATGAAAAAGTTATTGACAATATTCTAATCTGTTGTGTGGTGCGATTAAATACTTTGTGCCATTAGAGGGTTCACATTACCGCTCTACATGTATCATTCCAATCCAAGTATCTGTGTTTAGTAAGTTTATAAGAATCTTATTATTAAACACCCTATATAATGCAATAATGCAATAATGCAGTTCGTTTAACGAAAATTGATTTTTAAATCTATTTCAGTTATTTGGTGAATAATATAAAAATTGAATCAAATATTGAAACGTTCCCAAAATAGCAAATGATTATCTTGAAGATATTTAAGATCTCCCCCATCCCTGGAAGCTCAACCAAATACTATATGTCCAGGTTCGGCCATATTTCATGCATACTTAATACTTAATACATTAGTAAAAAATAATAAAAAATCCATAACTAAATGTGCATAATACTGAACCTAGATATAATGCAATATCATTTGAACTGAGTAGATTTGTCATAGACGAACAGAGGTAAAAAACCTAAATACTTTGTGATGTAATCGTAACCATTGTAACAATCAGCCCAATGAATTTCCGCTCTATTTACGCCTAATGTAAATAATGATATATCAATTGTAGCCTTTGTAAGAGGTAAATACGAGGATAAATCGACCTGAAAGAAGTATATTAATTTCATGGAGGCTAGAATGTCCCTTACTGTATGTATGACTGGTATATTGGACGAGCAAATATCAGTATTTTATTGGTTGGAGAATGATATATGGCAATACCTCTATCATTTGGAAGGGACTTAAATGTCCCTTATCGCTAGCATCTTGGATGATTTTGGAAAGAGACATGCATACCCCTACTAGTGGCATGTTAGTTGAGTAAAAATGGTTTAGATTAGAGACGATAATGGCCCTTAAAACAAGCAAATAAGATGTCAAAAAATGGCCTACCTAGTGCAAAAAGGATATGCCAAAATATTATTCTTGGTTAGAGACTAGTATATCCCCTACTGGCACTCTGAATGATATATTGTTGTTTTAAAAGACTAATATATCCATACCATAAGCAATTCGACATAGAAAATATTTGTTTTGGTAAGGGATTAGAATATCTTTTTGTGATAAAACTGAAATTTTTACAATTATAAAACTGGTATCATTCTTTTAAATTATCTAAATCAGTAATCTAAGATCATGAAGATGAAAAGGTCTTTTCTATATTTATTTTCATCTTGAAGGTCAGTCTTCCCCCTTTTGTAGGATTTCAGGGAAATTTCTAAATGAATATTTAAGAAAAATGTTTCAGTCGGCAAATATTGATTTCTGTTTATCCCAGTATCTTTAGCTCTAGTCGTGAGAGTGTCATGACATTATCTTCTTGTTTAACTAAATAGCATTATGCCGTTATGTACCCAATTTCCTTAGCTGTACATAATTGTCAATTGTCATTAGAATGAAATCATGAATTCAAACTATGTTACTCAGTAACGTTATATATACATTTATCATCCTTCCCTACCGCTATATCAGCTTCCTCAACATATCTGTAAAACTCGTATCCAGTTAGCGCGTGCAAGTGAGGAGACATTATCAAGTGAGCAGGACTTATCAACAAATTCTCCCAACATATTGCCTTGTATTGTAATGGTGATAAGTCACAAAATAAATTCTTTTAATAAAATAAATTACACTTGCAGTACATATTTTACAATGAACCATTTCTTTTTTCCTAAAATTACTTTACATTCTGAAACGAGATGTTGATAAAATGGTGTCGACGGCAGTCTTGATAAGTTCTGCTGGGACTACTTTTTTTCAGAACTGAACTATTTGACCTAATTTGAACTATTGATCTGACCTGCATTGAGATCAATCTATCGATTCAAATGTCCAAGTCATCAAAAGAATGATATATCAATGTACAGTACATGGACAAACAGAATGCAGCCAGAACATATAATACAGTATTATATGTCTCTGATGCAGCGAAGCAATTTTGTATAATATTTCTAAAATCCAGGTGATCTGGTTGTGTTATTTTTCAATATACAGAAGAAAATATCTGACGGAAAATTTTGACATGTTTGAACCAAATATGTTTTCCTCAATGATAACATTTGGCAAAGCACTTATAGGAAATTGTACCCATAACCTGAACCAGAATACCGTCCCAATGCAATTTGGTGGGGAAGTCGTTACAAAAATAACACCTACCTTCCTTGTCTTCTCACGTACAAATGGCGGGTACAAGGTGCGAGATGTCGAGGTATTTACATACAAGAAGGACAATTTATCAACATCTGTCTTTCTCAAATTACCTTCTCCTTTACGAATTACGACTACTTAAATATATATGTGTACTTTTAGTCTTGAAAACAAACAGCATTTTGGATTTCTGGAATTTTTTTATGAAGCGTATCATGCTGTTCAGCAGTCAGCGAGTAAAAATTTTCTTCATCTGGTGATATGAAACACTACGATCTTTCAATATAATCGTTAATATTTTTTTTTTTTTTTTTGGTATCATCTTCAAATATTATACTCTCATATATGCATTATCATGTACACGAAACATTTTTCTTCCTCTAGTTAATGGGAATATTTTACCCTGCGTATTTTGGCCACAAGGTGTATCCGTGGTTTAATATTTTGATGACGTGTGTTGCCTAGTAATAACAGAGACACTCTGATAATAACAATTCCCGCGAAATTATCGAAAAAGGAAATTTTGATAAAAAACATTGCTTTGAAAGATGATAAAAATGTTATCTGAATGTGGATTGTATAGATATTGAAAAATATCAGCCCCCTCGACAGAATATGAAGCTAAATGGTTCGTTCGCTACGCTCACTCGACATTTAGCTTCATATTCTGGCTCGCGGGCTGATATTTTTCTATATCTACATATCCACATCCAGATAACATGTACCGTAACGTATTATTTATATCTAAATTCAAACCTGTCAATTTTTGAAGAAACTTCACTACATTGTCTACCAATTGCAGAAACGCATATGTTTTCTGCTCTTTGGTCGGGTTGTTGTCTCTTTGACACATTCCCCATTTTCATTCTCAATTTTATAGGATTTTAAAAGTTAAAATGTATAAAGTCCAGTCTAACTAAATAAGCAACGGTGAAGTATAAGTAAAATGTGTTATGTTCTAAGGCGCTAACTGTATTCACTTCCTTTGCCTGTAGAGGGGGAGACTTTTCATGTTTTATATCTTTGAGGATTGACTTAGGAATTTATTATCATGTAAGGTATTTTGTTGAACTTTTCGAGATTTGATCTCTCGTTTCTGTGACTTTTAGGTTCTTGTCTAATAAACTACTGTTGTTTTTTTTTTGTAATCATATTGCTAGCAGAGGCATATGATGTGCAAAGTTATAAGAATGATGCAGTAGGAAGTACAGCATATTGTCGTCATGTTTACAAATAACGTAAAAATATTTTGACGAATAAACACTGACACAAAAAAAAAAAGCTTAAGAAATCATTGTATATTTAAACAAAAGATATTCAAAGAAGCTTTGTATCTTTTTATTTTGTTTTGAAAAAAAAAAACATGTAAAATCAATACCTGTTTTAAAGTACTATTATATACAATGTACATGTATATAATGTAGAATAAAGTCAGCTGATCAAAAGCAACAAGGAAGTTGCAAAAGTGTTCATGCATATATGATTTAAAATGAAGTCGGAATTGCTCTCATAACTGTTTACAAAATGAAAACTAAATTCTTTCTATCGATTTTATGTTTTGGAATAATGACAATTTTGGTAAAAGGTGAGAACTTATACCTTATAGATTTGTAAATGTAGAACAACAATTTTCCTGATCTAGGTAAAACCAGAAAGGCGCTTCTGACGCACAAAATTTAGATGTGGCTCATTTTTCAATATAGTTTTTTTCACTGAAATAAAAAAAAGATTTTCAGAAGGTATTTCTGAATGAGATAACATCAAAACTTCGTACAAATAATAAACCCACCATTCAGCCCAATTACAGAACTCTAACACAAGGTTCAAAAGTGCATTTACCTTCGATAGAGGTCTTTTATAAAAGAAAATATCCTGTGGAAATTTAACTAAAAATCTTTTATTTTCTTAAAGTCTTTTTTTCAATACTGAATATTAGATATATCAATATTATAAAAAAAGAAATATATGTACGTGAACTTGTTTTTGAAATTGAACAGGAAAAAGAAGTCGCTAAATCTTTTTTGTCTATGGATGAAAAAAAAATGAATTTTAAAATGTACGAAAAATATATGAAAAAAAGAAAAATCAATAATATTTTGTATAATAATATTTGAAATGTTAGTTTTCTGAAACAATTATAAAAACAAACCACGGATTTTGAATTATGAATTTGAATACATAGCAAGGAAATAGCAAGAGGGGTCACGAAATGTTAACGGAAAGTTGAAAGGAAAAAAACGACCAAATAGTATCCTACTTTCGGTCTTATTTGTCGCATTTAAAGCTGTATACAAAAATTTGACTTTTCCATAGTAAACATAGTATCAAAGTTTATGTATTTTTATGGTTATTGTGAAGAGTGAAATATGAAGAAAACATGATATTTTGGCTGTTATTCCATGTTCAATGGCTAATCTAGATTTTACCAAAATTACTTCTGAAACTAAAAACACAGAGATTGGCTTTGTTTAATAACTTATTTGATATGGTACTCTGCTGTATATTATAGCCGTTTTTCGTCATTGTTTTGTACATAAATCAGGCCGTTAGTTTTCTCGTTTGAGTTTTTTTTACATTTGTCATTTCAGACTTTTCTATCTGATTTTGTGGTATGGGTTTTGCTCATTGTTGAAGGCCGTACGGTGACGTATAGTTGTAAACCTCTATGTCATTAGGTCTGTGGTGGAGAGTTGTCTCAATGGCAATCATACCACATCTTCTCATTATTATAGTTCAGCGAAATGGAAGCCACAACTCCGAAACATATAATGAACAAAAATAAAAAAACAAAAAAAATACGAGACTCACAAAGGCCAGAGGTTCGTGACTTGGGATAGGCGCAAAAATGCAGCGGGGTTAAACCTGTTTTTTGAGATCTCAACCGTCTCCCTTCAACTCTATCCAATGTTAAAGAAACAAATACACAGCAATACACACAGTAAAACCCAGTTTAAAGAAGTCAATATCTTCCTATTGATACATTTTTTTGGCCGTTTGTTTCCTCTCAGTATCTCCTACAAAGCATGTTGATACTTAAAAGTAGGCAACTAAAAAGGAACACCTTTGTTAAGATTGCAGTCCTCTTCGAACACTATACAAAAAAACACCATGAATTTTTTGTCCATTTCGGAAAATTTGTGTCAGAGATGATAACATATAGGTTCTGTTTGTGATTTCTTTCTATACAAATATGTGTATTTTTTCTAGTGAATCAAACTCGCTGATATTTGCATTTACAGGTGATCCATGTATGAATTATAAAGTTTTAGATTCATTGGACGAATCCAGACGATCTGCTGCAAAAAGCTCCGGACATTTATGTGATAATACGCTGGAGTCAGGATGGTATAGAATTATCAGTAAGGCAGGCGAAAGAATGCCAACAGAATGTATAGTTGGCGGTTTCCGTTGTGGGACAATTTCATCTATATGGATGAATGGTAAAACCTAACGTGAAGATTGTATGGTTAATGATCAATTATATGTTAAGGCGATGAAAACACTAGCAGCCTACTATACGTCTCACTCAGAAGAATTATGAATTACAAATTTCTGTAAACAGTGTACTTTGTTCAAAATTATTTTTTTTTGTAGATGTTTTAAGCTTATATATTTCAGTAAGGTAGATACTCTTCTGAAAAACAATATTTAAGCACATTTAAGTCATTTTTCTCTCACTTTCTTCAAAAATTTAACATGCTATTAAGTTTGAACAACTCATGTTTGAAAGACTTTTTTTAAATTTAAGACTTCGTAAAAGATTTTAAGGTGCTAACATAATAAAGGGGATAAAAAAGACCATGCACCTGCTTCAGATATTGAAATGTGTTATTATAATGTTATATATATAAAAAAATCTATACAATTTGAAAATCATAAATGTTAATGCTCCAGTAATTTATTTTAAATAAAGTATTTATGTACGTTGTATCAATGTCAAACATATACACTAGTTAATAGTTATGATTTAAAGCTACAATTTAATTACTTAATCTGAAACCTGCTTATAAATATTCATGATCGTGAGAAAATAAAAACGCCTTTAAATGTATAATTAATGTTATAGGATCCTACCCGGTAACAAATGAGACAAGAGCAGTTACAGCATGTGCAGCGAACTACAATGGAAATTGCTGTGCCTATTCACATCCGATAAAAGTGAAAAATTGCACCAATTATCTTGTCTACAGTTTGGTTCCTGTAACCCCATGCTATCAGGCTTATTGCTTTGGTGAGTTATACATTGGGCAACGAATAAACAACATGAAAAATATTTTACCCGCGTTCTTCTTCATCAGTTGATATAGATTCCAGTAGATCACATCATGAGTTGATGTCCTAAACAACGTAAACAACAATGACCATAATTATCAAAATATCATGCTGTTAATCCTGTACAGTGATATCGGCTAAACCTTATTTTACAAGAAATTTAAGGGAAAACTGTTTTGTAAGAGTTTTTCATTATGATAAACGTCATAACCAATATATTCTAGATAATATTTGAATAATTATTACGTATTATATTTGCCTTCCCCCTTTTCCGTTCTGTTTGGTGAGCTCTGCTGAATTTCCAATATGTAAATGCATCTACAACAATGAACAATGATGCTTGTTTTAAAAATCAAAACTAGCATATCATAATATAATTTCAAAATTTCAAAATGCTATTTAGTTCAATTTTATATGTTCAGGTATTTTTAAAAACGAAAGAATGCAGGAGTTATACATGTACAAATTGTTTATATATTTCAGGATCAGAGCTTCCATGTCCGACCGGAGAAACGTCTGATAATGGTTTTAGTCCTGGATGTGAACGTAAGTATTGTGGATCACCGTAGTGTGTTAATTGTATTCTTGTATTCTTTATTTGTAAAAAATATGTTATGTATTATGCTTTTTTTCTTCCTTCTTCCCTGTTTTTTTTAAACATTTGCTAATATCTGACAATTATGTACTAAAAATCTTTAAAGAAAATATCGGAATTTGAAAATATCTATAATTAGACATTTGGAACGTTTCGGTTTAATCAACAGTTACATTATGTAGTTTTTCTCTCCTAATCGTATATTGTTCGCTCATGATAAATTTTGGGCGAATTGTGTAACAGGTTTGAGGATATTAAAAGAAACGAAAACGGACAGTTCATGTCGGGGCCTTTTATAGCCGACCATACGGTATGGGTTTTTCTCATTGTTGAAGGCCGTACAGTTGCCTATAATTGTTTATATCCACTTCATTTGAACTTTGGTGGATAGTTGTCTCATTGGCAATCATACCACATCTCCTTATTTTTATATTGAGTATAGCAGTTGAAACTCTGTAATGTGAATTGTAGTCACCATATAATTATAGCATAACTTATAAACTACAATGCAAATATTTATAAGAAAAATCTTGTTATGCAATCGTCTAAGACTTAAAGTTCTAAATCAGTGGCTACTTGAATGATCAAAGTCTGTGACCCCCAAAGCAGCGCTTCAGCCTCAGAAAGTGACTACAAAGTTAAAGTAAAACGCCGATCAAAGTGTTTATTGTGATTTATAATGTGTTGACTGGAATATAGGAATATGATAACAGCTGGACTTCTCCCGTTTCGACTGTAAATCTCTAGCCACAATAGGAGGGTCCGTTTGACTGTGTGTGATGTATACAAACGCGTCCCGTCTGGTCGAAATGAGGACTTTAAATTGACCTCGTGCTATGAGAATGCCAATCTGACCACTTTTAAGAACCCCTGCAACATTTCTGAGAGGTTCGTAGGTGTTCTGTTGCAAGGCTTACTTTCTACCCCTATCAAACACCGTATCAACTTTTTTTCAGGGGGGGGGGGGGGGTGGTAAATATCCTGCGCTTCATTCAGTTCGACCTATCTAATAGGTCTGCTATATTGTATTACATATTTATCTGTTCTCGTCTGGAAAATGCATGAAATATTTGCCACTGTAGTTTAACAAACAACAGTCAATCAAATCCAAGAATATATACAATTATTATATTTAAATTTGCCTGTGTACGTTACTTTATTTAACGCCATTTTGTCCTAGGTTAAAGTTGTTTTTATTTACATTGATACATCGTTTTTATTTGTATTCGTTCAGTGTATCTTTACTTTTGTGTATTGTCTTTTTGATCGAGTTAAGCCATTTCAATTGATATTTTATGTTGTAATGTTATACTACTGTTTCAGGTTAGGGTGAAGGTTGGCGCTTGTTAAAACGTTTAAACCAGCTGCAGTTTTATGCACCTGTCCTAAGTCAGGAGCTTGTTGTTCAGTGGTTGTCGTTTGTTGGTGTTGTTCATAAGTGTTTCTCGTTTCTCGTTTCTTATATAGATTAGACCGTTGGTTTTCCTGTTTGAATTGTTTTACACTAGTCTTTTTGGGGCCCTTTATGGCTTGCTGTTCGGTGTGAGCCAAGGCTCCGTGTTGAAGGCCGTACTTTGCCCTATAATTGTTTACGTTTTACACATTGTAACTTGGATGGATAGTTGTCTCATTGGCACTCATACCACATCTTCTTATTTATACTTACACGTATTAAGATTACAAGGTTTTTGTATTGCCTTGAAAAAAAATTTCAGTTCACAGTTTTTTGTAAATTTTATGGTTTTCCACCTAAAGCACAGTTGATCCTCATTTTATCCTGGCGAAGGTTTTGGTTTGTTATCATTTTACGTCCCTTCAAAAGTGGGTGCTTTGGGATTGTCATTATCTGCCTTTGGGAACAAATGGCAAAACTAGAATTTAAAAAAAAAAATGCTTATATGGTGCTTCAAATGTACTGCGATAACTTATAATTAAGGTAGTATAGTATGACATTATACAAATATTACTAAAGGAGAAACCGCCTAGGTGGTCTATTGGTACCGTCTTTGTCTCGAGTGCAGATGTTTGAACCCCGACAGGGTCAAACCAAAACTTTTCTCCGCTATCCGCCAAGTACGTGGCAATTTCTAACTACGAAAGGCCTAAATAAATTTTACTATAATTTCGCAATAATTTCACAGGTCAAATAATGACCCTCATCAAATATACTCTTTCTCGATGATTTACATTCTCCCTAACCCATTACTTTGAATTCATTTTTATTTATAGCATGCATTTTGTGTATTCAACGTGTAAGGCAAACATTAAATTTAAGTGTTCAAGTGCATACAACTATTCTATAGGCTTGTACATGCCGGAATAGATTGCCTCAATCAGACTTGACAGTACTTTGTTAAACATTTTAGTTTTCAATGCTCTTTTTATTGATTTGACACATTCCAACTATTTTAATTCGAGATGCACTGTTGAGACTTATAAAGACGAAAAGCGCATTTCTCGTCCTAAATTATAAGCTTAGTATCTTTGGTGAGTCTTTATTATACTTATCTTTTTAATATAATAGAGGATTCTAAATGAATACGACATTGTGTTCACAATTAATCCACATAATTGATAATTATTTTTTAGTGGACCCTTGTCATAGTAGTAATTATGATATACTACAAGGTGAATTGAAAAGATCCTCTAATTATACCCTGACTATAAATGACGTTGCTATAGAAGATAGTCGACTCAGAACAGGATGGTATAGGATCGATAGTGTGACCGGAAATGACATTGTCAATTACAGTGTTCCAATGATGCAGTGCGGCACTCTCTATCCTCTCTGGATGAAAGGTTAATGTAATATATATTTTATAGATATGTCGAACTACGTTGTTGTTAGATGAACATCCACACTTAAAATAAAATAAAAAATATATATCTTTGTAGATTGCAATTTGTTAACAGAAGGTAAAGTGTCTAGTGTTGTTATTTCTTTTATATATATTGAGCAATTATATATTATTATTATTATTGCGCAGTATGATAATAAATGTGATATATTGGTGCACTAATGTTTGAAAAATAATTGGAAAGGGCCAAAATGAGAACTTTTCAAATTACAGATACAAAGTACGCACAACACAATTGTTTTAGAAGAGATTGATAATGCTGTATTTTAACAATTCACCAAAATGCGTGGTGCTTAAGTTGTCTGTCTCTTTTTAGCGTGTGCGTGTGTTCTTTGTGACAGACAACTAATTCTTGATGCTTTCATTTAAATTTACTTCTTTGCTAGATAGTTAAAATCATGTTTCACTGGTCAAAGAAGGATCTATAATGGATGTACTATATCCCTTTCACCGGTTAAGTAGATGTTCTACTTTTTAAAGCATAACAGTAAATTGTATATTTAACATTGAATATGCTTACCGAGGAAACTTGTCAAAACATTCGCCTAACTAAACAAATGGACAAATAGTCTCGTCTGACCAGCCTTGGGAACTGGTTAGACATTGTATATATAGTATTACAAATTATAAAAAAAGCAAGCATGAAATAATATATAACAACTTTATAAGTCTCGAGATCGAAGTGTTACTGAACGTTTTATAAACTCCTAGTGATTATACTGCTAGGTTAGGTTGAAATGTATTCAGAATAGAGAATCAACATTAAATTGAAAACTGTTCAACTTTAATTTGATCAAAAGTCAGTTTGACTATCACGAATAAAACTGACATCCTCGTGAAATCAGAGTCAATCGAATTGATTGCATGTATTTTCACACGAAATGAAAACTAATTTGCGCTCGAAAAAAAGGACCGATTCACAGGAAAACAAAATGCGATCATAACATGACACTATACCTATTGTATTTATTTCATGCTTAATAATGTGTACAGGTTATAACTATACGGTACCTCGACTGTGACGTCACCGAATGAGACTTATTGCCGAATTTATACTAATTATGACTTGTTTGTCCTTTTGTTGTCTTCCATCTTTTTGTTGTTGTTGTTGCCATGGCGTTGTCAGTTTCTCTTCGACTTATGAATTTTGCTTGTTCTCTTGATATCTTCCGCCTCTTTTAAAAGGAAGATTATACTCTGTTCATTATTAAAAGGTTGATTTTTAAAGCAAACGGTCGTGACTTTTTATTTTAAGTATATTCAATGCAAAAACAATTAACTTTCAATTTGTACATCATTTAGGAAGTATACCAGACGATAGAGAAAGAGGTAAAACTGTAAATAGAAAAGTTTGCAGATCAGGACTGACTGGTACCTGTGTACAAGAATATAATATAAAAGTACGAAACTGTGGCACGTACAGAACATATTATCTGACACAATTAGATGTTGACAAATCAGCATACTGTTTCGGTAAGAGCTTAATGTTCATTGAATATTGCTTATCTATGGACACCCGTAAAAGAAGTGATACGCATTATCATGGTTATTATCTAATGTAACAGTTTATTGCCAAATGAAATTTACATGATTTTCCACAATCCACTATAAAAAAAAGAACTGAATTTGTTAGCTGTATAAATCAAATTGATCCTCAGATATATATTTTACAATAGTACTGAGTAAAAATGGTAGAGTAATGTTTTCTAAAACGCCGTGTTAAGCAAAATATTCAAATTATCAATTGAAAATAAAATGGACCATAGAAATAAAAAAAAAAGAGGAAGAAAAAATGGAACTAGTATAGTCTTTCAAATTTACGTCAAATGAAAGTACTTTTAAACCCAAAAAGGTGACGACAATGACTATTTAATCCTTTTATCATAACTATGTAAGCTAGGCTAAAAAGGGGAAAAAATAGAAAACGACCAGTAATATCATTACCAATATTTTATAAAATGTTCAATGCCCAGGAATGTTACCAGTACCAAAACCAACAACATTAACGACAACAACAAGATCAACGACAACAACAAAAACAACGACAACAACACCAAGATCAACAACAACAACTACCACAGTAACACCTACGAAGACATCTACAACGTTGGGAACAGCACGGACAACAAGAGCAAAATCCGTTTCATCCATATCTACGAACACTTCAGAAGAGATCTCTACTACTTCATCACTGATTAAACAAACAACATCACATCTTCCTCAAAAAGGTACAGAAAATTACATTTCTTTATTATGTTAATACTTAAATTTTGTATGAATTATGATGATTTTACTTGAATGAATATTTTGTTAAGAATGTACATGTTAGTGTCATTCGTGAATTTATCAAAGGGATAAAACAATATACAACGTTTTGCATTGAAATAAAGAAGATACATGTTTTATGTAATAAACCACTGGCAGATGGAAGCGATTTTAAGTAAGACACTCAACAGAAACGATTGTATGTACAGTTTTAAGACACCCGATAGAAGCGATTGTATGTATATTTTTAAGACACCCGAAAGAGGCGATTGTATGAAATGTATAAGACATTCGATAGTAGCGATTGTATACACATTTTTAAGACACTTGATAGAAGCGATTGTATGTACATTTTTAAGACATCCGATAGAGGCGATTGTATATACATTTATAAGACACCCGAAAGTAGCGATTGTATAGTCAATTTTTAAGACACCCGATAGTAGCGATTGTATATACATTTTAAGACACTTGATAGAAGCGATTGTATATCTTTTTATAAGACATCCGATAGAAGCGATTGTATATTCATTTTTTACACCCGATAGAAGCAGTTGTATGTACATATTTAAGACACCCGATAGAATTAAGCGATTGCATATACGTTTTTAAGACACCAAATAGAATCGATTGAATTTACATTTTAAGACATCATATGGAAGCGATTGCATGTACATTTTTAAGACATCCGATAGAAGCGATTGTATATATATTTATAAAACACTCGATAGTAGCGGCTGTATAGTCATTTTTCAGATACCCGATAGTAGCGATTGTATATACATTTTTAAGCCACCCGATAGAAGCGACTGTATATACATTTATAGGATACCCGATAGTAGTGATTGTATACACATTTTTAAGACACCCGATAGAAGCTATTGTATGTACATTTTTAAGACATCCGATAGAAGCGATTGTATGTACATTTTTAAGACTTCTGATAGAAGCGATTGTATATACATTTATAAGACATCCGTCAGTAGCGATTGTATAAAAATTTATAAGACACCCGTTGTAACGATTGTATTTGCATTTTTAAGACACCCGGTAGAAGCGATTATATGAACATTTTTAAGACACCCGATAGAAGCGATTTATGAACATTTTAAGACACTCAATAGAAGTGATTGTATGAACATTTTAAGACACCCGATAGAAGCGATTATATGAACATTTTTAAGACACCCGATAGAAGTGATGGTATGAACATTTTAAGACACCCGATAGAAGTGATGTTATGAACATTTTAAGACAACCGATAGTAGCGATTGTATATACATTTATAAGACACCTGATAGTAGCGATTGTATAGTCATTTATAAGACACCCGTTGTAACGATTGTATTTGCATTTTTAAGACACCTGATAGAAGTGATTTTATGAACATTTTAAAACACCCGATAGAAGCGGTTATATGAACATTTTTAAGACACCCGATAGAAGTGATGGTGTGAACATTTTAAGACACCCGATAGAAGCGCTTGTATGAACATTTTAAGACACCCGATAGAAGTGATGGTATGAACATTTTAAGACACCCGATAGAAGCGATTATATGAACATTTTTAAGACACCCGATAGAAGTGATGGTATGAACATTTTAAGACACCCGATAGAAGCGATTGTATGAACATTTTAAGACACCCGATAGAAGTGATGTATGAACATCTTAAGACACCCGATAGAAGTAATGGTATGAACATTTTAAACCACCCGATAGAAGCGATTATATGTACATTTTTAAGACACATGGTAGAAGCGATTGCATGTATATTTTTAAGACACCCGATGGAAGCGATTGTATGTACATTTTTAAGACCACCGATAAAAGCGATTGTTTCTAAGAGATCAGATAGAAGGGATTTTATGTGAGAAACCAGGTACATGTAGAAGCGATTATGAAATGAATTCAATTTCTAATATTGAAACTTTTAAATTAGTGTATAAACGTGAAGTTTTTGTACATATGGCTGACAAATGATAACTTTAAAGGCCTGTTGAAGACAATTACAATACCGAAGATATACACAATAATTAATCCTTCATTACACGTCGTACAGTCACTCTTTGGTGTATGTAGACATGAAAGCCTGTGATTTTTTGTCTATCCTTTTTTTCGTAATTCGTTTTGTCAATTTCAGATGAAAAAGACGAATCATTTGACTTCCTTTCAATAGTTGCAGCTCTGATTGTACTTGTTTTTGTCCTGCTGATTGTTATAATCGCAATTTTTATGTAAGTATGTTTAGTTAATATCTAGATGATTCATGAACTACATCCCAAAAGCAATAGACGATCAGCTACATACCTACATCGATTTTTGTTTTGTCCCACTTAATGAGTGAAAATAACACTTAACAGCATCATTGTACAACTTTGCATGTCCTAGTATGTCGTCCTAAACGACAAACACTTAACTTCCTAGACGAATACAAATACAAATACTTATAAAAAGTTCAATCAAAGGTCCGTTACAGAGCATGTACATGTATATACATTACAGTATTAGTTGAGAAAATTTCCTAGATGATGTATTATAAATAAATATTCTCTATGCAAGAAGGTGCATAAATGATTATGTTATATAGATACATTGGAAAGCCTGGATTCTTGAAAAAGAAACCATGAGCCCGGAGGGCGAATGGTTTGTTTTTCATGAATCTACGCTTATCCATTGTATCTATAACTTAAACTATTGTGTTAATTTCTTTTCAAAATTAAAGCCTTTTCTTAATTAGAAGGTATTGTAAGTGAGTTTAAATAACCATGTTATCGTGGTTATCGTGTCCAACGATGCATTGATAAATCTCAGATCACAATTAATTGGTTAACAAAATACAAATATAACACTTCTACCTTTAAAGATCTTTATATTACCAGGCATATGAATATTATCTGTTTATACAAAATAAGACATATTCGAAATTATTTCTAATAAAATTGAAAATGGAAATGGGGAACGTGTCAAAGAGACAACAACCCGACCAAAAAGCATATATAAAGTATATATAATAAGTATGTTATCGAAACTTTTCTAACACTCTAGGCACATCACGATTTTCTCGCATAGGAATTTGCGAACAAACCTTTGTAAAATTATGTAGTAAAACTGATGAAATCATACTATATTTATAAAACAAAAATTGACAAATAGAATGTAATCATTTTTGTTTCAAACATGTGAAATAGCCGATAATAATATATAAAAAAAACGGTAAAACTCGCTATTATTACAAAAATATCCGCTATAACTTGCAAAATTAGAAAAAAACAAGGATAGCTTAAGAATTGGAACAACAGAGAGAATACAGGGATTCGAACCTAAACCGACAAATCCCGATCTTTAACGCATTGATTTTAACCATGCTAACCTCGCGGCTACCAACTCATACTATACGACTGCCTATTGTGTCTATATAAAGGTACAAGCCCTGTGTGTCCTATGAACCGATGTATATCAGATGTTCATTTAAATATATAAAGTAAACATCTATAGTGTAACCCATTGGTAGCCGAGAGGTTTCGTCGGTGTGTTGATGTCAGTCACACATATCAGATTTCAAGGAAGGGTTCGATTCCCAGTGAAGGCATATAAAAATTACAAAAATTAAAGGTAAGTTTTTAAATAAATTCCATTAGTGAACAGAAATCAGTAAATTAGCCAATTCAAACTTAATGAAATTAGGCACACAAAGGAAACAATTGAATATAATTTGGTGAGTCAATTTCAGCGGCAGATTTAGGAAGCGTTGATTCTAGAAAAAGAATCCACGGTAAATGAATAGGCTGACGTCACCACAATGGTTCAACTTTATCGAAGTCATTTTGTTCAGTCTGATGAAAACTGAGATCAGTGATCATGATCAGCATGTTCAGGAATGTGAGATTCGAGTATTATAAGGAGCAACAAAGGGATGATTTTTTGTCCGTTGGATTAATGCCAGACATATGTTACATATATTATATATGTTAAAATTTGATCAAAATTAGTTTCCTTTTTGTGTTTGCTTACATCATGTTCATTGTTTGTAAAACTACCAGAAAAGGTGATGTAAGTAATAGAAAAGTCTTATGTAATATTATTGATAATGTATCGATACCTTTTTGTATGAGAAAAATATTGTCCTGCTCGAATTCCCACGCGTGGATTCATTTACTGTTGTGTATAATTGATTTCGTATTCCTAACAAATCCTACATACAAGCTTATTAGAAATTTATATTTCAATGAACACCTGATTTCTTGGAAAATCCACAGCTATGAAATCCACGATAATTAGTACCCCCGGATAATAAATAATCCACAGTAATGAAATCCACGATAATTAGTACCCCTGGATAATAAATAATCCACAGTATGATAGGAATATGGTAAGGAATAACGAATATACTCCTCACTTTTATTAGATAAACATAACATCTAATTTGCTACTTACTTCTTTTTTGAAAATTTTCAAAAAACATTAATAAACCAACTTTTTAAGTATCAATTATTTATTTCAGATTGTTTAGACTGAAACCTCGCTGTCTGAAAGATATAATGAGATCATCACCACCAACTTATGAAGATACGGTGAAGACTGACAAAATGACTAATCTATATACACAAATGGAAGATACCAATCATTACTCTTGTATAAAGGACAATAATTACAACGAAGGCTACGAGGAGATTCCATATGACAAAAACCAGACTGTGCCGGAAAATAAACTATACTTTCAAAATATTGCTACAATGGCAATTTCAACTCAGATCGTACAGGAAAATAGGCTTTATCTTCAAAATCCGATTACAGTGCCACTAGATAGTCCCGAAAAATCGAAGATTTGACAATGAATGTTATATGCAGTATAACATGTATGATTTTCTGTTTACATAGAATTTCTGAACTTGACGAAAGGGTAATACTAACATTACATTATATTGTTAAGGAAATGCAAATGACAGCAGACATTATTATTATACACATATTTTGTATTATATTCATTCCTTCTTGCAAACTAATATGTGATATTAATAAATTATATGTAACAGAAGAGGGACTCACACATGTAGCATTTATAATATGTTTATTGATATCTGTTTCATACATTATTATGTGTGTTATTGTATGAATCAGCGTTGAAGATGAAATACATTACATTCTTAAACGCACTGTAAAACAAAATACAAATTGAAGAAACTCACAAGTATCCAGTTTCGAGCAGGTTTATTATGTTGTGTTATTTTGGTAAATTTATACGTAGAGCTTTCAAATTTGTAGCGTGTTAGCAACTATATATTTGGTGGTTTCATAGCCGTTCTTTACTTTTCGACAACCATGCTTATGATATCCCTTTGACATTGATACTTTAGAAATATTGGGTTAGATAATTTGTAATATATGCTATATGATAATATTTTGTTTCACGTGTTTTCTTAAGCTGGTTCTGTGTCTTTTGTGTTATTTTCAGGCAAATGCTTATTGACAATGTCTAATTTTCCCTGAAAAAAACTTAAAAAGACACAGAACCAGCTAAAGTGATGATGTTTATTGTCGATATCCTTGAGGGTTACTGGGGATTACAAATATGGTCATTTTTGGTCTTCTTCCTAGCGGCAGTAAAATATTTGTCACAGACGAGCGTCGGTTTGGCTGTGCGGGATGTATAAAAACGCAGCCACGTCCGATCAGTACGGGGACGTGTAAATCCGATGCCTCGTGTATAGATAGTTCCATAATGTAAATAACAAATAATTTGTAAGAGTTTTCACTCATATTGTTTACTCTGAAAAAAGACGAATCTAGCGTTCATGTTCATCCACGAAAAGGATGAAAATAGTGCTAGGATGTTGATTACTTATAACTTATAACTTATTAAAAGACCACTGATATTTTATCAGAGTTTCAATGTAAACAACTTTGGAGGATAGTATAGCATTCATAGAAAAATTATTCAAAATTTGTTATGAACTTCTATATTAGGTATTATCATTGTTAATATTCATTTCTTTCAATGTCTTAACCTAACACAAAACTTATACATGATGTGCATTTACAAGCTAGTTATGAGTGTTCATATATTCTGCATTAACATCGTTCCATTTCACTGTATAGTCAAATAAAATATCTTAAATAAACTGTATTACGGTAAGTTGTTATTAGTCATTTAGTTCTCTGAGAGTACATGTACTCTCATATATAGACATGAATTCTATGAAAGTACATGATCTGACATATATTGGCATTAGTTCTATGAGAGTACATGTATCTCATATATATGAGAGTATACATGATCTGACATTGTATCTCATAGATTGACAGGCAAATAAACGTTGCCAAAATCATGCCACCAACACTATCTACAAGGGTTGATTATAATATACGAAGATTGATAAAATGATAACAGTCTCTACATCTTGGAATATGATTCTTTGTTTTTGTTTTTCAAATTGTTAGAATTCATCAAATTAAACGGCTAATGCAATATCACTTTTCCATTAGCGATTTTCAGTCCATATCTCTGAATTTTCAAAATACAATTGAGTATGAAACCAGGCTGAAGCTAGCGAACAATAACTAGCGAACAATAAGGCGATATATCTAAAAACCGAAAAATGGAATAAGACAGCAACGGCCGTCAAATGAAAAAATATTTAAAAAGGCAGACATTCCGTCCAAATATTGTAATTTCAACTCTATCGTGAGATGGTATTTATCCCATCCATTGATAAAACAAGTCGCATCTCTTTTTAGGCTAGTCTTGTAGAGGAGAAACAGGCGCATCTTTTGCGCAAGGTATCGAAGGGCGCTATGTTCAAAAATCTGAAACTAGAGCTCAAAATTAAAAAAAAAATGTTAAAAACAGGGGGGTTGGCCTATTCCATGGCTTCTAGAGAAAAATAATGAGGCGTGTCACAGGGTATAACTATATAGGTCTTGTAGAGGAGAAACAGGCGCATCTTTTGCGCAAGGTATCAAAGGGCGCTATGTTCAAAAATCTGAAACTAGAGCTCAAAATTAAAAAAAAAATTGTTAAAAACAGGGGGGTTGGCCTATTCCATGGCTTCTAGAGAAAATAATGAGGGGTGTCATGGGATATGACTATAAAGGTCTTGTAGAGGAGAAACAGGCGCATCTTTTGCGCAAGGTATCGAAGGGTGCTATGTTCAAAAATCTGAAACTAGAGCTCAAAATTAAAAAAAAAAATGTTAAAAACAGGGGGTGTGTCTATTCCATGGCTTCTAGAGAAAAATAATGAGGCGTGTCACAGGGTATAACTATATAGGTCTTGTAGAGGAGAAACAGGCGCATCTTTTGCGCAAGGTATCGAAGGGTGCTATGTTCAAAAATCTGAAACTAGAGCTCAAAATTAAAAAAAAAAATGTTAAAAACAGGGGGGTTGGCCTATTCCATGGCTTCTAGAGAAAAATAATGAGGGGTGTCACAGGACATGACTATATAGGTCTTGTAGAGGAGAAACAGGCGCATCCTTTGCGCAAGGTATCGAAGGGCGCTATGTTCAAAAATCTGAAACTAAAGCTCAAAATTTAAAAAAAAAATGTTAAAAACAAGGGGGTTGGCCTATTCCATGGCTTCTAGAGAAAAATAATGAGGGGTGTCACAGGACATGACTATATAGGTCTTGTAGAGGAGAAACAGGCGCATCCTTTACGCAAGGTATCGAAGGGCGCTATGTTCAAAAATCTGAAACTAAAGCTCAAAATTAAAAAAAAAAATGTTAAAAACAAGGGGTTGGCCTATTCCATGGCTTCTAGAGAAAAATAACGCTGGGTGTCACGGGGTATGATTATATAGGTCTTGTAGAGGAGAAACAGGCGCATCTTTTGCGCAAGGTATTGAAGGCGCTATGTTCAAAAATCTGAAACTAGAGCTCAAAATTTAAAAAAAAAATTGTTAAAAACAGGGGGGTTGGCCTATTCCATGGCTTCTAGAGAAAAATAATGAAGGGTGTCACGGGATATGACTATATAGGTCTTGAAGAGGAGAAACAGGCGCATCTTTTGCGCAAGGTATCAAAAGGCGCTATGTTCAAAAATCTGAAACTAGAGCTCAAAATTAAAAAAAAAAATGTTAAAACATGGGGGTTGGCCTATTCCATGGCTTCTACAGTACAATAATGAGAGTGTCTCGGAGTATGACTATACAGGTCTTGAAGAAGAGAAACAGGCACATCTTTTGCGTAAGGTATCGAAGGGCGCTATTTCAAAAATCTGAAACTAGAGCTCAAAATTAAAAAAAAAATTGTTAAAAACAGGGGGGTTGGCCTATTCCATGGCTTCTAGAGTAAAATAATGAGGGGTGTCACGGGATATGACTATGAAGGTCTTGTAGAGGAGAAACAGGCGCATCTTTTGCGCAAGGAATCGAAGGGCGCTATGTTCAAAAATCTGAAACTAGAGCTCAAAATTTAAAAAAAAAATGTTAAAAACAGGGGGGTTGGCCTATTCCATGGCTTCTAGAGAAAAATAATGAGGAGTGTCATAGTGTATGACTATATAGGTCTTGTAGAGGAGAAACAGGCGCATCTTTTGCGCAAGGAATCGAAGGGCGCTATGTTCAAAAATCTGAAACTAGAGCTCAAAAATAAAAAAAAAAAAATGTTAAAAACAGGGGGATTGGCCTATTCCACGGCTTCTAGAGAAAAAACAATTAGTAGTGTCACGGGGTATGACTATATAGGTCTTGAAGAGGAGAAACAGGCGCATCTTTTGCGCAAGGTATCGAAGGGCGCTATGTTCAAAAATCTGAAACTAGAGCTAAAAATTAAAAAAACAAATGTTAAAAACAGGGGGGTTGGCCTATTCCATGGCTTCTAGAGAACAATAATGAGGAGTGTCACAGGGTATAACTATATAGGTCTAGTAGAGGAGAAACAGGCGCATCTTTTGCGCAAGGTATCGAAGGGCGCTATGTTTAAAAATCTAAAACTAGAGCTCAAAATTAAAAAAAAAATTGTGAAAAACAGGGGGGTTGGCCTATTCCATGGCTTCTAGAGAAAAATAATGAGGGGTGTCACAGGGTATGACTATATAGGTCTAGTAGAGGAGAAACAGGCGCATCTTTTGCGCAAGGTATCGAAGGGCGCTATGTTCAAAAATCTAAAACTAGAGCTCAAAATTAAAAAAAATTGTTAAAAACAGGGGGGTTGGCCTATTCCATGGCTTCTAGAGAAAAATAATGAAGGTGTCACAGGACATGACTATATAGGTCTTGTAGAGGAGAAACAGGCGCATCTTTTGCGCAAGGTATCGAAGGGCGCTATGTTCAAAAATCTGAAACTAGAGCTCAAAATTAAAAAAAAAATGTTAAAAACATGGGGGTTGGCCTATTCCATGGCTTCTACAGAACAATAATGAGGGTGTCACGGGGTATGACTATACAGGTCTTAAAGAAGAGAAACAGGCGCATCTTTTGCGCAAGGTATCGAAGGGCGCTATTTCAAAAATCTATAACTAGAGCTCAAAATTAAAAAAAATAATGTTATAAACAGTGGGAGTGGCCTATTCCATGGCTTCTAGAGAAAAATAATTAGGCGTGTCACGGGATATGACTATATAGGTCTTGTAGAGGAGAAACAGGCGCATCTTTTGCGCAAGGTATCGAATGGCGCTATGTTCAAAAATCTGAAACTAGAGCTCAAAATTTAAAAAAAAATGTTAAAAACAAGGGGGTTGGCCTATTCCATGGCTTCTAGAGAAAAATATGGAAGGGTGTCATGGGGTATGACTATATAGGTCTTGTAGAGGAGAAACAGGCGCATCTTTTGCGCAAGATATCGAAGGGCGCTATGTTCAAAAATCTGAAATTAGAGCTCAAATTTAAAAAAAAAAATGTTAAAAACAGGGTGGGGTTGGTCTATTCACTAGCATCTAGAGAAAAATAATGAGGGGTGTCACGGGGTATGACTATATAGGTCTTGTAGAGGAGAAACAGGTGCATGTTTTGCGCAAGGTATCGAAGGGCGCTATGTTCAAAAATCTGAAACTAGAGCTCAAAATTTAAAAAAAAATGTTAGAAACAGGGGGGTTGGCCTATTCCATGGCTTCTAGAGAAAAATAATGAGGGATGTCACGGGGTATGACTATATAGGTCTTGTAGAGGAGAAACAGGCGCATCTTTTGCGCAAGGTATCGAAGGGCGCTATGTTCAAAAATCTGAAACTAGAGGTCAAAATTTGAAAAAAAAAATTATCAAAAACAGGGGGGGGGGGGGGGGGGTTGGCCTATTCCATGGCTTCTAGAGAAAAATAATGAGGGGTGTCACAGGGTATGACTATATCGGTCTTGTAGTAGAGAAACAAGTGCATCTTTTGCGCAAGGTATCGAAGGGCGCTATGTTAAAAAATCTGAAACTAGAGCTCAAAATTAAAAAAAATAATGTTAAAAACAGGGGGAGTGGCCTATTCCATGGCTTCTAGAGAAAAAACAATTAGGAGTGTCACGGGGTATGACTATATAGGTCTTGTAGAGGAGAAACAGGCGCATCTTTTGCGCAAGGTATCGAAGGGCGCTATGTTGAAAAATCTGAAACTAGCGCACAAAATTTGAAAAAAAAATTGTTAAAAACAGGGGGGGGAGGTAGGCCTATTCCATGGCTTCTAGAGAAAAATAATGAGGGATGTCACGGAGTATGACTATATGAGTCTTGTAGAGGAGAAACAGGCGCATCTTTTGCGCAAGGTATCGAAGGGCGCTATGTTAAAAAATCTGAAACTAGAGCTCAAAATTTGAAAAAAAATGTTAAAAACAGGGGGGTTGGCCTATTCCATGGCTTCTAGAGAAAAATAATAAGAGGTGTCACGGGGTTTGACTAAACAGGTCTTGTAGAGGAGAAACAGGCGCATGGTTTGCGCAAGGTTTCGAGTTGCGCTTTGTCCAAAAACTGAAACTAGGGCTCGGAATTTCAAAAAAAATTGGGAAAAACAACAGGAATTTGCCTATTCCATAGCCTTTGGAAAAAATAATGAGGGATGTCGCGGGGTAAGACTATAAAGGTGTTGTAGAGGGAACACAGGCGCATAATTTGCGCAAAGCTTCAAGAGGTGCTATGTGGAAAGGAACTAAAATTTAGTGAGGAACAAAGCCAACTCAAATGTCGGACAAGAACGTGAAAACCGTGAAAAAGACATATCAGAGTTAGGAAAGAAGAATTTCTTGTCATATGAAGTCGAAATGAAAATCCAAATCCCCCCATCCGAATTACATGATGAAAGAGATTGTAAAATGTGTTATGTAAGTACTGATAAAGAGAAGGCTGAACACTGGCTGATTTTTTTTCAAGGGAATTTCGAAAAAGAAAACGATGAAGATGAAAGAACTTTAGTGCGAAGGCCAGCTGGTATACAACCTAAAGTTCTATATACTATGACAGACTTAATAGACAGTCTACTTTGTATTATTTTCAAAAGTCTATTTATATCAGAGGTTTTGTACCAGAATAAAACAAAATCGGCAAACAGTACTGAGTTGTTAAAAAGATATGATAGTAAAACTACATACAGACCAGTTAACTTTATCATTGACAACCCAAGCGCCACATTCCTAAAGACGGTATAAGTACCCTCGTCCACGTGCGTGCATTGTCTGATATAAATAAATGTTTACTAGCTATATAGGCAAAAAAAGAAACATTTCCCTGGTTTTTAATTAAAAGAAATTACATATATTAATTTATAATATTTTCAAGATTAAAACTAGTGACCTGAATGATTTATCTATCATTTACTAATTTGTTAAAAATTCGAAGACGACGTTACGTCATTTTCTGATTTTAAACAAATAAGCATTTTTTCAAACATTTACCTGTATAGAGATGGAATTGAGTTGTCCTTTTGTTCATTAAATGTGTCGAGCACTATTGTTAACAAAAGGTCGCATTAAAAAATTGAAAAAGTTACACGTAAGTCAATGCCACGTCTACGTCATAATGAGAGAGAACGAGCTATTGTGTTGTTGGAAGCAAAAATGACTCTAATACAGGTTGCAAATCATCCCAATGTCTCTAGAATGAATATTGAAAAGCTTAAGACTCGTCTTAGAGATACTGGCACGACAAATAATCGTCCCCGAGGTTGCAGGCAACGTGAAACGAAGTTACGTCAGGACAGTCACATCCGCATTATTCATCTCCGGAATCGATTTGTAAATTTGTCAAAATTGAAAAAGTTTTACGTAAGTCAATGCCACGTCTACGTCATAATGAGAGAGAACGAGCTATTGTGTTGTTGGAAGCAAAAATGACTCTAATACAGGTTGCAAATCATCCCAATGTCTCTAGAATGAATATTGAAAAGCTTAAGACTCGTCTTAGAGATACTGGCACGACAAATAATCGTCCCCGAGGTTGCAGGCAACGTGAAACGAAGTTACGTCAGGACAGTCACATCCGCATTATTCATCTCCGGAATCGATTTGTAAATTTGTCACAAACAGCACGACAAACTCATGGAAGAAACAACAACAGGCTTATTCCCAAACAGTTTGTAACCGACTGCATCAAGTTTGCCTAAGAGCCCATCGTCCGTTGAAGGGACCTATCCTTATGCAGGGTCACAGGATGTCGCGACTTGAATGGACTCGGGTACGGATTCGATGGAATAGACTAACATGGAGACATGTCCTTTTTACCGATAAATAGAAATTCAACTTGACATTTAGCGACGGCAAAGCCAGTGTCTACCGGAGGTGCAATGCATGATTTTCTGATGCGTGCGTACAGGAAACGGATCGGTTTGAGGGTGGCGGAATTGTGGTATGGGACGGAATAACCTACCAGGAACGCACCGATCTGACAATTATTGAAGGTAACCTAAATGCAAAAAGGTATAGGAACGAAATTCTGGCTCCACTCGTTCTCCCGTTTCTCCGAAGGCATCGTTTTAACCACGTTTTTCAGCATGAAAACGCCCGTTGTCACGTGGCACACATTTTAATGATTTTTTGGAGAATAATCACATTCGTGTGTTGCCGTGGCCAGCAATGTCTCCTGATTATCGCCAATGGAACATCTTTGGGACGAACTTGGACGACCCATCAGAAGGAGCCAGAATCCATTGAAAATGCTCGCCAATCTCCGAATAGCATTTTTCAGGGAATGGAACAACACAAAGGCCATTGATAAAGAGGGATGATCATGGGTAGTTCCTTCAAATACTGGAACATGAACGACAACCATATCACCATTCTGAAAGCTCCGAGGGCCAGTTCGAATGCTGTAATGAAATGGTGGGTTATTAAAAAAAGTAAAAGACAGCACGTATGAAACCTAGTGCGACCAGATTTAAACGGATATAAAATTAATGAAGATAGAATATGATGCAACAATCAAAGAACATGAGCAAAAATAATGGACAAGCTGGACAAGTGTGACCACAAACTCAAACATGCAGAACCATTTGATTAGTTAACTTCACGAAAATAAAATGTCTGTCCACAATTTCTCAGGAACGCGCTCCTTGAACACCGCTTGATAGGCATCTAAATAAATGAACGTCGAAGACATTTCCTACAGTGCCAACGCCCCCAAAAGGAGCAATCACTACCTCCTACCGCAGCGGTCGATCAGAGGGTTGATCATTGGGAGGTCGGACTGTAGTAAGACAACGCTGTTGAACAACCTACTCCTGCGTGATGGATGGCTCGACTACGATCGATTGTACGTTTTCGGAAAATCGCTTCACCAGCCCATCTACCAGCGGTTGCAGCAAGCGCTGGGAAAAGGCTTCCCTAAGGAAGATATCCGAGACCTCCTACAGTGCAAGGGCAAGTCACCCTACTCGTTGATCGATGTGGCCAACGCCTTACCTCCACCAAGACACCCAAATGGTATCGACACTTTTTTCTTCGAGCAAGGGAGCGATGTACCAGACCCCAGCCACAAGAACCTCATAGTGTTCGACGACCTGATGCTGAGCAAACAGAACACGTGTGAAGACTACTACGTGCGCGATCGCCACAACAACGTCGATTGTTTCTACCTGTGACAGAACTACTTCAAACTGCCCCGACAATCGATCCGAGAACATGCAAACTTTATCTGTCTCTTTCAGCAAGATGCTAAGAATCTCGATCATATCCGGCGTGACCACTGCAACGATCTTACCAAGTAACAATTTGACGCTCTGTGTAAGCATTGCTGGTCCAAACCCTATGGATTTGTAACCATCGATCTCACGAGCCACAAGTCAGCAGGTAAATACCGATACAAATTAGATGAGTTCTATGAGGTATAAGATAAAGAATGGATCAGTTTGAAGATTTCTTACTGGAACTGGAGTATGAAGACACAGAGGAACCCCAGCCCTACAAGTTTGAGTGGCCCTGCAAATGTAAGTTCGAGTGGGACCTGGTCGATATGAGGAGTATGTGTTGGAAGTGTGGTCGCGCGATCCCCCGCCCGATCGATAGCGGTGTAGGTGATTTCGACGCATGAAACTCTGGCCGCCAGTATGGTAAGGTGGAGCGCTTTCCTCAACCCCAATGCCCTACCAAGACGATTCGAGGCCACCAGTGTACACACCCATGCCAACCGCGTATAGACCTATGCCTAAGACACTTGAAGTTTTCGAAGAGAATACAACCATACTCGTTACCCCCATTGTTTCAACAACTTTTTAAACGCTAAATGAGAGATATTTTTTCAAACGCTATAAGGTGTTTGGAAAAACGTCTATAAACGCTATGGGGCGTTCACACCAACGCTTAGGGGCGTTCACACCAACGCTATGGGGCGTTTAACAGCGTTCGATCCTATAAATAAATGACGTTTATCAAGATTATCGACCCTAAGCAGCGTGAGGCGCTTGCCAGGTAGTTGCAAGACACCAAGCGGAAAATTCAAGCCAGTAATATGCAGCATCGCCTCGACAAGATTGGACTTAGCCGAGACCTTTCCAAGGTGTTTAAGCCTGTGGTTGAGGCTCAGCGAGAGGTAGCTTCACAGATCACCAAAACGATCGCAGACCTTCCTGCAGAAGTGCCAGCCCTTCCTCCTCCACCGCCCGAGTTTACCGACCCACTACCCATCGCACCACCTACAGACACCGCCCTTGGACCCCGAGCACGGCAGTATTTGCAGCTCAGTATGACTCCTTCCGCCTACCACACCTTTGGATTGCGATCTGAAAACGATAGTATCTTTATCGGAATCTCACAAGTTACTTTTGACGGTGATGATATTTTCGTGGATGGTGTGAGGTACAAAGGAACCCTTGGCCTCTGGGAACTCATGGTGAAAAAGAATCCAGAATCGTTCGAGCCCGAAGACCTAGAGGACTATGCACAGATTCTAAAAAGTTCCGGTGTCATGTATCAAGGCAATTCCACCCTCTTGAGAACCCCGAAGTCGAATAAGGGTTACAAGTGGAAGGAAATCGTGTCCCACATCTACCAAAAGAATAAGTTTGGCAGTGGGCTGCAAACCGTGTTTTTACCTTCCAACTTCAAGCAGCTTCTCGACCGCTTGGAACTGTGTGCCGCAGCATACCTAGCAGGAACTAATGGTGTGCGCAACGAAATTGTGTCGATTATCGATGCTATGAAAAAGGGTAGACATATCAGCATCGAGGAATATAAGGCGCTTCGTCGTAGCAGCCTATAAATAAGTGTTAAAAGGTTACGCTCGAAAGTACGGCTACGGTGGTAGAGGACTGTTTGACACAATCGCCAGTTCGGCTGAACACATGTTTACTTCCTCTGCCGCCAAAACCCTAGGAAGTAAGGCAGTGAGTGCTGCCACCAATGCAGCCTGGAAAGTGTTGAAAGGGGCCTCCAAAGCCGTCGACCATGTGGTTGATAATGTGACCCGCCCCAGGAAACACAATAAAACCCCCCAAAAGTCAAGTGTTCAACGCAAGAAGCCAGAGAAAGTTCGGTTGAACAATCTTATCTTTGGCTCTGGTATCAAAACCATCCACGACTTCGTCTAACGCTATAAATAAATACATTATGTCTGACATCCTTACAATCACCGAAGGGTTGACCTTCGACGAAAGTCTCTAGGAATATCAGGATCGAGAATACTAACCACAAGCCAGTGCCCAACTGAACAGTGCCGGTTCTGAAATCCGAATCAACATCGAAACCCAGGATTTGTTCCTACACTCCGCCGAGAGTTATCTCTTGGTAGAATTTCGAAGGACGGCTCCTAATGAACGACGGCTCCTAATGAACGACGGCACTGCATATGCCGACGCTGATCTCGTGTCCCTCGTCCATAATGGTATCATGTATCTCTTCAGAACCACCAGCTATCGACTCTAGATCTCCGGCCAGCAAATCGAGCACATCAACGACCCCGGTGTCGCCACCCCGACGACTTTTACAAATCACAAGGTCTCAACGAACTGTGGTTCAAGGATTCCTCCACCGACGCCCATGCAAACAACACCGGCTTTGTAGCACGCCGTGGCTACATCATTGCCAAGCCGGCGAACAAAGGGTCGTTTTCAATCGCCATCCCCCTGAAGCACATTTTTTGGTTCGCTGATGACTACGACAAGATCGTGTACGGGTTAAGGCATGAAATTACACTCGTGCGCGATTCAGATACACATGCCATCCTGAGGGACCAAGCCGTCGACGTGGGAAAAGTTGTCCTGCGTAAGATCTCATAGTTCGTCCGCCACGTCTCTCCTTCAGACGAAAACAAGATGCAGCTATACAAAACCATTCAGAGTAAAGCGAAGATCAACTGTGGATTTCGAATGAGGCAGTGCGATTCCATAGCCGTCCCAAAAGCCTCACAGTTCAGCTGGCGTTTATCTGCCAAGAGCGGTCGCGAGAAGCCCAGGTACATCATCGTTGCCTTCCAACCCGAGAGAAGTGGGAACCAGGAGCGCAACGCTGCCGTGTTCGATAACTGTCGATTGCAAAACACCCATGTCACTCTCAACGCTGAACGCTACCCGGCCGTCGACTACAATGCCGTTTCCACCGAAAACAGGGTAGCCAGAGTGTTCAAAGAGGCTGCTAACTTCATGAAGAAATTCCACAACATGAACACCCTCCTCAGCAACGGAGGCATCAACCCCTCTGACTTCATCGATCTGTACTCCTTGTTTGTCATTGACGTGAGTCACCAGTCCGAGCGGCTGAAAGAAGCCACGGTGGACATTCAGATCCGGGCCCAGTTCGAGCCAACACCAGAGCATTTGCACTTATCATTTCCGACAGAATCCTACAGTTTGAATCCGATGGTCAGAAGATGAACGTTGCGTTCTAAAAGTTCAAAATGGAAAAAATTTACCTACAACTCCTCTTTGCCAGCCGCCCTGCCGAAGTCTTTGCGATCGTGGTGAAGACTGGTAGACAACTCAAGGAGCAGTATGACGGTATCGAAGAGTGGAAGCAAAAATATGTGACAATGGTGTACCATAAATAAATGGATAACACATTTTTGAGACGAATTGCAAACAACACTGACCCCAAACAGGGGTTCTCGTTCATCGTCTCTGGAAACGATAGTCAAATCCTTACCTGGTTCAACCCCCCCCCCCCCTCCCCCACTGGAACTCAAGGAATCCAAGACCTATGAGATGGCATTAGTGAACCTGGAAACCTATAACTCCATCCCCAACATTCATTCAGGTAACAATTCCTTCCGCTACTCCCCCGACGATGGTGCCAACTGGTTTCCCATCGCACTGAGCACAGGTTCCTATGACATCGAAGACATCAACAATGAGATCCAGCGGCGGCTACGGCTCAACAAACACAAAACAAAGATCATCATCGATGCCAACCGGGCGACCCTTAGAGCAACGCTAACCCTCACAAGACACTATCGAGTAGACTTCAACGTTGTCAATAGCATCAACACCGTCTTGGGATTCAAGCGGCAGATTTACACATTCGATATGATCACAGACGGCTATACAGAAGGGGAACACATTGTAAATATCATCAGCATCAACAGCATTCTGGTGAATAGTGATATCATCCATAGAGATAGAAGTTATGTGAATGGTACACAGCAGTCTCCCATCAACAGCTTCTTTCCCGCAGACGGTCCTGGTATGAAGATCATTCAAACCCCCAAGAATCTAGTATACTAAAATACTTGCCGGTGACCTTGCGAACCATCAATCGCATGCAAACGTATCTCACCGCATCCGCTTTCATCTTCGTGAGGTATAATTAAATGACTTATCACGAACATGGTTTGAACTTGACAAAAGGTCAAGCTGATAAACTACAACGGGCTGTCAAGCAAGGTTGTCCGGTCTCCATTCGTTTGTCCCACGCAAACCTGCAAGGTGAACACAAGATGTGGCTCACCTCTCGGCATAATCAAAAGATTATTAAGCTTCTCCAGAAAGGTACTGGTGGTATGAATCTGTAGCTGAGTGCCGCCCAAATGAAGGAAAACGTGCAAAAAGTAGGTGGATTCCTACCCATGTTGGCAGGGCTGGTAATGAGGGTACTTCCCATGGTAGCCAAGACCATTCTACCTGCCTTGGGTGTTGGAGCCTTGAGCGGTCTGGGTGGTGTAGCCATCGACAAGGTCTTATTGTCTGGATTGTACCTGAAACGTGGTGAGTGTGTTTGTACCGTGAAACCTAGTGGCAACAGTCTCTACCTCAAACCATCAAACGCCCAGATCACCTATGGTGATGGACTCTACTTAAAGCGTGGTCAGCAATTCCACGACGGAGCCGGTCTGATCTTAGGTGCAAACAGCCCCTTCAAAAACATTCCCCTCCTCGGTATGCTCCTATAAATAAATGGATGATTTAGATTCTGGTTACCCATAGGCCAACCCCCCTGTTTTTAACACTTTTTTTTTAATTTTGAGCTCTAGTTTCAGATTTTTGAACCTAGCGCCCTTCGATACCTTGCGCAAAAGATGCGCCTATTTCTTCTCTACAATACCTATATAGTCAAACCCCGTGACACCCCTCATTATTTTTCTCTACAAGCCATGGAATAGGCCAACCCCCCTGTTTTTAACTTCTTTTTTTTTAATTTTGAGCTCTAGTTTCTGGTTACCGGCAGACCAGAGTCGAATGTATGGAAGACCAACTCAACGCGGATATTCTTAAGTATCAACGTACCTTGAAGATCTACAAACGACTCGATAAAGTAGTGTCTATAGCACAGGGTGTGTGTTCCGTAGCCAGTTTGATGTTGACAGCTGCACCATGGGTTCAGCTTTGACCGGTATAGGTATTATAGCCTCCCTTCCCCTAGGATCCCTTGCTTGCTTGAGTGCCACTGGCGTGATGGTACTCACACTGATCTCAAGGCGTATCATGAAAAAGAAGAAAAAACACCGCGACAGCTTGCGATTGGCACAGTCCACAAAATCCTTGGTTGAACAATGTATTAGTACTGCTTTGACTGATGATGAACAAATTGATGATGCTGAGTTTGGTAAGATCACAAGCTGCCTCAAGAACTACTATGATGAGAAAGATCAGCTGCGACAACATTCCACCACTTTTAGTGAGGACCTTAATGCGCATGCGCCGTAAAAACGTCACACATAATTTCATTACGCTTCACTACACACATCGTTTCACGATGTGTTCCGTTCTGCTTCACTTCACGATGTGCTCCGTTTCAAGCATAAAAAAAACACAAAAAAAAAAAAAAAAAAAATTTCCGAACCGGCAGAAATATCGGATGGAAATTTTTTTTGTACCCCATCCAACCCATTTTTTATTTTTTTTTTTTAATTAATTTCTTACAAGATCGCAAGAAAAGTACTCCTGTTTGGTCATTTTACTAACTTTTAAGCCTATACTTCTCACGAGGGCTCCATCCAAGGGTTCCTTCTCTCTGTTCAGACTACTGCAGGCCCATACCCTTGTCGTTTCTCCTTCTCTGTTTTTCAAGGTGAAGATCTTACTCCTCCCAAACTTCCCATCTACTTCTACCACTTCTAGAATTTTATATTTTACCCAGGTTGGGAGTTCCTTCCATTTTAGAATTTCCACGCTCTGGTCCTTTGCCTTTTCCTTTAAAAACATTGTCATTAATAAAATCGTCGTCTACGATTTTTTAACTTCTGAGTTCCTCCATCTTCTGTACGAAAGCCATATTTTTGTATCTACCCCTAGGATTACTTCCCTTTAAGGTGTATCTACCATTGTTTACAAAAAGCCATATCCTTGTTTCTACCCTTAGACTAGTTGAAACACAATGAATTTGCATTTTATGTTTGAGGTTGGGGTCCCTATGCAGGATTTGCGCTTATAAAATGGCAAATGCAGCAGAATCCTCCTTTTTACACTACTACCCACCATTATTTTTCTGTAGAAGCCATGGTATAGGCCAACCCACTGTTTTTAACATTTTTTTTTTAATTTTGAGCTCTAATTTTAAATTTTTAACATAGCACCCTTCGATACCTTGTGCAAAAGATGCGCCTGTTTCTCCTCTACAAGACCGATATAGTCATACCCCGTGACACTCCTCATTGTTTTTCTCTAGAAGCCATGGAATAGGCCAACCCCCCTGTTTTTAACATTTTTTCTTTAAATTTTGAGCTCTAGTTTCAAATTTTTGAACATACCGCCCTTCAATACCTTGCGCAAAAGATGCGCCTGTTTCTCCTCTACAAGACCTATATAGTCATTCCCCGTGACACCCCTCATTATTTTTCTCTAGAAGCCATGGAATAGGCCAAACCTCCTGTTTTTAACACTTTTTTTTTAAATCTTCAGCTCTAGTGTCAGATTTTTGAACATAGCGCCCTTCAATACCTTGCGCAGAATATGCGCCTGTTTATCCTCTACAAGACCTATATAGTCATACCCCGTGACACCCCTTATTATTTTTCTCTAGAAGCCATGGAATAGGCCAACCCCCTGTTTTTAACAATTTTTTTTTTAAATTTTGAGCTCTAGTTTCAGATTTTTAAACATAGCGCCCTTCGATACCTTGCACAAAATATGCGCCTGTTTCTCCTCTTCAAGACCTATATAGTCATACCCCGTGACAGGCCTCATTATTTTTCTCTAGAAGCCATGGAATAGGCCAACCCCCCTGTTTTTAACATATTTTTTTAATTTTTTAGCTCTAGTTTCAGATTTTTGAACATACCGCCCTTCGATACCTTGCGCAAATGATGCGCCTGTTTCTCCTCTACAAGACCTATATAGTCATACCCCGTGGCACCCCTCATTGTTTTTCTCTAGAAGCCCTGGAATAGGCCAACCCCTCTTGTTTTTAACATTTTCTTTTTTTTTTTATTTTGAGCACTTTGAACATAGCGCCCTTCGATACCTTGGCAAAAGATGCGCCTATTTGTCCTCTACAAGACCTATATAGTCATACCCCGTGACACCTCTCATCATTTTTCTCTAGAAGCCATAGAATAGGCCATCCCCCCTGTTTTTTAATATTTTTTTTTTAATTTTGAGCTCTAGTTTCAGATTTTTGAACATAGCGCCCTTCGATACCTTGCGCAAAAGATGCGCCTGTTTCTCCTCTACAAGACCTATATCATCATACCCCGTGACAACCCTCATTATTTTTCTCTAGAAGCCATGGAATAGGCCAACCCCCTGTTTTTAACATTTTTTTTTTAAATTTTGAGTTCTAGTTTCAGATTTTTGAACATAGCACCCTTCGATACCTTGCGCAAAAGATGCGCCTGTTTCTACTCTACAAGACCTATATAGTCATACCCCGTGACACCCCTCATTATTTTCTCTAGAAGCCATGGAATAAGTCAACCCCCCTACTTTTCACTTCTTTTTTTTTAAATCTTGAGCTCTAGTTTAAGATTTTTGAACATAGCGCCATTCGATACCTTGCGCAAAAGATGCGCCTGTTTCTCCTCTACAAGACCTATATAGTCATACCCAGTGACACTCCTCATTGTTTTTCTCTAGAAGCCATGGAATAGGCCAATCCCCCTGTTTTTAACATTTTTTTTTTAATTTTGAGCTCTAGTTTCAGATTTTTGAACATAGCACCCTTCGATACCTTGCGCAGAAGCTGTGCCTGTTTCTTCTCTACAAGACCTATATAGTCATACCCCGTGAAACCCCTCATTATTTTTCTCTAGAAGCCATGGAATAGGCCAACCCCCCCTGTTTTTAACATTTTTTTTTAAATTTTGAGCTCTAGTTTCAGATTTTTGAACATATCACCCTTCAATACCTTGCGCAAAAGATGCGCCTGTTTCTCCTCTACATGACCTATATAGTCATTCCCCGTGACACACCTCATTATTTTTCTCTAGAAGCCATGAAATAGGCCAACCCCCCTGTTTTTAACACTTTTTTTTTAAATCTTCAGCTCTAGTTTCAGATTTTTGAACATAGCGCCCTTCAATACCTTGCACAGAATATGCGCCTGTTTCTCCTCTACAAGATCTATATAGTCATACCCCGTGACACCCCTCATTATTTTTCTCTAGAAGCCATGGAATAGGCCAACCCCCCTGTTTTTAACATTTTTTTTTTTAATTTTGAGTTCTAGTTTCAGATTTTTGAACATAGCGTCCTTCGATACCTTGCGCAAAAGATGCGCCTGTTTCTCCTCTACAAGACCTATATAGTCATACCCCGTGACACCCCTTATTATTTTTCTCTAGAAGCCATGGAATAGGCCAACCCCCTGTTTTTAACAATTTTTTTTTTAAATTTTGAGCTCTAGTTTCAGATTTTTGAACATAGCGCCCTTCAATACCTTGCACAAAATATGCGCCTGTTTCTCCTCTTCAAGACCTATATAGTCATACCCCGGGACGCCTCATTATTTTTCTCTAGAAGCCATGGAATAGGCCAACCCCCCTGTTTTTAACATATTTTTTTTAATTTTGAGCTCTAGTTTCAGATTTTTGAACATAGCGCCCTTCGATACCTTGCGCAAATGATGCGCCTGTTTCTCCTCTACAAGACCTATATAGTCATACCCCGTGGCACTTCCATTGTTTTTCTCTAGAAGCCCTGGAATAGGCCAACCCCCCTGTTTTTAACATTTTCTTTTTTTTTATTTTGAGCACTAGTTTCAGATTTTTGAACATAGCGCCCTTCGATACCTTGCGCAAAAGATGCGCCTGTTTCTCCTCTACAAGACCTATATAGTCACACCCAGTGACACTCCTCATTGTTTTTCTCTAGAAGCCATGGAATAGGCCAACCCCCCTGTTTTTAACATTTTTTTTTTTAAATTTTGAGCTCTAGTTTCAGATTTTTGAACATAGCGCCCTTCGATACCTTGCGCAGAAGCTGCGCCTGTTTCTCCTCTACAAGACCTATATAGTCATACCCCGTGACACCCCTCATTATTTTTCTCTAGAAGCCATGGAATAGGCCAACCCCCCTGTTTTTAACATTTTTTTCAAATTTTGAGCTCAAGTTTCAGATTTTTGAACATACCGCCCTTCAATACCTTGCGCAAAAGATGCGCCTGTTTCTCCTCTACAAAACCTATATAGTCATACCCCGTGACACCCCTCATCATTTTTCTCTAGAAGCCATGGAATAGGCCAAACCTCCTGTTTTTAACTTTTTTTTTTTAAATCTTCAGCTCTAGTTTCAGATTTTTGAACATAGCGCCCTTCGATACCTTGGCAAAAGATGCGCCTGTTTCTCCTCTACAAGACCTATATCATCATACCCCGTGACAATCCTCATTATTTTTCTCTAGAAGCCATGGAATAGGCCAACCCCCTGTTTTTAACATTTTTTTTTTAAATTTTGAGCTCTAGTTTCAGATTTTTGAACATAGCACCCTTCGATACCTTGCGCAAAAGATGCGCCTGTTTCTCCTCTACAAGACCTATATAGTCATACCCAGTGACACTCCTCATTGTTTTTCTCTAGAAGCCATGGAATAGACCAACCCCCCTGTTTTTAACATTTTTTTTTAAATTTTGAGCTCTAGTTTCAGATTTTTGAACATACCGCCCTTCAATACCTTGCGCAAAAGATGCGCCTGTTTCTCCTCTACAAAACCTATATAGTCATACCCCGTGACACCCCTCATTATTTTTCTCTAGAAGCCATGGAATAGGCCAAACCTCCTGTTTTTAACACTTTTTTTTTAAATCTTCAGCTCTAGTTTCAGATTTTTGAACATAGCGTCCTTCAATACCTTGCGCAGAATATGCGCCTGTTTCTCCTCTACAAGATCTTTATAGTCATACCCCGTGATACCCCTCATTATTTTTCTCTAGAAGCCATGGAATAGGTCAACCCCCCTGTTTTTAACATTTTTTTTTAAATTTTGAGCTCTAGTTTCAGATTTTTGAACATACCGCCCTTCAATACCTTGCGCAAAAGATGCGCCTGTTTCTCCTCTACAAGACCTATATAGTCATTCCCCGTGACACCCCTCATTATTTTTCTCTAGAAGCCATGATATAGGCCAAACCTCCTGTTTTTAACACTTTTTTTTTAAATCTTCAGCTCTAGTTTCAGATTTTTGAACATAGCGCCCTTCAATACCTTGCACAGAATATGCGCCTGTTTCTCCTCTACAAGATCTATATAGTCATACCCCGTGACACCCTTCATTATTTTTCTCTAGAAGCCATGGAATAGGCCAATCCCCCTGTTTTTAACATTTTTTTTTTTAATTTTGAGTTCTAGTTTCAGATTTTTGGACATAGCGTCCTTCGATACCTTGCGCAAAAGATGCGCCTGTTTCTCTTCTACAAGACCTATATAGTCATACCCCGTGACACCCCTTATTATTTTTCTCTAGAAGCCATGGAATAGGCCAACCCCCTGTTTTTAACAATTTCTTTTTTAAATTTTGAGCTCTAGTTTCAGATTTTTGAACATAGCGCCCTTCAATACCTTGCACAAAATATGCGCCTGTTTCTCCTCTTCAAGACCTATATAGTCATACCCCGGGACGCCTCATTATTTTTCTCTAGAAGCCATGGAATAGGCCAACCCCCCTGTTTTTAACATATTTTTTTAAATTTTGAGTTCTAGTTTCAGATTTTTGAACATAGCGCCCTTCGATACCTTGCGCAAATGATGCGCCTGTTTCTCCTCTACAAGACCTATATAGTCATACCCCGTGGCACTTCCATTGTTTTTCTCTAGAAGCCCTGGAATAGGCCAACCCCCCTGTTTTTAACATTTTCTTTTTTTTTATTTTGAGCACTAGTTTCAGATTTTTGAACATAGCGCCCTTCGATACCTTGGCAAAAGATGCGCCTATTTCTCCTCTTCAAGACCTATATAGTCATACCCCGGGACGCCTCATTATTTTTCTCTAGAAGCCATGGAATAGGCCAACCCCCCTGTTTTTAACATATTTTTTTTAATTTTGAGCTCTAGTTTCAGATTTTTGAACATAGCACCCTTCGATACCTTGCGCAAAAGATGCGCCTGTTTCTCCTCTACAAGACCTATATAGTCATACCCAGTGACACTCCTCATTGTTTTTCTCTAGAAGCCATGGAATAGGCCAACCCCCCTGTTTTTAACATTTTTTTTTAAGTTTTGAGCTCTAGTTTCAGATTTTTTAACATACCGCCCTTCAATACCTTGCGCAAAAGATGCGCCTGTTTCTTCTCTACAAGATCTGTATAGTCATACCCCGTGACACCCCTCATTATTTTTCTCTAGAAGCCATGGAATAGGCCAACCCCCCTGTTTTTAACATTTTTTTTTTTAATTTTGAGTTCTAGTTTCAGATTTTTGAACATAGCGTCCTTCAATACCTTGCGCAAAAGATGCGCCTGTTTCTCCTCTACAAGACCTATATAGTCATACCCCGTGACACCCCTTATTATTTGTCTCTAGAAGCCATGGAATAGGCCAACCCCCTGTTTTTAACAATTTTTATTTTAAATTTTGAGCTCTAGTTTCAGATTTTTGAACATAGCGCCCTTCGATACCTTGCACAAAATATGCGCCTGTTTCTCCTCTTCAAGACCTATATAGTCATACCCCGTGACACGCTTCATTATTTTTCTCTAGAAGCCATGGAATAGGCCAACCCCCCTGTTTTAAACATATTTTTTTAAATTTTGAGTTCTAGTTTCAGATTTTTTAACATAGCGCCCTTCGATACCTTGCGCAAATGATGCGCCTGTTTCTCCTCTACAAGACCTATATAGTCATACCCCGTGGCACCCCTCATTGTTTTTCTCTAGAAGCCCTGGAATAGGCCAACCCCCCTGTTTTTAACATTTTCTTTTTTTTTATTTTGAGCACTAGTTTCAGATTTTTGAACATAGCGCCCTTCGATACCTTGGCAAAAGATGCGCCTATTTCTCCTCTACAAGACCTATATAGTCATACCCAGTGACACCTCTCATCATTTTTCTCTAGAAGCCATAGAATAGGCCAACCCCCCTGTTTTTTAATATTTTTTTTATAATTTTGAGCTCTAGTTTCAGATTTTTGAACATAGCGCCCTCCGATACCTTGCGCAAAAGATGCGCCTGTTTCTCCTCTACAAGACCTATATCATCATACCCCGTGACAACCCTCATTATTTTTCTCTAGAAGCCATGGAATAGGCCAACCCCCTGTTTTTAACATTTTTTTTTTAAATTTTGAGCTCTAGTTTCAGATGTTTGAACATAACACCCTTCAATACCTTGCGCAAAAGATGCGCCTGTTTCTACTCTACAAGACCTATATAGTCATACCCCGTGACACCCCTCATTATTTTCTCTAGAAGCCATGGAATAGGCCAACCCCCCTGTTTTTAACACTTTTTTTCTTCTAAATTTTGAGCTCTAGTTTCAGATTTTTGAACATAGCGCCCTTCGAAACCTTGAGCAAAAGATGCGCCTATTTCTCTTCTACAAGACCTATATAGTCATATCCCGTGACACCCCTTATTATTTTTCTCTAGAAGCCATGGAATAGGCCAACCCCTCTGTTTTTAACATTTTTTTTTAAATTTTGAGCTCTAGTTTCAGATTTTTGAACATACCGCCCTTCAATACCTTGCGCAAAAGATGCGCCTGTTTCTCCTCTACAAGACCTATAAAGTCATACCCCGTGACACCCCTCATTATTTTTCTCTAGAAGCCATGGAATAGGCCAACCCCCTGTTTTTAACATTTTTATTTTTAATTTTAAGCCCTAGATTCAGATTTTTTAACATAGCGCCCTTCGATACCTTGCGCAAAAGATGCGCCTGTTTCTCCTCTACAAGACCTATATAGTCATACCTCGTGACACCCATCATTATTTTTCTCTAGAAGCCATGGAATAGGCCAACCCCCCTGTTTTTAACATTTTTTTTTTAATTTTGAGCTCTAGTTTTAGATTTTTGAATATAGCGCCCTTCGATACCTTGCGCAAAAGATGCGCCTGTTTCTCCTCTACAAGACCTATATAGTCAAACCCCGTGGCACGCCTCATTATTTTTTTCTAGAAGCCATGGAATAGGCCAACCCCTTGTTTTTAACATTTTTTTTTTTAATTTTGAGCTCTAGTTTCAGATTTGTGAACATAGCGCCCTTCGATACCTTGCGCAAATGATGCGCCTGTTTCTCCTCTACAAGACCTATATAGTCATACTCCGTGACACCCCTCATTGTTTTTCTCTAGAAGCCCTGGAATAGGCCAACCCCCCCTGTTTTTAACATTTTCTTTTTTTTTATTTTGAGCACTAGTTTCAGATTTTTGAACATAGCGCCCTTCGATACCTTGCTCAAAAGATGCGCCTGTTTCTGCTCTACAAGACCTATATAGTCATACCCCGTGACACCCTCATTATTTTTCTCTAGAAGCCATGGAATAGACCAACCCCCCTGTTTTTAACATTTTTTTTTTTAATTTTGAGCTCTAGTTTCAGATTTTTGAACATAGCGCTCTTCGATACCTTGCGCAAAAGATGCGCCTGTTTCTCCTCTACATGACCTATATAGTGATATTCCGTGACACCCCTCATTATTTTTCTCTAGAAGCCATGGAATAGGCCAACCCCCCTGTTTTTAACATTTTTTGTTTAATTTTGAGCTCTATTTTCAGATTTTTTAACATAGCGCCCTTCAATACCTTGCGCAAAATATTCGCCTGTTTCTCCTCTACAATACCTATATAGTCATACCCCGTGACACCCCTCATTATTTTTCTCTAGAAGCCATGGAATAGGCCAACCCCCTGTTTTTAACATTTTTTTTTTAATTTTGAGCTCTAGTTTCAGATATTTGAACATAGCGCCCTTCGATACCTCGCGCAAAAGATGCGCCTGTTTCTCCTCTACAAGACCTATATAGTCATATCCCGTGACACCCTTCATTATTTTTCTCTAGAAGCCATGGAATAGGCCAACCCCCCTGTTTTTAACATTTTTTTTTTAAATTTTGAGCTCTAGTTTCAGTTTTGAACATAGCGCCCTTCGATACCTTGCGCAAAAGATGCGCCTGTTTCTCCTCTACAAGACCTATATAGTCATACCCCGTGACACCCCTCATTATTTTTCTCCAGAAGCCATGGAATAGGCCAACCCCCATTTCTACAAATGTGTATCTTAGTTCAATTAAACAATGACATCAAAGGTGCTGTATTTTACAAGAAAGGACTACTTTTACATACGTTCTAAATTGAAGTGGGTGCATTAGTGGTCTTACACCTACAAATAATCCCTTGACAGGTGCAGATTTACTGTGGTACTGAATATTAGCCTAAAAAGAGATGTGACTTGTTTTATCAATGGATGGGATAAATACCATTTCACGATAGAGTTGAAATTGCAATATTTGGACGGAATGTCTGCCTTTTTTAATATTTTTCATTTGACGGCCGTTGGTGTCTTATTCATTTTTTCGGTTTTTAGATATATCGCCTTATTGTTCGCTGGCTTATTGTTCGCTAGTTATTGTTCGCTAGCTTCAGCCTGGTGAGTATGAAAATGGTTCTGAACGTTACAATATACAAAATTACAATATAGAATAATATTAGAAATATGTTACTAGCATGGACAGTGTTATTTTGAAACGTAATTTAACAGAACATATTACAATTTGCGGTTAATGATTAAGGATGTTCGCTACTCTTGCTTTTGACTTTTTGTCAGATATTCGGAATCATCTAGTTTTGTCTATGTAGTGCCAACAAAAAATTTGCCCGCTAATCCCCTACTGTTCTTTTCATAATTTTAAAAAGCCATTTTTGAAAATCTTATAAAATCCTTGTTATTTTTTCATACTTTTTAAGAAAAAGGGTGCCAATGTAAAATGTATGAAAAGTCTAGAGAGAATCATTTCCCGCCAAATTTTCAGTTGATCATATCTCAAAAATAAGGACACGGACCTGTCTTTTTCTACTTTTTCAGTTCCGTCATTTCTTAACTATCAATTTATCACATTCTTTTAAAAAGCTTGTTTTCTTTAACAGAGGAGCAAAAATCCTTAATAATGAAACAAGTGGTTGGTAAATGCAGTTACATAGCATTCATACATTACATTACATAACATAACATAACTTAGCATAACATAGCATAGCATACATTTATTACATAACATAAGATAACTTTGTTATCAGCAATTATCTAAGTTTGTTTTTTATAATTCATTATTCAAAGTGTTTTGGACTTGTGTACTTTTAGCATCAGGAACTCAGAAAATGCAAATTATATCCATGATTTAAATTCTGATTGATCTAACAGTTTGCTTTATCAATACTACTTCAAACAAGTATAATTTAAAGTTAACATTACCATTAATTGTCAGACATGCTGTGTCAATTTGTACTTTTATGATTATCCAGATTGCAAGTTGGCGTGGACTTCTAAATATTTGTAAATGAAAGAAAAAAGATGACGGGTATATGTCAAAGAGACAGAGTACTGGAAAACGGATGCATTCTGCAGGACACCTTTACATAAAATGAATATATTGATATTACATGAAAATATCTTTTACGATTGGTTGTTGTGTTTAGAGTTCAGTGACAAATAGTTCATGCTTAAATAGGCTCTGTAAAGTGTCGACGGGGATAACGAGATGAAATGTTTGACTGCCGCTGTATGTTGGACACTGATTTAATCGATTCGTTTCGACTAGAATTGGCTGTGTTTTACTATATCTCACACAGCCAAACGAACGCCCCTTATGGTGTAATAGGAGTTTTACTTGCATAAAGTCTACGGTTAGAGAAGTATATTTCTTTTCCCAGACGTGGACATTTTTCACATACAATAGTTAAAATTTCTATAGTAAAGGCAGATATATATATATATTTTCTGATTTTTGATATGCTGTTTCTTTCTTTCCTGGTAAAATTTCACCCCTAAACTTCCTTATAAAATAATGATATTGTGAATTTGTTTTTAAATACGAATTATAAAAGACACGCAAATTTTATCTTTAAACAAATGGGTATACATTGTCATTATCAGGGGAAAAAATCAAGACTGCACTTTTTGTTACATATATTATTTTATGGAATTTTGAAACTTTTACTCGTGCAAAATACAATTTCCAAAATCACACGTAGACATTATAAATGCAGTGATTACTTTTTTTATGTTAGTTACGTCATACTGGCCTACTTCGCTTTTTCATCTTGTAAAATTATTTAGAGTGAAAAGAATTTGGCGGTACTGACACTATTAACACCTGACTTTTACTAAGGATACAAAGGATAAATAAAATGTATCTTGTAATCGACCTTTCTTCAGTCTATACAAATACAGGTCGACTGCCACAGATAAACATACCCTATAAGGCTTGTACCTTACTTCTGTTGCGAACGAACTGTTATGTTCAAGAAAAAGAGAGGCGAAAGATACTAAAGGGACATTCAAATTCATAAATCGATAATAAACTGACAAAGCCATGGCAAAAAAGAAAAAGATCGAAAGATACACAGCATTATACAAAACACAAAATAGTAACAATTCAATTTGGGGTCCTCATCGCGGTCTCGTTTATTAATTCAGAAACAAATTCAACGATTTAGATGGGGAACAAAAATACGTTTAGTTCAATGTTAAATTGCAGGATAAAATCAGTATTCGTACAGTGTCCGAAAATATAAAATTTATTTGTACTTGCTACGATACTGAAGAAAAGGTCAGCGAGCCTCGATTTTATCTCTGTTTCTAAAGGTCGTCAAATAAATTTTATATTTTCCTACACTGTACGAATATGGTATGTTTAGTATAGGGTTTTTAAGGTGGAAAATGAATTACATATCAAATTATGGAACTTGTTTTTGACAATACCTACGCTAAAAACAATTCTAAGAATGCGCACTTCTACTTGCCGGATATTCATCAGTTTGCGATATGTCGATTAGACATGTACGCCAGTTGCATTCACCTTTTTCCGATATAAAAATGCATTTCCATTTATTTGCATGAAAAAACCCCACTAAAACATTAATAGTAAAAATTTATTCCAGTTCTCAGTTCTTCGATTTTTTGTTTAAATCAGTGCGAATGTCATTACAAACATTTTTCAGGAACGATTGATTTTGATTTCTAGGAAAAGTTACTATTTTTATATAAAACTCATTAGACACGCAATATGAACGAGAATTAAATATTCCAGAACCATTATTTGTTAAATGTAAAATTCTTAGTTGCTTAATAGGTTAAAAGTAACGTACAAAATGTAATTGTT